GAAGAAACAACGAGATGAGGTCATTAAAAGAAAACATGGTGGAAATCTGACATTTCCGTTTGTTTCATGTATGAATGTGAGGAAGGTTCCAGCTTCCTCATCATCTCGGAGCTGTGTGTGTTTTCATGTTTTCACTTGAAGCTTGATCACTGCACTTTGTTTTGGTTTTATCAATACATCAACTTTTCCACCTCAGCCAAGAATTAAAACTTTTTATGCCTCTGCGCCGGCGACAGTCAAAGCTGGAGGCATATTGTTTTCAGATTGTCCGTCCGTCCGTCCCATTCTCTTGGACACTGATATCTCAGTAACACCTTGACGGAACTTCTTTAAATTTAGCACCAACGTTCATGAAATGATTGGATTTTAGTGGTCAGAGGTCAAAGGTCAGTGTGACCTCACAAAACACTTTTTAGTCATTACTCAAGACTTCACAGCAATTATGACAAAATGTCACACAAATGGTTCATATCTTCTCTGACTCTGGATAAACAGGATGTAACCTGAAACTAGTCTGAGTGCAGGAGGCAGACGACCATGAGGAGGTGATTCTAGTTTCAATATGTGAAGTTTTTGTTTTTTATTTCCAGTGTGTCCACTCATGTCTTATTTAATGCACAGATAGTAAATATGCATGACAGCAGGTGGATGGATACACACCTGAGTGAAATGTTATTTCAGTGTGATTATCAGACTCAGGCCTAATCTCAGTGAACACATCTGAGATGAAGTCAAACAGAGCAGCAGCAGGAAGGAACATTTACCTACAGCGCTCAAACACAACTGATAAAACACGTCGGCTTTAACTGCAGCAGCAAACAGAGGTTCTGATTCTTCTGAGCACTCTCTGAGAACATGTTGTGAAAGAGGAGTTGCTTCATGGTCAATGACTGCATCTGCACTCGTCTGCTCACACACACTGTAGGACACACTCACCGCTGTTCAGGTGGATATTAATGTGTGTGCTGGAGTGCTGCTACAAATGTGTGTGAGTTATAAACCCTCTCCTCCTATTGGTCACTCTGCCTTTTTTTTTTTTTTCTGGTGAAAGAATCTGAAGAATGAGACAGAGATGCAAATGAGCCTGACACACACACACTCACACAAGCAGATACATGCTGACAGACACACACACACACACACGCAAGCAGACACATGCTGACACACACACACACACACACACGCAAGCAGACACATGCAGACAAACACAGATTAGCAATCAAAATCTCCTAACCCAGCGATCCCAAACCTTGGGAGCAGCACCATGGACCGGTTTTCGAAAGGCAAATTTCTCACAGACCCGTTGTCAGGGTGTCAGGGTGTCAGGGTTTAGCAATTGTTGTATTTTACCGATTAAAATAAATAAATAAATGAGCAATTTGTCCTTTCTGTAGCAAATATGCCACAGCCAGGTTCTGGTCCATGGCCCGGTGGTTGGGGACCACTGTCCTAAACCCAACCATTAATCAAACAACAGCTGGTGCACACATGTCGTCTGGTCTCTATGTGTGTTTTTCAGTAACTGGTCATGTTAGCAGGTGTCTGTCTGAGGTGGTAAATGGACTAAATGGAATGGACTGTATTTATAAAGAGCTTTCCTCATCTTAACAACCACTTAAAGCTTTACACTATCCGCCACATTCACACACACATTCTTACAGTGCTTGCTATATACATCTATATGCATCTCTATCACACACATCATACACCGATGGTACATCAGGGGCAAAGTGGGGTTCATTCTCTTGTGCAACTTTGACATGTGGACTGGAGGAGCTGGGGATCGAACCACCGACCCTCTGATTAGTGGACGACCCGCTCTCCCTCTCAAGCCAAAGCTGAGAGGTAGAGCGGCCTTAAATGTGGGAGTGAGACTGAGAGTGACGTATTTGGCAGCTCTCAGATAAACATGTCTGTAACTGTGTGAAGGTGATTGTCAAGCAAATATGAACAGTTTACATGAGCATGTGACACATGGTGGTGTGTAACTATAACTCGAGACAGTCGCCCAATGAGATCACAGCAGCCTCAACAGCCAACCCATGAACACTTTAATAATTAAATGAATAAGTACAGCCAAGGCTGACGGGGATGTCAGTAGTTTTGTAGATATTTCATCATAAAATAAAGTATTAGAAAAATTACAATTTGTACCTGGTTCTAAGGCTGAGGAAGCCCAGGTTACAGTTCATCCTGTATCGAATGTCATGACGATCCATCCAATAGTTGTTAAAATATTTTATAAAAAAACTACTAATGTCTCATGGTTTCATCATGTTTGGACCATAATGACATTTACATTTCCTCATCTGGCAGCAGCTTTTATCTAAAGAGACTTACAGTGAGGTTCACCACTGAAGCTTCAGAGCAGTAGAGACCTTGGTGTAAGAACTAAGCACTACATCTGTTTAATTAGTGAAGGAGATCAGGTGAAGTCCACAGTAGGAGCTAGTCAGACATGTGGGGCTGTTAGAGGTGTTAGAGGTGTTAGAGAGGAGGTGCTCTGTGAAGAGAGGAGTCTTCAACAGATGCTTGAAGATAGAGGGATGCTCTGCTCTGATAGACTTTGGTAGCTTGTTCCTGATTCACACAAAATCATTGTGCAGGACAGTGACAGAGTTTTATGAGCATCTTGAAGAGATTTACAGTTTTTACAGTTCTGAAAACAGGACAGAGGAACCTGAGCAACCCGCAGACAGAGGTGTGTAACCTCCATCCTTCATCCACTCTGAATTCTGATCCATATTGTTTTACAGCACATGTGATTCATGAACAACAATCAGGATAAGTAACTACATTTGATCCTTTTTCCACATGGCTGTGAAGGTTTTCTCTCACGTCTGATATCAGACCAATTAAAGTCGTGACAAAGACTATTCTCAGGGATTAAACATCAATACGACATTTCTAACTGTAACCTCATACAACAGCTCTGTAAAATATATAAAGTCTGATCTTTCCTTTGGTGTAGACACTGAACAGTAAAAGCAGAAAACAGATTATCTCCAGTCACAGCAGACAGGAGAGCAGACCAGACTGCTCACACTTCCCTTTTCTACAACAGTACTGCAACTACCAACAGAGTGGAGTTCTCTTCAGTTCAAAAGCCAAAGCAAACCAACCCACTGTCCCACCACAGCCCAACATGGTGACTGGTAACTGTTAACTAATTCAATTATTTCTTGTCTCATCTGTGTTATTCTATCACATGTTACAAAATTAAAGGGATACCTCGATCAAATGGTTCTACCTCTTTTCAATCTATTGGCAGCGTAAGAGAACATATCGAAAGAAAGAAACAATGGCAAGGACCAAGCTAAGCTACATCGCTAACTCCCTGATTAACTATGTACCTCCGAGAACACTGAGGTCATCCACTTCTGCTTAACTGAAGGTTCCCAGCAACAGCCGTAGGAAAACCGGACGCAGCCTTCGTCAGCTACGGCCCAAAGCTGTAGAGCACGCTACCTATAGATATCAGAGAGGCCAGCTCACTGACTACTTTTTAAAAGAAAGCTCAAAACTCATTTCTTCACTTTAGCCTTTGACTAGCTCTGAAATTTTGCACTTTGTGCCACATTTATGCTCAGCACTTCTTTTAAATGTCTGCCTTTTTAATAATGATTTGATCTCATTTTACATTAATGTTTTTCATCTTGGATCAATGCTTTTAAACAGGTTTTATGTTCATTTTCTGTCTTTTCTTTTCATGGGAAGCACTTGGTGCAGGTCATTTCTTTGTTGTAAAGCACTTTGTGTTACATTTCTTGTATGAAAGGTGTTATACAACTACAGTGTGTTATAATTATTATTAGTTATTGGCTAAAATAAGAATGAAAATGAGGTACAATCCTGTCCTACATGTGTTCTGGCAGGAGTAATCAGCCCCATAATGTAGGTTCATTAGTGAGTGTGATGTGATTCATTCTCAGCGTTAGTAACAGCCATGCTGTTGTTCTGAGACGTGACAACTGTATCGCTGAGCAATAAAGACATTTTTTTACCTTGAGAGAGCCTGACTAGCAGTTTCCCCCTGCTTCCAGTCTTTATGCTAAGCTAAGATAACAACAGTCTGACTCCAGCTCCACACAGACACGAGACTGATTATTGATCTTCTAATCTAAAGTTTTGGAAAGAAATCAAACTAATGTATTTCCTTCAGTGTCGAGCGATTCTTGAACTGGCATCAGAGTTAAGGTAGTATTGAGCAGTAATCTGAACAAAAACATTTAATGTCTCTGAAAGATGATTTCCTAACTGTGCAGAGGACAAAGAACAAACAAGTTAACATAAAATCTTAAACATTATTGTCTTCCTTAAATGAGTTAGGACTAGAAGGTTATGACTTGTCGTGGCACTTCCCCTCAGCTTACTCACACAGTGAGGTTTATACACTGATGGATGGAGGATGGCGACCATCAAACTTTTGATCTTCTAATTGCTGATGATTAAAGGGTTAGTTCACCCAGTCTTCAGAGAATAAAAGGTATTTTCTCACTTAGTGATGAAGAGACTCTTGCTGGGACTGTGACATTGCCAGTTTGAATCCGAGCAGCAAAGTGAATGATTTCTTCTCCCGACACCTCAACCGTTTTGTCCGGGAGCCTTTGAGCAAAGCACATACCCTCAACACACTCCCACAGAGCAGCTACAGGTGGCTGTGTTAACTGGGAAGCTCCAGGGTGGAGCTGGGGCAACTTTCCCAAGAGACACGAGGGTAAAATAACACACAGTGTGCTAAAGGCTGAACTGCAAGAGCTGCACTTTCAGACCAGTTTTACAGCTGTCACCATCCACTGCACTCAGTCCCTTATTTAAGACAGAACACTATCAACAAACAGGTGAATCATCTGCAGCAGAGTGACTCTATATAATCTGTCTCTGTAGAAAACATTAAAGAAAGACACTTAACATCAGTGAAGTCAAACACAGAGTGTGGACAGCATGAAACTGAGGTTTTAGTGGGTTTCAACGCGGAAGTGACGAGTTGCTCTAAATACCTGGATGACGTCACAGCGAAGTCTCCACCATCTATCAGCCGGATCTTACAGAATAGCACCCCGTTGACAAACGGCACCGCCGTGAGCTCCTCTAGTGTGAAATACACTTGAAACTTGAACTTCTTCTTTTTCATTAAAAAAGTCATTGTCCTCTGTCACTGGAGCAGCAATGAATGAAACCAGAAAACTCCCAATAAATAGGCTGTGATTGGTTTTAAAAATCCCTCTTTGTCTTCAGGTGAATCATTTCTGAAGAGCTGTTTAGACCTGGAACAGACAGAAAAGAAAAGACTGTTATACAACAATATGAACTGGGCTTTATTTGCCTCTGCATGTTGAGGTTTGTGCAGCAGTGACAGCTGTGGACTCATGTGCTCCGTTTATGTTTAATAGCCCACATTACATTATAAATACATGACAAACCTCAGACATGTTAGTTATGAGTCCTGGTTGATGACTTCTGTATTTTCAAACACTTAAACACATTATCTTTAAACTCCCCTGGTCTCCTCTCTGACATTACTGGACTCTCCCGGTGCAGACAGCTGCCACGCAAACAACGAAAGCACTCGGCGAGTTTAACCATCGAGCCTTCGTCCTACAAACACTAAATCACCAAAACCTCACCTCACGGGCCCGCTGCTCCTCAGACTGGGTCAAACGGTTCAGCTGTGAGCCGCTGCAGAGAACTGGAGTCCGGCTACTGGACAGTTTCTCAGTTTCGATGCATCTTTACCAACTTTTCCCTCTTCACTGAAGTTCATCGACAGTTACAGCGGCTCCCTGAACGTCTCACTTCATGGGGCCGAGTTAGGGACCGTCCACAAAGTCTGAGCAGAGGTGAATCAGGAAGAGGATCAGGGACAGGCACCAGGAAAGGAAAATATCCCATATGTGCAAATGTAATACATGTCTATATATTGAATTTTCATATATATACAAATAAAGTAAGATCATATATGTGCATAAAAATATAATACATGAAAATGACATATGGAACCTATTACAAATTAGAACATTTTTATACATTAACGTATATGTCTAGCTCATACAAATATGTATGTTTATGTATGTATGCTTATATTGTCACATGAAGCCATCTCCGTGTGTGCTTATTTTGTTTTAGTGAGTCGTAGCCCTCCTCCTCACAGACTGCTCTTTTATTTTTGAACTTTTTGTATCATGTTTTGGGTTTGTTGGAATACAAGAGCAGCCATAACATGTATATTTACATCACAAAACCCATCAATATATAATGATATATGTAAATATAAAAGATAGACGTGTATGTTTACAATTAATAAGAAAAACATATATAAACATATAAAATTTTAAAAATTAAAAAAAAAAACATAAAATTATGTTGTAATAAACCTGCATACATACAGTATATGTATATATATATATGTTAATATTAATATATAATGTTGCAGTTGTATCATGTTAGAACTGTATATAAATCCATAATATAGATATTTTTAATAAATGTACATATAAATGAATTTTACTATGGGTATTTCATACGTTATAAGGCATATATGGAAACATCACTCTTGATACAGGGACATATATGTCATACTGTATATAACATTTCTGTAAAGTTAGATTTCCATGCATTAAAAATAAGAAGCAGGATTTGAAGTTATCAAAGTAACTTCAGGTTTAACTCTGGGTTTTCATCCTATGACAGTAGTTCTCTTGTTACTGGGGTAAATCACCATGGTAACTAATGCTGAACTCCTAACCTGCTCCAGCACAGGTTAATTCAGAGGATCAGATCAAAACCTATCAACAGCCAAACTACTGACCAATCAGATACCTAGAAAAACGGAGTCACCATTCCTACACGATCCTGACAGGGACAAAAGAGTTTAGAATAAAGTGATCAATAATAACGAGAAGTAGATATAAAATATAAATTAGTGGATGATTTTGTAGTTTGATTCTTCCCATGTTTCCACTCTGGTTTTTAAACAGAGCTTCTAACAGGAGAGTTTATCACTAAATAACTACATAATAACTATTATATCTTCATTTGAAGCGAACACAGATTTTTTACTCAGACAGGATTCCTGACAGTGATGAAGCTTTTACTCCTCTTCATCACTGCAGCTCAGAATAACACGAGGAGAAATAAAAACTAAACCAACAATTATCCACACACTGTTCAATGTTTTGTGGTTATAAATGAACATTTCAGTCGGACTGACTCATCAGACATCAACTACTTCTCTTTTCTTTCTCTCCTCCCTGCAGCAGAAACAGTCTGACATGAACTGTTTTATTGTTATTTATCCACAAAAGAGTGAAAATACTCAGTAAGAATAATTAAAGCTTAATTTGAAGCTTTAATTTTGTAATACGTAATACTTTAATAATTGAAAATTATTTCTAGATTTTCATTTTTACTCTACTCATAATACTGTTTACATTTCACCTTGTTGAATATCCCTTTATGACGTCACTATAACTAAATTTATCTGCAGGTATCAGTGTTTCTTCTCATATCATATTTATACTTTATTCATAGTTTGACTGATGTTGTTTATAATTATCTACTCCGCCTCTTTCACATGAACACGCTCATACAGATAAACCCAGAGTTAACTGAGCCAGTTGATAACCTGCTTCATAGTACAGGTTAGGTTCAGTTAAACCAGATAACAGATAAAATTATCCTGGGCACGTTGAACTTGCAGATGGGCCAATTCTCTAACTGCTGAGGAGCTTCAGTGCTTCCTGTCTTACCTCCTTTAGCATAGGAAACACTGGACCTTCCTTTATGACAGGACAGGAGATAATGTCAACACAACTACCACAGAGGAGGTTTGGAGTGCTTTGGTAGGTGTTTATACATCATGTAACTGCAGAGCAGCCTGATCAGAGAGACGATGAACCAAGTCCAGTGTTCACCCTTCATTCAGCTGGGACCGGTTTCACAGAGACAGACTATGACTCTGGCTTAGATAAAACAAACAGCCAGACTTCAGATAGACGTCTAAATTCATCTGTTGCACAAAGCAGTTTAGTTGTTGACCTTCTTAAGCCGGACTGTGCTACAATGAATTCTGGATAAATTAAGACTTTTTCAAAATAATAAAAAAAAATGGCCGACTGAGGAACCACATCCAACCGCTCAGCTCCTTTTACCCCAGCGGTTTGTCTTTTGGAAGAATTCAACAGTTACAAGGACGTTTTACTTGAACACTGAAACAAGAAAAAGAAAAACCTTTTTCTCTTTCCCTTGTCTTTGCTCTCTCTATAAGAATGTTAGCAAACCACAAATTATGAGCCATGTTTTCCTGTTTCTTGTTGTTGAGTGCCACTGCTCAGCGCAGGTGTCATTCATTACTATGTTACCATGGTAACATTGGACATTGGACTGTTTTTTGGCTTAAAATGAGTCAGTCTTTGTGTTTGTGAAATGGTCTGACTAACTTTGGACTATATGACCAAAATTAAGACTGGGGCCAGTTTCAATCAGATATTTCAGACGGGTCTGTAGTGTTGATCCAGTCTTCACTTGACTCATAGATTATTCTGACGTTAGTAAAACTGTTCTACCATTGGCAGATGTTTGTTTATGTAGGACCCATCACTCACTGTAAGAAACTCACTGCGGCCATGTTGATGCTACAGATATCCTGACCTTGAGTTCAGTCACTGACCTGTAGATACTGCCATGTCCACATGTAACTGCTCAGAGACATGGTGCAGCTTTTTCTAAAGCTCATTTGTGGTTTTAAGAACTAAAACCCGTCTTAGTGTAGTTTTACATCTCCCCTCTCAGGCTGCTCTCTGGAGCTCTAGTAACAACAGTTCAGTGAGCCAATCAGAAGAGAGGACGCTCTTAACCTCTCCTCTGATTGGCTGATTTCTAGTTTCTGTGACTAGTTTCAGATTACATTCCTATTTATTCAGTCATATTAAATATGAACCATTTGTGTGAGATTTTGTCATAATTTCTGTGTGAAGTCTTGAGTAATGGCTGAAGTGTTCTGTGAGGTCACACTGACCTTGACCTTTGACCTTTGACCGCCAAAATCAGTTCATCCTCGAGTCCAAGTGAATGTTTGTGCTAAATTTGTTTGAAGTTCCATCAAGGCGTTACTGAGATATCGTGTCCATGAGAATGGGACGGACATACAGCCTGAAAACAATATGCCTCCAGCTCTGACTCTCACCTGTGTGGAGGAACAAAGACATGAAAAACTCACTTTATACAATATGGGACCTTTAAGGGAATTGCCACAGAGCATGATGGGATGTCATCTGCTTAACTGTACCATGCCGTGCACCTGTGTGGAAGCGTCTACCTTTGTTATGTCTGTGTTTATTAAGGTTTCTCTTTATTTTGTCATCCGCCTGTAGGTCATTTACTTAAAATCAATCCAGGACATGACTGTGATTTTCCAACAGTCTAAACAGTGATGAAACTTGTTGACACACACTGACCTCTTGTGGCTGATCATGAGTGGTGCAGAGAACACAGCTGCTGGTTTTTCTTCAGTTTTATTGAAGACAGGGTGCACAGTGCACATGAACCGAAGCCCATTCCCTCCTTAAAAACAACACTGATCTCTTTTCATTTAGAGTTTTCTGCACAATGACTTGAAGATATTTAATGTTGAGCTCACATCAGGGTGCAGACCGTCTGCATCTCTGCACCAAAAACATCATCTCAGTATCAAATGTGCAAACACAAAGCTGCTATCAGTTGATGACAGGCTGTAAAAAGTAAAAATAATCTTCTCCACATCAACTCTTCATTGAGTCTGTGACTTAAAACATCAGTAAAATTCTGTACATCTCTCCCTAAGGCAACCCTGTTCTCTGAAGCCTGTGTGCAGGGACAGGTGGCAGCACCACACACACACACACACACACACACACACACACACACACACACACACACACACACACACACACACACACACAGTGTCTATTGCGTCTCCTCGGCCTGCGTTGGAGGAGCTGGTGGTGTTCTGGGCCTGCTGTGCTCCTCTGTTCCTGACCCATCAGTCATTCCTGCTGCTGCTGAGCTGCTGGGGTTCACCACCTCTGTCCCACTCTGCAGGAATTTACGCAGGTCTTTTAGAGCCGGTCTGAGCATCTGCACTAATGCCAGCAGGGCGGCCTGCGTACCCTCCAGGGCCTGGGCTTGTCTCTCCTGAGCGAACGCCTGAGCCTCCTGGGAGCGCCGCATCATGTGCAGCAGCTCGTTCTGGCCCTCCAGGTGCTGGGCGATCTGCCGGATGTGGACGTTGGTGACTCTCTGCTCCTGCAGCAGGCGGGCGGAGTTGAGGGCGATGCGGCTCTTCAGCTCCTGAGGTTTGGCCTGACCCTGAGGAGGAGGCGGGGAAGCTGAGGACGAGGCCAGCATCTCGACTGGAGCCTCGACGGCCGCCACCACAGTGGGAGTGGAATCACCGACGGTGGTGGTGCAGTACTCCACCACGCCTCCATCCTCCAGGGTGTGGTACGTGGTTTCAGCTGGACACAGGACAGAAAAGGCTTTTTAGTCATGAGTTACTGTAGCGAAAGAATCAGCAAAATAAAACCTCTCAGGTTAAAGGAGAACTTCCACATTTTGGGGAATCTGCAAATGTGCTTTCTCGTTGAGGCTGAGATGAGAAGATCAACTCTACTGTCTCTGTATGAAGCCGGGAGACAGAAGCTTTAACCCTCCTCTGCTTTCGACTTTCTACCCTCATTGGAGTGAAAACATTTTCCCTGCGTCCTGAACTGTACGACAGCCAATCAGAATGAGGTACTGCTGTTGAGAGTGATGTCGGGGGTGAGTGGGGTCAGTGGAGGATTGGCTCAGACAAACACGGTGCTGAAGAACTGAGCTGTGAGGTGACTGAAGTTAGAAAACATCACAGAAAACAAACAGACTGGTCTGGTACAGACTGACTGAATATTCTGAAGTCAAACAACTTCATCATCATCATCATCATCATCATCACATACACTGTCACATATCGGCTGTCAGAGCCATGATGAATGATGATGATTATGTTGCACAAGAAGTTCAGTCATTTATTTTCTGTCCTTTTCAGAACATAAAACATTTGTATTTTACTGAGTTTTTAATTGGGAAAATGACTTCAAACTGAGACAGCCATCCTCCACTTTAACCTCACTGTTATACACAGTTCAGACTGCAGTCCTGCAGCGCGAGGCACTCACTCTGTAAATGATTTTTATCTGCCACTGTGAGAAAAACTAACATTTATGATGATTATTCCAGTACCAGCCACCAGAGGATCCTCGAGTTCATTTTTGGTGAAATATTTATTTTTATTTTTATTTTTGTCCTGTCTGTGAGAGGGAAACTTGAACTTTATTTCCTCTCAGTGAGTGTAAATCTAATTACTTGTTGCCTGTATATCTGCACACTTCAGCTGAGTGGTGGGATCTGAAGACCTTGTGTGACTGTTGACACCTCATCATTTAGGGACTGGTTGGGGTTTGACTTGTCTCTGTCCACAGCAGTAAAATATAATCTTAACTAATTACTTATTACAGTTTTTCACAATCGCTAAAACACGTTTCTTGAGATCTTCCATGCTTTTCCATGCAGCGCCATATTCAAAAATTCATATTGCGATTACTTTGGCAGATTCTGCGATTACAATATGATATTGCAATAAATCATGTGATTTCTGTTGGTCTTGTACCAAACAAACATGTTCCTTTACGTCTGGAGAATATGATTTGTAGGCCGGAGCGTCTCTGTAGCATTACAACACTGATGGTGCTGACAATGTGACACATTTTACCTTCATCAAAACAAAAAATGCAGCTCCTGTGATTTCGATATCGCACTTGGCCATATTGTGATTTCAATTAATTGTGCAGCCCTAATATATACTGTATATATATATATATATATATATACACACACACACACACACATACATACATACATATCCAACAACCTGTGCACTCTGACATGTCTTATATTGGTTTCATCACATCATCAGCAACAACTGTTTTTGAGTTGTGTGTAAGATATGACATCTGTGCTGTAGTTGTGTTTAACTTCTGCTACATGTGTTTACCATTGTACATCACAGTGCCTCGCAGGGCAGAGTGTATTTTACTGAGAGAAAATGTGTCTAGAGTTTTGTAAAAAAAAAGTGAAATGAGATCTGCAACTTGTGTCTAACCAGGTGAACAAGTAACTGATTCAATGAATGTGTTGAGGTCACTGAGGATTTGGTTCAGAGAATGGGATTTAGTGTTTTAGCAATTCATAAAAACTGTAAAAGGCTGACAGGCATCAGGCATCTGCTGTCACAGCTCAGACATTTTATGTAATGACCAACTCCATGTATGCAGACCTTACTATGAGCCACGTGGACGGAGATGCTCCTCTGTCTAAGAGTTACACTGGCTGCTGTGAGAAACTCACCGTTCAGTGGCTTGGCTTCATCACAGACGGTCGCTGAGCCGGCTGGAAGAGCTACAACACACAGAGAGAAGATGATGATAGAAATAACAGTGTTCTGTAGTAAACCAGCAATCACAGACGAAGACAGGAGAAAATATAAAACACACTAAACTGTAACACACCACATGATTCACAGGATCAGTAATATACAGGTAGTAACATGAGACTCTGGGTCATGGAGGATGTTTGCGCACAGTGTGTCTCATACACATCTACAGCGAGTCAAGGACACACACATGCCATCAAGATCAACACAACACAAATCAGCTGCAAGTAGCGCAGAGGAGAAAGCGATGAACCCGACTGGGACATTAAAAGCAGTCACGGATGTATTATAATACAATCATGCCAGTGCGTCCCAGCAGGGTTCATCACTTTTTAGCGTCCCCTGGAAACACTTACGTTGTTGTGTTTGTGCTACTTTCAGTGTCTGTGGGTCAGAACATGTCAGACACAGCAGCTCTGTCCTGCGGTGAATATCTGCCGCCTCTAGGACGCATTATTCGCCTTTACAGCGGCATCTCTTATCACTTTTATGCCGATGATATCCAGCTGTACTGCTCCTTTAAACCTGATGACAGAAACCGCTCGTCCTTTTTAATGGATGTTTAGATGACTGAATGCTAATAACACAGAAGCTCCTACAATCGCTGTGGAAAATGTGGTCTCGCTGATTGGGTGTGTTCACCACAACCCTTAGAAATGTAGGTGTCATTTTCAACCAGTTTCTGTCGTTTGATAATCATGTCAACCATCTTACACGCCCAAGTTTTTTCCCCTTCAGGGACATCGCCAAACTAAGATCTGTGGTGACCATGGTCGGGATGGACACGATTATTCATGCTTTGTTTCTACTTGTTTAGATAATTGTAATGCTCTGTTTACTAGTTTGAATCAAACCGCCCCAAAAAGCTTTTGATCAGAAATAACAAGAGATCACACATCACACTAGTTTTATCCTCCTTCCACTGGCTCCCAATCAAATACAGCATCCATTTTAAAATACCGGCCCTCACCATTAGAGCCTTGCATGGCCTACAACACCTTAATACACTGCTGACCTCCTCCTCCCATATGACAAATCGTGCACAGGCACTTAACTCATTTTATTGTCCGATTTCTGAAAGTTTTGTACTTTTTTATGATGTAAAGCACTTGGTGGTTTCTTATCTGTGAAAGGTTCTCTATAAATACATTTTTCCGTACTAACAGTGTGCTTCTGTGTGTGGTTGTGTGGTGAGTATTTGCAGCTCATGTGATGTGTCAAACTGATGAATGTTTTCTGAATGTGTTTTCTTTACTGAACCTGGTTTGATTAAAGCACGGATGAATCAGATCCTGTGTAAGTCACAAGGTTTCCTGTCTCTTTTGGTCAGGAGCTGCTGTTCTGTTGGATTGAATCATATATAATATAATATATATATATATATATATATATAATACATGTTTGTATGTGTTCGGTTCAGTTCACTCAATGAGCAACATCTCTGTCTGAGCTCTGAGGATAAGTCCAGCAGAGGGCAACACATCAACAGTTCAGTCCGCCTCTACGAGCAGACAGCAGCTCTTCACACTGACTCAGCCTTGTGTATGTTCACAGTGGAAACTTGTGTAACTTACTCTCTGCCAGTGTGACGGTGGCGGCGGTGTTCACCGTCACAGGTAGAGTGATCTCAGCATCCGAGTCTCCCGCAGGTAAGCTGATGATGGTGGCCTCCCCCAGGAGGTTACAGATCCGCTGCTGCATAGCGGTGAGGATGACGGGAACTGGAGTGCAGTCAGCGGAGGTCCCCTCTATGGCAGCCCGCGCCTGGGCCACCTTCCGACGGACCTCCGTCTTCATGTCGGACCACTTCTTCTTCACCTCGGGTAACTCTCTGGGACAGGTGGTGACAGCGTTGACCTTTTTCAGGATGTCCACCCACGCGTTATTCTTTGCCATGTGTGTGACTCCAGCATTGAAGTGGTTAACCAGTGTGTGCTTTTGTTTCTCTATTTCTTCTACAATAATTTCCACCTCTCTCTCCGAGAAATTCATTTTTCTCTTTTTCGCCACCGAGGCCATAATTGCAGGAATTCCTCTTTAGCGGAGGTAATTGTGCGTATTGTACGCAAAAATAGTAGGATTTACTCCACTGATGTGCGCAACGTAATGGCTTCCAGAATCGGCTTCTTCTTCCTACTAACAACGCTTACGGTAGCTGTGCTTGTAGCCCCGCCCACTGACAGCCCATTGGCTGGGCGTCTCACCAATCATGTTATATTCTCTATTGCCATTGGCTTAATCACACGTCAATCAGTTAACGAGCCAAACTAACTATGTTCCACCGTTAACAGTTCAAAAAAATCTTCACCGTTTATCTTCCAGCCGAAGTTGGTGAATGTGAGCGAGTAGTTTTTGTTTCAACATGTCATCAACAACAAACACAAAAACACAAATCAATAATCAGTCAAAAAAATATAAAGGATACTGTTTATGTTTTTGTGTGTGTGTGTGTGTGTGTGTGTGTGTGTGTGTGTGTGTGTGTGTGTGTGTGTGTGTGTGTGTGTGTGTTGTGCGCAGGTGTGTGTGTGTGTGTGTGTGTTTCAGTAAATATACTGTAGAAAAAATGTATGAAAAAACTAAGCTAATATAAGTTGATTAAAAACCTACATTCATACAGAAGTGACATCAAATGATTAATAACAACCTGAATTATAAGTTTAGCATATTAATTTATGTTACATATCAAGTGGTGCAATATTATTTGAGCTATTATATCATTAATTAATATTACTTCATTGAGTTTATTATATCATTTAATTATCAGTTACAGCACTTTATTATTTCATATATAATTTTTAGGTGTACAACACATTTAGTGAGGAGCACTTTTGGTTCCCACCTGCCCTTGTTTACAGGGGGACAGGTGTGAATGTCTATAATAAAGTTGTGTCAACTGTCCTACCGTGTTGGTGGTGATTATAGGGGACAACTGTAGCAAGAAATAAGTGTTATAATAACAAGACAAAAACTAAATTATTCGGAACTGAAAAACCTAGTTTACATCCTTTTGAATTTTAGATTTTTTTTTTCAACTTGAAATTATTTAGTTAAAGATTAACTCTTAGGTAAGATCATATCAGCCTTTTTTATATGTTACAGTAGGAAAGTGCAAATGATAAAATGAATCATGTCTGAATTTCATGTAGCTCATACCAGATTAATGCCATTTTACTTTTTTTGAAGCACACACATACACACACACACACACACACACATCCACACACACACACACACACACATCCACACAAACACACACACACACACCAGAATGGAAAATAACTGTAAAGATCCCTATTTTCTTTCATTTAGTTCAGTCTTCAAATTAATGGACATGTTGTGATGGTGAATCAAACCAAGACCAAAGAACATGCATCCTGTGATCTGTCAGTTCTCAGGTACCAGCAGGCTGGACTAGGTCGGACTGGACTATAGAGCTTAAGCAGGTCGTCTTTTTAACCTCCTGTTTCAGGTTTCTGTGCAGCAGTGTAGTCAGTCATGAACCTGCTGATATATGCAAGGCGAGGCAAATTTATTTGTATAGCACATTAACGTACAAAGAGGGTCATTCAATGTGCTTAACAGAATGCAGTTCACTTTCCTTAATTCTGCTGTTACCCTTGTCACTATTACTAATAATAGGTTCTGTACGTTCTTGTTCTTTTCCCATGTGCTCTCTCCTCTCTTTCTCTCTCTCTCTCTGTCTCTTTCTCTCTCTCTCTCTCTCTCTCTCTCTCTCTCCCTCTCGCCCACCCTGAGTCTGGTTCTGCTTCTTAAAAGGAAGTCTTTCCTTGCCACTGTCACCAGCTGCTGCTCTTGGTGGGAATTGTTGGGTCTCTGTAAATTATATTATAAATTGAAGGTGTAGACCTGCTCTATTTGGAAAGTGCCTTGAGATAACTTATGTTGTGAATTGGTGCTATACAAATAAAAATTGACTTGACTTGACCCCCGGCTTATTCAGTCACTAATTGTAGTAAAGATCCTTATTTTCTTTCATTTTTCCTCTTCCCTTCTTCACCTACCTCACTTCCCTTCCTTTCCTCATCACTGATTGGCTCTTGTTTTCCCGCTTACCACCCCTCATCTACCTGACTGAGTTCACCTGAACTCTACAAGGTTATTTAAAGACATAGGGCAGCAGTTCAGCTAAGAGAAGTTTATTACTCTTTAGTTCTTACCCTTTGTCCATGTTAGTCTCTGAGAACTTTATTTCTCTGTATTTCCTTAAGAAGGACACATGAGACAACTTGATTTATTGCCTTAGTTTAATGTTTAATCTCTGTTTGTTCCATTTCAGAAGCATCAGCCCACATGTGTTCTTTTCCTTCATGTTTAAAAACACAATTGTATGACATTTGACAATAACCCCTTGTTAGAGGATTGAAGTTTCATGGCTTTCTCCTTTCCATGCATCCTGACCTGATGATGGTAGTTCATTTTTCATTCTAAACCTCATACTTAATGATAATGCAGCCACCAGAGAGACTTCTGGCTCTGCTCCATACTTGAACTCAATCATTCAGCCTTATGCTCCTTCTCAGCCGCTGTGTTCCTCTAATGAATGTGGTCTGTCATCACCATCTCTGCACACAAGACGGTCTCAGACTGTTGTGGTCTGTGGTTCCCTGATGGTGGAACAAGCTACTAAAGTCTATCAGAGCAGGAGCGTCCCTCTCTGTCTTCAAGGATCTGTTGAAGACTCCTCTCTTCAGAGAGAACCTCCTCTCCCACCTTAACATATGTAAGTAGCTCTCAGCTTAGCAGAGTGCTTTGTGAAGACAAATGTCAGTGTTGGTTGCTAGAAAAACAGAAAGACCTCCCAGTGAGTCCTAATGGTTCCTTACTGCACCTATTGAGTGTTGGTGAACCTCAGTGTGAACTTACCTTCTCCCAGTCCTCCTTATTGCTCATGTGTGGACACTCCCAGGGAAAAGGGGGAGGAACAGGGTGGTAACCCCTACACCCCACACCTGGTTCTTCATTAAGAATAAATGTCATAAATAAACCTTCAGACTTGGTTTCAGCTCCTGCATGATTTCAGAATCATTTAGGAGGATGTTGGAAATGTATGATCATAAAGTTGATATATATATATTTAAATTTATAGCATGATGGATTCAGTGTGAGTACAAGTTAGTGGGATTCCACCACTTCTATAAATAGAAGAATTCTGCTTATTTAGAAGATTAATGGTGAACAACGACTAATAAAGATAACTGTAAACAAACAAGTCTGTAAGGATAAACCATTCCTGTTTAAAATGATCCCTGTGATCTGTGTGTGAGCAATAACCCTTTAACACATAGTTCCCCAACTGCAAGGGAATATAAGTATTTGGACACTTGGACACTGGGGGAAAACATTCGAATAGACTTTATCAGAGAGAAGAGACTGTAAGGGGGTCTACTGGAAATATTTCAGTCCAGCATGATTGGTTTGTCGGTTTAATGACAAAAGAGAGATCATTTCCCCGCTATTTTTCTGGTTCATAAGAGTAGATTAAGATAAACTCGTAGTTTACACTGCTTTCATCATCAGGAAACACATAGCCTAATGGGATGGAACAATGGAAACACTGGCAGACAGTAAGGGAGGGTCAGACACTCCTACGGTCCTTTTCTCCTGTTAGGCTTTAGAATGAGCTCACCTCTGCACAACAAACAGTTTAGACGCTTCAGTGGTTTAAACAGATCAGTAACAGCTGTTCCGCCACACCACTCACACACAGATTTTCTCTGCACTGTCATAAGAAGTAATCCTTTTTATATACCAGTTATTTACTTAAACTAACACTTCAGTTAATAGTAAAGAAGAAATGGTCTTCCATTGTTAAATAATAGTGGTTATTGTAGAAACAAAATCAGTCCCACTTTACAATCACATTACATTATAAAGGATTTATGAATGATTTATAGCTTGTAAACACTTTAGAAATCATTTATTAGCTGTTATAACACATTAGATAAACAGGGCAACAGTGACCTGCTGCTTGCCAAATAGTGAGCCCACATGTCTCTGTACTCTTCAGCCTCATATCTCATTAGTTACTGAGCTTTCTTTGTTTTCTCCATCATCCGGCATTTTTACCTGCTTCTTCATCACATATTTGGTAATTTTTTAGAAATTAACCACCATCAGCATATCTTTCATTTGGCATTATGGAATATCCAATTATCATCAATGTCATATAAATGGTAGTAATTCATTAGTAAGATTGAGTAGTAAGTATTAACATGATCTTGCCAAATAGTGGGCCTGCATCAATGTATGAAAACTGTGTAATAGCTTGTTTATAATTGTTTATTTATGATTTATAAAGTTTTGAAAACCGAATTAATAACCTAATTATAAACCATTTTTAAATCCTTTATAAGGGTAATCTTATTGTAAAGTGGTACCAAAAAATCTTTTTAAAATAAACATATACATGTGTGTATAATATAGATTGGATTTAATTTACTTAAAACTTAAAAAAAACTATTTTACTATATTGTACGTCTGAGGTCGATTAACTTTACATATATTAAACAGAAGATGGCGCCAGTGAGCTGTGCTAACAGAGAATATAGCAGAATATCTTTCATTCCTTATTTTCGGATTCTCATTAAATATTCTTTCCACTCCAGTTTATCCAAAGGCCATGTTGTCTCCTCCCAGAAGGTAGGTAGTACTCTCATCAATGCGATCATGCTGTAGTCTCGCATCGTACCGCGAGACTTGCGGCGCACCCGGTTCCCTGAGCCAAATATCTTTCTCCTCTTAACGGTCGGCGAGTAAACGGCACTGGAATACTGAAATAAGCGTCTTCATCCGTAACGTTGTTTAAATCAGGAACCGTGTTAGTTGTGATGTTCGTATAAACGAGCTCCGTGTAAAGTGTTCGGTTCGCCGCTGTGAAGGTATTTTTTTTACAGGAGGTGACAGATCACCACGTCTCGTTTCACCGGCGCCGACAGCATTTACTTTATGGTGGGATACTGAGCTAATGTCTCCACGTGCAATTACTACTGAGAGGAACCGGTTTCGTCTCAAGTGAACTCTGCCTGTGTTCGTGGTTAAGAGTCGGGTTTGTAAGCTAACCGCCGTTAACCTGCGGCTGCTCCTTTTGCTTTCGGTGCCGGCTGAAATGGAGGGACATGTGACGTTGCCATCAGGGCTGGAGGTTTAACGGTAGCCCGAGCTGCTCTCTGACCGAGCTGACACTGAAGCTAGTAGAGTTTCAGGCTGTTCATGATGCACCAGCAGGGCTCGTTGATGCCCCCCTTGCTCGGTGATGTATTCTGCCAGTGCCGGTCGGGGGTCGACCCGGGCGGCGGAGGCGGGCACGCCGATGACCCCTCATCAGCTTCCCCGTCTAAACCGGTCACCCGACAGCCCGTGGCCGATGACTGGCACTCTGACTCCGGCCAGTCAGCGCATCCATGTGACATATGTGGAGGACCCGAGCAGGAGCACAGACTAAAAGTACTGTTCCAGGTTCTGGATGTGAACGGTGATGGAGGCATTTGTGTCAACGACTTGACCATTGGGCTGAAGAAGTTGGGGGTACACCGCACTGAACACGAGCTCATGGTAGGTGGACATACCTCATCTCAGATAGTGACGGGTTTTCGTTTTGTGCCATTCTCCCTGTCATGTTCCTGCCCCTGTTTCTGTCTTACTGTTTTGTTTTCATATACAGTTGATTCGAAAATTAAAGATGCCTTTCCCGTTGGAGTATAAGTGCATAATTATATCAAACAACGACAAAAATGAATGCTGGGAGAAAGTAACAAGGAACAGACAACTGAATGTTGTTTAGGGTGAAAAATAGAAAGCAACATGGAAAACAACACAACAACAGGGAAATCTGTAAGTGTAAATGTACAGTTGACATATTTTTTTGGGAAACTGAAAACTCAGCAATAATTTGGTTATTTGTAGGCCAGCTGGTGAGAAATACGTTTGCTCTGAGTTCTTATTAGGAACAGCCTCAATTCGTCATGTTCGATCCACCAGATGTTGGAAACTTTGGAGCATTATCCTGCTGGAAGTAGCCATTAGAAAACAGTAAACTGTGGCCTTGAAGGGATGTAGATGGTCAGCAACAATACTCAGAGAGACTGAGACATTCAGACCATGATTGAATGGTATTAAGGGCCCAAAGTGAGACAAGAAAATATTCCCTACACCATGTCACCACCTGCTTTAATTTTCCTCAAATATGCAAATTCTTTGAAGTGTAATGTGATGTAATGATTCCCAGTCTGGTTGGTAGATTTGTGGTGAGTCAGATCACAAATGATGTGACACCAGTTCTTAGAATGAATCACATTACATTAACTAATGAACCTACATTATGGGGCAGGTTGCTCCTCCCAAAACACTGGTAGGACAGGACTACACCTCATTTCATTCCTATTTTCAGCCAATAAACACAAATGTTTTTTTGTTTTTTTGTTTTTTTATTATTATCATTATTCTTACATTGTCAATACCATTATTGTGAAAAACAAAAAATGTAGTGTGATGTAAATTTTAGGTCATATAGCCCACCACTGTAAAGTGCTTGATGAGTCTATATGTAACCTAAACATCTAAAATAAACTTTAATTTTGCCGTCAAAGTTCATTTTTAATTTGATCTAAAAATCACCAAGACACTGCTGTTTGCCCAGTTAAAGCTAGAAATAGACATCAATTAGAACAATACTGAAGTGAAGTGATATCTCTCCTAATATCTGATCTCAGAACAGCGTTCTGTCCCATAATGGGCCTGATGCCTGTTTCATTCATCATGTAATTTACTGTCCTCTTGTGGCAGCAGCAGGGTATTGTCTCTGGAAGCTAGCTTGACTAACAGCAGTTGTACCTATAGTTTCTGTCATTTTCGTGGGTGTGACTGTGTCCTGTTGACAAAGGCTGGAGCTTGTTGAGCAGAGAAGGGTCTGGACTCAGCTTCCACTGTTCTGAGATCAGCTTTGATATTGTAGCATTTAACGCACGTGCAGACGTGCGTGGAAACTAAACTTGCGCATTAGAAAATGACTTCACCAGTCTTTTCTTCCTAAGCGTTAAGAGGAGCAGGAGCAAATAGATGAGCTAATTACACTGTGATTGTGTAGTTGGTTGTTCAGCTCTGCTTGCCTGTCTGTCACCACATGCCCCTGCTCCATAATATACAGAGCATGTCTCTCAACATCACCAAATTAGGAATTGCAGTAGAAATAAAGTAGCCACTGTTGTCATGTAATTAGTGGACAAATCTGGGCACACGGGTCTTGATGGGGACATTAGACTTTATATTTTCAAGGGGAGTCCTGCTGACATGCAGTGGATGATGTATGATGAATAAAAACTCTCTCTGGTCAGTCTCTGGCTTAAATGAACATATTTATTCTGGGGCCCAGGAAACAGACTTCACACAAGAAACATCATAGAATTTTCTGAGCAATTCCTTCCTCCAAGGTCATAGTTAGTGTCTTCTCTGAAGAAGCAATCCCTGTAACAACAGTTTACTATAAGTATATCTCAGACACTGAGACTCTACGACCTCCACTGGACTGTCTGCATATCGAGTTTGTATTTTTTGTATGCTTTTTTTAAATCTGTCATCCAATAAAAGTCGCTATGCACAGAAAAGATGACTTTGTGGTCCCCTCGCTTCCTGAAAGTAGAAAAAGAAAATACTGGGATCCTCCAGTCCTGAGACAGTGTCAAGAGCAGATGATAAATTACCTGTGGAATTGTCTCCAGGAATGTTCTATTCAGGAAGTCGGTCTGGTTTGAAACCCTGCTAGTAATACTGGAAAAAAAGAATAACACCAGTTTGATTCCTAACAGGGTTTAATAGGAAATCCAAATTGTGCCATTGAAAGAGTGATCAGCCTTTCGACTGGATCTGCAGATCAGGCCACAGCCTTAAAACTCTGCATCATACATACAAGCTCATGGTCAATGTCCTGTGATGTGTCTGTCAGAGCTGATAGTATATGTGTTTCAAGGCTGGTCAACCAACTCAACCAACTGTCTAAAGGCTTTTCACAGATGCAAAAAAAACTTAAAGATGGATGAAAGTTTCAGAGTCAGTGTGTAAATGTGGTTGACACAACATGTGGTCATAACATCCAACAGTTTCAGATGAAAACTACGGCTTTAACAGTAGTGTAGTAAAGTGGGACACTTGTGTCACATAGTGTGTATGAGCGGTGAATTCAAAATGAGATAAGGAGCCTTTCTCCGTGAAGACGACTGCATACCCTCCTCACTGATAATCAGCTGCTGACTCACTGAACAACCATGGGTCCACATTTCCTCGACTCTGTTCTCAAATAACAGCTGCTCACTGCAGACCACTGGAGATGGACAAACAGCAGGAGTGCATTTGAAGAAAAGTCATCACTGTAGACACTCAAATGTTTAACACACACAAGAGCTCCTAGAAAAATACAGCTTTACCGTATCCCAGACAACGCAATGGACATTTTGAGTCAGTTCACCAACATTATTACTTCCAAATAATTAAGCTAATGAAACTGGGAAATTGTTTACGACCCGCCTGAACACTTGGTTTACACCGATCAGCCACAACAGGAAACTGATTCTAATGTTGTAGCTGATAGATGTAGGTTTAGTCAAACCCATTAAGGGAAAATAATTGAAATTACAAAATAAGCTGGAAAGCATAAAACAGGCCACGGATATTAATAGTAGTTTTAATGTTGCATCTGATCTGTGTATAATGTCTATTTCATTAATGAAAATTGTGACAAAATATATTCATCAACATCCTTTGTTCCCCCGTGATGAAGGCGACATGAAAGGTTGATGTCTGGACCCAGGTCACATATAAAGCAGTTGAGAGAAAAAGTGAGTGTAGCAGATTATTGTCAGGAGAAAAGCTCTGCTGCCTCTGAATGAGTGTGTTGTCTTTCCTCTTCTCTGGATTCTCAGGGCTCGTGTCATAAAGTTAAGCTCGTAGCATTGAATGAGTCATAATGGAGGAGTTGGATTTAGTAATGTTGCATCATTCCAGATTTCATTGTTTTATCCTCTTTAGTCCTTGGATGCATTGATAACATCAGACTAGACACTCTGTCTGCAAAGCTGCATTCTCACTCATACAACCTGTCATTTTGTTTTCATTTTTATTTTCTTTAAGCCTAAAATCAGTTGAAAGAAATCTCACTTTAAAGGAGCTATTTGTAAGTTTCATTATTGCTACATAGCTAACATTAGCATTAGCAGCTGTTTACTTACCAGTCTAGAAGAAACATTGTGAGTCCAGCATCAAACTTCATTCCTTTACTCACCAACATCTGTCTCCAGAGGTGGAAACAAACAACACCTTTCTTCTACTGAAGTTAGCATGCTAACCAGCTAGTCTCAGCCCGGTTTGTCACTTTGCAATAGCAGCTCACTGTAGCCTCCAGTCTGTCCTGAAGACGAAGCTGCTCAGAGGACATATTATAACCTCTGGCTTGATAAAGATAACGATGGCTGAAGCTCTCGTCAAGGGACAATCACCACCACCTGCTCCTGACGAGAAACCACGTTCAGCAGCAGAGAAATATTACAAACAGCCCCTTTAAGATTTTTGTTGAAGTTTGACTTGAATGCTTGTTCTTGGTCTTTACTAAAATTCAAATTTTTCTCATCTAATGTTCTGATGAATAAAAACTTAAAATGAAATGAAAATAAAAATTTACTAAACAATTAACAAAATTGACAAAATATGTCTAAAGCAATGTGACATTTCATCTCATGACTACGATTAAGCTGGCGATGTGTAGACCCACATCAACAGTGATTGTATGCAGCACATCGTTTATCCACAGCCTGATACATCTTATTCCAGTGTGTCATAGAGCGCCACTGTTGTCCAGAATCTGTTAACACACATCAGTGAGTTGAGTTTCTGTTGCACTGGGTGACATCAAACACACACACATTGACTCAATCCAACACACACACACCATCCCGCTGCCCCAAATACTCCCTAGAACAGTGGCTCCTGAAGTGGGCTCTGCAGTGCTCTGGAGGAGTAGGGTTATCATTGCTATTTTTAATGATGTGACATTTACATTAAGTGTATTTTATTTCCTCCAATTTGAGTAGTGTTTGATTAAAAACTAGAGTGAGCCGCTTTTTAAGGAAATTGCTGAACCTTTTCAGAATAAAATTTGTGAGGTGTTATTGAATAAGTGTGTCTTCAGTATAGGAACAAGTACTTTGGGAGTTTAAAGCCACAGAGTGAAGTAGAGATGGACTAACTTGTTATGGGTTTTGGTCTTTTCATGGGATTTGTTGACAATAGGAAATACACAGAATAAAACAGCCTTGTCCTTTAAAGAGTCTGTTTCTTTGCTAAAATGTGAAAACCCCCTCATGCAGGAGGGACTTCTGGGAGTAGGGACTTCTTGGAAATGCTGTAATTAGTAGAGTTCCTGTTTGTGTCAGTAATGATTTACACTGGGATCAATGTCCTCTGCGAGCAGAGCATCAGTAAAACCAGCAGCTGGGAGTAGTGAGGATTTTATGAAGAGGTGAACCTACTTTGCTGTATCACTCTGTAGTTTTCCCAGCTGGAGGAAGCCAGTACGTGTGGAGAATTAAGATGCGGCGGAGCCCGATGGTTGGAGGGATGGGGTTGCCTGCTGGATGCTTTGAATGACTCAGATGGAGTGCATGAGGACAGTGAGTGAGGGAGGGAAGAGGGAGGGGGAGGAAGCATCAGCAGATTTTCTCCTGTGAGGGAGGAGTGACTGAGGGAAACCCTGCGCTTCACCCTCACCCCTCCTTCTACTGACAATTGAAGGCATAAATTAACTTCCATGCTGCTATCCCGTCCTCCATTGGCTGAGGGGCTTGTTCCGTGGCTCCACAGTCGGACCTGCCAGTATGGGCTTCACTGATTGGCCAGGTTTGGCTGCAGTGAGGATGCAGGTTTCTGGAGGTTCTCTTTGCTGCATTTCTCTGGCTGCTGATACTGAGGCCGGTTTAGTAGCAGGTCCTGGTTGTCTGCTGCTGCTGTCATCATTTAATCAGTCTCCAGCTGAGATATTTACAGAGTGAAGTTCTAGTTTGATGAATGGAAAACTAATCATGCCTCAGAAGTTACATGGAAAGAGTTAGGAATTTTTTTTTTTATTATTCTGCTGTGTCGGATTTCTGAGGTGCTGAGCGTGGCTCTGTCTTCTGAGTGGTTTAAAGAGAAAAAGCTCAGTAAGAAGGTGAGAAAGTGAGATGCTGAGCTGCAGCAGTGAGGTGGAAGAAAGTGGAGGAGTCCTCTCTCTAGTCTCACGTCCTCGACTGACCTTTCCACACGTCTGCTGGCGCCGCTTCAACTCTTCGCCTTCGTCCGACAGACACAGTTGAGTGTCGTTGTTGTGTTTGAGTAGAGGCCAGCCACCCAGACGCAGTGAGCCCTGATTTAAGGATGCTGGAGAAAATGTTGCGTTTTCTGAGCCAGAGCCTTTTTGGCAGCGCACAGTGTGAGCCTGCTGAGTCCGAGCAGCCGGGGGAGAAAGAAAGTGGAGCTACTGAAGTGCAAACTGCTCTCCAGGGAAAGACTGCACACTCCTCTGACAGTAAAGACATCAGCAGGAGTAGTGTTACTCCAAAGAAGACCACAGTATTAATCATGGTGGCACCACCCACTGATCTCCAACAGGTAGGGTAAAGATGTGGCTGTGTTCTCTCACAGTAATGACCTTGGAAACTTGATGGTTCTTTTATTAGGTTTTTCCAAAGCTGTCAATGACGTCTCACCTACAGGATAATTAATGTTAGAGATCTACTGCCCAACTTTCTAATGAGCTCTATGTATTAATCTTTCTACGGCTCAGTAACAGCAACTACCAACAGATCAAACAACCTGATTAATCTTCATATTCATTTACTGTTAAGTTCTTTGAACAACTTAAACAAATCATTCATGTTCATTTTTGAGGATTGAAGTGTTTATGACTTTCATGTCAGGTTCTACTCTGCATGTGAGAGAAATGGTGGTGATGTCTGTTGGCCTGTTGATCCATCACTTTGGTTCAGAGCGAAATATTGCGACAACCATCCATTGAATTTCCAGTGAAGATATGTGCAGATATTATGTGTGTGTAATACTGTGTATATATAAAAACATATACATACATATACACATAGAGCAGGGATGCCAGGGTGAAATTGTTCAGGGGGCCAGATTTTTTTCAAGTGAGACCTCAGCGGGCCGAATTACACTTTCGAACTGAAAAGACCAAACACTGACTCAACATCACTGTTTGAAATTATCATTAAAGCCTACACATCAAAAAGAAATTTCATTGGCACCACAATAGCCTCACAATGAGGCCTACAATTACATAGAAGCCTAAAGCAAGTCACAGTACCCTCTGAAAACGTAATATTGTCCTATCCATGCTAGGGCTGTCAAAACTGCTCAAAAATGACGTTTGAATATTCCCTCTAAAAAAACACATATATTCAAACTATTTGAATATCTATTTGCGCATTATTCAATGACGCGCATCACATCAATACCAGGACAAACTAATACAACGAGACATAACTACTGTATAGGTAGGCTAGTTTATTTAAGTTTAAACATATTTGACAACATATTACCTACATAAAAATAACATGAACTAATGGCCAAGACCGCAGAGCTCACTCTAGCTCTCACACTTGCTCGCTCGCTCACTCTCTCTCTCTCTCCTCGCCCGCCCCCTCACGCTCTCTGTGCATACTAGTTTAAATGAACAACAACAATAAACAAATGCTGAGTGCTGATCAAAAGTTTTGTGCAAGCAATTTAAGCTTAGGGGGAGGGGGGGAGGGGGGCTCACTGCGCTGTTTGTCTCCCGCAAAGTCACACCAGGCAGCTCCGCAGGATTAATAAAGTATGTAACCTATTTTATTCGTTCATAACACATTTTTACCTAATGAAATTATCTGATTTAATTCACATTTTTGGCGTTTTGTCTTTCTAAAACAACTTTACCCACTCGCAAAGCAGACAAAAAATCTCTCCCATATCAACCCACGGGCCGGATGTGATGTTCAATCGGGCCGTGTCCGGCCCGTGGGCCGTAACCATGGCATCCCTGACATAGAGGATCAGTCTGAATGACTTTGTTGAACCATTGACTTTTTGTCCAGCAGGGTGATACGACTTCGAATCAGTATCAAACTTACGATTAATGATCGATCACTTTGGCGCATATTGGTCTTTTTTTGAGCCATGCTGTCTTCATATTCAGCTGTGTGATATTTACCATTGGTCTCTATCCATGATGCATTCACCACTGTCTGGATGTCGTGACCAATGAGACCCAATCAGGAGGTGAGGCACTCAGTCTGCGTCATCGTTGAGTCTAGTGACTGAATGTGGGGTAGTATTTATTTGAGGGGACAGTTCATGAACGCAGCGTTGGTGAAAGTATTAACACACATGAACAAAATGAAGTCTGCGCGTGGTTTTAAATGCCAACTCTAACCTGCATCAGACCACAGCTTTAAATTGTCCTGTAAATCTGCTGGATGATTTTGTTCCTATAGGTTGTGCTCGTGGTTCCCAGATGATGAATCTTAGTTACTGTGATTCTTAAGCGATTTTCTGTCGTCAGGTTGATCCTTTGGTTCTGAGTGGAATGTCTTCAGGGAAATTTGATGGATTGATGCGAGAACTTGGTACCAACATTCTTCGTCTCTCAGAATAAATAATTATAACAGGTGAATCTCCACTGTCACTTTATTAGTGTTCAGTTCTTTGTTTTACAACCAGATATTATCTGGTATCTGGTTTATTTGCCACTAGTGTCTCAGAATCAGCCTTTGAAAGGTAAAGGTCACTGCAGCAAACACTCAGAGACATGACATGATTGCCTTGTCCCAAACCTCCACTTATGGTTGAGACTGACATGGTTTATTTTTAGCTGTTGCAGCTGTTTTGTTTCTGTGATAGGAGTTAGTCAGCCATTTAATTCAGACCTGACAGATCAGGCCGGGAGCTACCACTGTGACTCCACCGTGTGACTCCACCGCGTGCTGCTTCTCAGTAATAATCATGTTGAAGGTTGGCTTCGACGCAGTGTGTGCTCAGGCAGCTTCAGTCAAAACATCAGCTGTGCAGAACTGGCTGACCATATTTGTTTAAATGGTTTATTGAATAACTTCACTGCATCACACCTGTGGATGTCAGAGAGAGGCTCAGCAGTGTCTGCTGTGTCCAGTACAGGAGTGCTCCACCCTGTGGTCATTACTGGTCGTTGCATTCTGAGAGTGTCTGAAGGGAAAAAATAAACTTTCAACTGAAACTTTATATGACTGTTTTTCTGTGAAATGGTTGATTGTATAAACACACCACAGACAGTGGCCTGTGACCTGGCCTTCCTGCTGTCAGTGCAGCGGTGCACATGGTTGATTTTCTTTTTTTCTTTTTTTCATGTTTGGACAGTTTTTCCCCCCACCCCCACCCCCACCCCTCGTTATCAGAGCAGATCATTTGCCAAAGTATTGCTGAGGTGGATTCAGCGTGAGACAAACATACGGGTTTCCTCTCTGCTCTGCACACCCAGCTGTTCCTCCCTCGGGTAGCTGTTTCCTGCCGGTAAGGGTGTTTTCATGTTCCAGCTCCTGTAGGAATCCTTCCAGCTGGCTTGGCAGGCTGTAGAAAGTGCCATGGTCTGTCTAAGATGACTAATAAGCTGACGGCTGTAAAGTGGTCTGAACTGCAGGCAGAGTCAACAGTGCACAGATGGAGGAGACTGTGCAGGCTGCTGTTTGTCACATCGCTTTGTCTATAAAGTCTTTAATAACAGAGATGGATTAGTTCAGTTAGTTCAAGTGAACATCCTTTACAGATAATTTACTGTATTCCCAGCTACTAAAGCAACATGTTCATGAGCTGCTTCTTGTCTCTGCAGCTGTCCTCGTTCCCATTTCCTCACATGTTTGATTCTCAATTAAAGTCCCTCGCATGTCCCCCCCCCCCCCCCCCCCCCCGCTTCTCCCCTTACAGAAAATAGTGAAAGCAGGGGACAAAGACCTGGACGGACAGTTGGACTTTGAGGAGTTTGTTCATTATCTCCGAGACCACGAGAAGAAACTCCGCCTCGTCTTTAAGAGTCTGGACAAGAAGAATGATGGTAAGGAATCTCTAAGGAAGTTTCCCAAGACAGAGACTAAGCTGACCTTTTATGTGTACAATCAGTGGCGAGATAAATGCTGAATTTCTGCGGTGTAGGTCGGATCGACTCACAAGAGATAATGCAGTCTCTGCGGGACCTGGGAGTGAACATCTCTGAGGAGCAGGCTGAGAAGATTCTCCGGAGGTGAGAGTGAAGCTGTGATCCACAGTCTCAGAGTCAGTCCCTGTTTGAGAGTGTGTGTGTGACGTCTCCCTCCTTCTTCATTTTATAATGTGTCACATTCATAGGCATGTGAACTGGAACAGAGGAGTAAATACCCCCAACACCACCCCCAACACCACCCCCCAAACAAACTGGAGCAGTTTTAAATGAAGTCACAGGTTCTTGTTACTGTAGCTCCTCTCAGTCAGGCAGCTCTTTATGTAAACATGTTAGCACTTTAACAAACCCACAACACTTACTCTCACGTTTAATAAGACATTCAGGTAAGAGGGGTGTGTTTAGTCAGCTAGACTGACAGGTTAGTCAGCCAATCACAGCTCCCTCAGCTCCATCCAGGGGTCACAGTGTAGGTTTTACTGGCTCATGTTGTTGTGGCTCAGTGTGTCCTCTAACCTCCTGTCTGTCTGTGTGTCTGTCTGTCTTTTCTTCTCTCTGGCTTGTCTCAGAATAAGGAGGGGCCGTATTTGGGCCCCTATCTTGTAGTAAGTAGTAGCTTCTACAGTCTGCTTGCTCAGCCAGTTCTGCACTACTCACCACTGCATCGTCTAATTCAGTTACCAGCTGCTTTCAAAGGAAACATGCAACAAACATCACATTGTTCAGAATAAAGCAATGATGTGATAACATGTTGATTCACAGTGCGCTCATAAAGCATCCTGTTACAGCACAGTGCACCTGAACTCATTAAAGGAAGAACAAACGTCACCGTGATTGCATGTGAGCAGCTTGCTCTCTGTCTGAAACTGTCACATTCCTAACAGTCTGTACCTGCTGTGTTATCTCCGTCAGTATGGATAAAAACGGAACAATGACGATTGACTGGAACGAGTGGCGGGATTATCACCTCCTCCACCCAGCAGGCAACATCCCAGAGATCATCCTCTACTGGAAACACTCCACGGTAAACTGTCTGCTCTCTCTCCGACAGTGAAGGTTCTGTAGGCGATCGTCACTGCCACTAGATGTCTCACTACACCACCAGCAACTTAGACCAAAACAAATGCTTCGTCAGCCACACATGCAGTCACCCTCTCTTCATGTGATTTCACCAGAGCCAGCAAAAACCAATCCACCCACAACCGTTGGCCCACGCTAGCATTGCAGTGATATGATCCACAGCAATGCTGACAGTTAGCCAACTAGCGACATTTGCCGAACAACTTCATAATATGGCTACCAGCGAGTTAACTAATGTTATCATTTCTACTGTAGCTGGTCACAAATAAAAACAGACATGTAACCTTATGAAGCATCACGTTACTGACACGTGGAGCAGAAGAAAAACCAGTTCTGAGTCCAGCTGGAGCCTTTAGCAGCTCGTAGCGTTCTCCTCTCAGTAAAACCAGAGCAGTGTAGGCTCCACGGCCGGACTGGGGAAGAAGCGCAGCCTTGGACTGATCCACTGGGACCAGCTGCACCAATGACTCTGACAGAGCCGGTAATGACCGGTGATAGAGTTCATCTTAGAAAAGAGCAGATTCGAGCTTTTGTTTCAACCAGCTGACACATAACTGCACACAAAACCAGTTTTTTCTGTGTGACTGGCAGTACAGCCAGCTAAACAGAATGATTAGCTCTGCTCTCCACAACAGTAAGTTGGTCTGTATTGACATCTTCACTGTGGTGAGTCTCCTCACAGCCGTCTGAAGGCAGCGGGTTTCTCTTCCATCTGCAGTCTAAATCTAAATTTAGCACCCAGCACCAGACTGTTACAAACTCACCACAGAAACCTCAGTGTTTACAGGCACATTAACTAACAGGCAGCACTGAAAACAGTTCACACAAGCTCATGAAATATTGTAGGGAAATGAAAACTTTCTCCACTAATAATCCCCCAGTGTCTCCAACCAAAACATCAGGACTCGTATTCACAAAGCATCTTCAGGCTAAAAGAAGCTCCTAACCTGCTGATCTTAAAAATAATGGGCGTGTCAGTCCTAACTTTAGGACTCCGTATTTTTCTGACTAAGCGTAATTCACAAAGCTACTTAGCGCTAAAAGTAGCTCCTAAGTCTGGGAGAAGTTAGAAGCAGTGGAGAGGACTCCTAACTCACTGAGACCAAATCACTAAGAATCTTAACTGGCTGCTGTCATTCCACATCACATTGTTCTGGAAACGTTAAATGACGCTGAATTACTTAAAAGATACGACTCAATCGGGAGGGAATAATGATCGTTGTGGAGTTTGTGAAGGTGCAGAAACGTCTCCTACCAACTGAAACAAGCCGATCAGTGCAGAAATGAAGTGTTTGGCAACACTGCACTAGAAAATGCAACTTTGCAATGCTTCTTCCAGGTCGAGACAAACCTCATCATACAGATGCATTTTGGAGAATGCACTACTTTTGTAAACAGCTCCTAATCCGTTATTATTTCATTTGTATTCGTTTATTTTTCAGTGTTTTTTTTTTGTTATTACTGCGGGATGTCGCATGTGCATTTTCAGTCTTTCATCAACCAATCGCTGTGGTTCCTGCAAGCGTGCTCGTCCATGAGAATTGACGTCAACCATAGCAACAGAGTCGTTCTCTTCCGTAAACCAAGTGAGCATGGCGCACCCCCGGTGCACAGGGACGTGTTTGACTGCGCACCGACAGTTCTTCTACTGTGTGCTGAGGACGACGGTGTCACCAGACTGAAACCTCTGTTTTTCCTCCACAGATCTTTGATGTCGGGGAGAGTTTGATGGTGCCTGACGAGTTCACGGCAGAAGAGAAGCAAACAGGAATGTGGTGGCGACACCTAGTGGCCGGAGGAGGAGCTGGGGCCGTGTCTCGAACCTGCACAGCACCACTGGACAGGCTCAAAGTTCTCATGCAGGTAACGCACCACACACAGCTCGTGGATGAGGCGCGTCTTCACTATATAACGGAACAGAGGGAGGTGAAGGACTGATCCCCTGTGTGAAGACGTGCTGACTGTTTGTCCTGCACAGGTTCACGCCTCCAAGAGCAACAGCATGCACATCGCTGGCGGCTTTTCCCAGATGATCCGAGAAGGCGGTGTGAGGTCACTGTGGCGAGGCAACGGCATCAATGTCATCAAGATCGCCCCTGAGTCTGCTATTAAGTTCATGGCCTACGAGCAGGTATGACCTCACACAGCTCTGGTTCAGATGAGTCGTTTACTTCTGTCTCGTTTTGTGTTGTTGCTGAACAAACATTAATTTCCTGTCTCTCAGATTAAACGACTGATAGGAAGTAACCAGGAGACGCTGGGCATCGCAGAGCGGCTGGTAGCCGGCTCCCTGGCTGGAGTCATTGCTCAGAGCAGCATCTACCCCATGGAGGTGAGAGACCTGTGAAGACATACCATGAAACTAGACCTGCATTAAACACATACCCTGCGTGATCATAAGGATTGTGTGTATCTGTAAATGCTGTGTAGAAACTCATGAGTCATGATGTTTGTGTGCAGAAATACATTGTCTTGTGACTGACTGCCCATTTTAACTTTTAGCCTTGAACCCATGACGTGAAACTGTACTGTGACCTCTTATCTGGAGGGAAACAGACCTTCACGCAGACTCACAGACCGTCAGTTATGCACAAAGTGTGAGCAAGTTATTTATGTAAATGAGGTTCATAACACCAACTTATTTTCTTATGAAAGATAATGCACGGCACACCTATGATACTCTGTACAAGTATGAAAGTTTTTTTTTTTTTTTTTTTTTTTCGAGTCTTGGACTGAAGTGGAGGTTCCTTCCCTCTGTGAGAAGGCCTGACATCACTTCCTGTCTCCTCAGGTCCTGAAGACACGGTTAGCCCTGAGGAAGACGGGTCAGTACTCAGGCATCTTGGACTGTGCCAAACATATCTTCCAGAGGGAGGGTGTGGCCGCTTTTTACAAGGGCTACGTCCCCAACATGCTGGGCATCATCCCCTACGCTGGCATCGACCTGGCCGTCTATGAGGTGTGTGCATGTGTGTGTGTGTGTGCGTGTCTTTTTTATTTTCTTTATTGTTTATTATTCTGCAGCTCAGTCTCGTTCCTTCGCTCTCCTCTGTCAGACTCTGAAGAACTCTTGGCTGCAGCGCTACGCCACAGACAGCGCTGACCCCGGAGTGTTTGTTCTTCTGGCCTGTGGCACCACCTCCAGCACATGTGGTCAGCTCTCCAGCTACCCGCTCGCCCTGGTCAGGACTCGAATGCAGGCACAAGGTCAGTCGCTGCCCAACTCTGCTGCTCTGTACAGCTTATTATTGAGCGTCAGGAACAGCCCAGCTGACAGATCACCTGTTAGTCGGTTTGTGAGATGGTTCGATTGAGATGTTTTTATTGCACCTCCACACACGCAGCTGTGGCCAGAGGTGTTCTGTTTTCTGTCCATCCGTTCCATTCTCATGAACATGATGTCTTAGGAACACTTTGAGGAAATTTCTTCACATTTGCCACAAGCATTCGTTTGCACTCGGAGACGAACTGATTAGAATTTGCTCATCAGTCAAAGGTCAAGGTCACTGTGACCTCACAAAACAAAAATGTTTTTGACCATAACTCAAGAAATCATAAACTAATTACAACACAATTGACAGGATAAAATGATGAAGTGATGACATACTTCACTGTGACATCATAATGTGTAAAAACACTTGTGGTCATTATTCAACACTGTAACTCAGGAAGGAGAGACTGTGACCATACTTCCTGATACTTGACTGGTTGGTGGTTTTTCTAAATCTCTCTTACTTCTCTGTGTGAGGCTGCAACTGTAAAAACTCTTGTTTCAACCTCATGAAACAGGTGGAAACCTGTGAAGGTGTGTGTGTTCATTACATTTGCTGTCAGACAGCACTGCTCTGTTTGTCTGCAGCAGGGTGTCACTCTGTCACCATGGCGACCGGCTGCACCATATTCATCCTCTAAACTCTTCGTGTAGCACAGTGGATCGTAGCTTCCAACAGAGAGACTTGTGAACAATTTGACACCATTAATATTTTCTGCAGGGTGTGTGATGGTCCTGGACTTGTTCAGGTTCAGGTCCACGGTGCCGTGTGTTTGATGAGCATGTCCTCTCTCCGTCTCCCTCAGCCACCCAGGAAGGAGGCCCTCAGATGAGCATGACGGGCCTGTTCAGACATATCGTCAGGACCGAGGGGGCCACGGGACTCTACAGAGGCCTGGCCCCCAACTTCATGAAGGTCATTCCATCAGTCAGCATTAGCTACGTGGTCTATGAGTACCTGAAGATCACCCTGGGGGTCCAGTCCAAGTGAGGAGGGAGGAAGACAGAAGAAATCCAGAGGCTACAGGCTTCTTCGCTTTTCTTCTGGATCTAAGAAACAAGCAGCTGAAATTCTCCACATTTAAAACATTCAATTCAAAGTCCAGGGTTTAAAGGACAAAAGTGAGATGATGTAAATGAAGAGGAATGAGAACTGATGAGGACGATGAAGACTTAGTGGAAGGAGGAAATCTTAACTGAAGCAATTACTATGGTTTGCTGTTTTTTTAATCATTCCGTTAGCAATTCAGAAGTTCAGCACCTATGGTTGCCACGGTAACTAGGTGTTCAGGCTCGCATGATTACATGACTTCCCACAATCATTTTTCTTTTTTTTTTTTTCTTTTTACAAACATAAAATCATTTGATTCATTTTGGCGTATCAGTGGTAGCTCCTACATTCACCAAATAAAATACTAATACTAGTTATTAGTACTGAGTGGGAGGCTCCCGTTATAACCTGAAAGGGTCACTTCACAGAGTAGTGGAGTCTGATCACGTGACCACAAGACGATGGCGGAGGATTCGGTGTCGAAGCCAAAAGCAAAAGCATCTACCTGGGAATCTTTTGGATTTAAATCCAGTGTCAGAAGGGAACCTGGACATGAATGAGCCAGGCACACTGTGTCTGGAGGAAGCAGCAGCTGGTAACACTCCTGATCTACAGATGCTGAGCCGACACGTGTTCGGTGTAATCTGTAACACCTGGTGTCGTCACCGGTTTATTACCCAGTGGGAAAATTTGCACAGCCTATCAGCACCTTTTGACTTTGTTTAGGAAAACTCAAGTTTACATTGAATTCATTGAACGTTTACTGGTTTACTGGTGGACCAGTAAACACCTTGTACCAGTTTGGGCACTGACACTGACAGTGGTGTGGCAGGTCGCAGTCTTGAAGGGCTTTAGGTTTATCATAAAGCATTCCCCATGTCTCTCATCACTGACTGTGCACTGAGCAGAGGTGGATCTAACATCTGCAGGTGTGTAAATTCCCTGTGTGTGTTTAATGTGCTCCGTCATGTTCGATCTGTCCCTCAGCTTTCTTCTGACAGTTGAAGACAGACTTCAGTGTGGACTGAGAAACTCTGTAGTGCCATCAGGACCGTGCATTAAGAAACATTAGCTTTCAGTGCCTGGGCCTCATATACGGTCTGATAGATGAGGTCATGCATATAAAACAAAACCACAACTAAACTGTCACAGATACTTGATTCTTAAACATGTGGTGAAACTAGCAAAAATGTTTTTTTCAGATTTTTACAGTTTTATTTCTTTGATCTGTTTTCAAACTTCTTTGGCAGCCATGTTTGCGCTCGGAGGGTGAACCTCTCCATCACTCCATCACTCTCCTCAGGCCTAAATGTGAATTGTGTCATGATATCGTCTAAACACATTAATGCTTCCAAAGGGATGAATCTTAAGTTGAGTCACCCTCTTCCTCCAGTGCCACCTTCGCACTACCCACACCCTGCCTGTGGTAATGATCCTGGAGTATCACTGTTGTATTGCTGTTTGTTCCGTCCAGTACATCTGTGCTGGGCGGCGTTGTGAGCGTTGCAGTTTGTGAAGAAGGTACTGATCCAGGTTCAGTTGTGCTTTTCCAAAAACTGATAGATTTTAAATACAAAGCTGAAGATCCGCTGGAGGCTGAGCTGTCAGACTGTCAGATGTCGTGCACTTTGGTGGTGGTTGATGTTGATATATAGAGCAGTGTTCCTACACGCTGAGTGTTGCATTAGGCACAGTCACTCAGTTATGGTTGGTGCCATTTAAGCCAGACGCTGAACAGCACCCTCTGTGGCCACGAGAGACAGTTACAGAATAATAACATTGAGTTTCCTCTGGAGTCAGTTACATCAGCAGCTTTACAGAGCAGGAACCAGCACGTCTCCTGGTGACCTTCAGTCTGTTTACTTCTTGTGGTAAACTGCTGAAATGTTAAAATGTAGTGTAACATTAGCACATTAATACAGAGGCTATAATGTCAGTGAACTGACTCAGTAATGTCAGTCACACAGTGTATCCATCTAAAGCCTTCTAACATTTACCTGACCAGGTACGGCTGCAGCAGCAAATCCCCTCAGTGTGTTTTGTTTGTTATTAATTAGAATGTATGTGGCCGGGCTTTAATGTCATCTGCTGGTTTGGTTTAGGTTTTGACTCTGTTGTTTAGCATTTAGCTGTACACTGAGTGAAAGCAACAACAGAGGAAATACTGACTGAAGGTATGTGGCTACCTTCCACTTCAGGGCCGGTTTTAATAGTGAGAGAGGATTAGAAAGGAGAAGGAAAACTCTACACTCCCTACCAAACACAAGACTGAATCCTTTCCATAATTAGACTTTTTCATGAAGCATCAGTGTGTTCACCTGTGAAGAAGGGCTCCTGCTCCATTTTTATTGGAGATGCAGCTAAAGCAGGCAGAAGCCGTAATCACAACATTTTCTGGTTTTGAAAAATGAGAAATGAAACTTCAGTCATGAAGGCCAGTTGATCCTGGTTTTACAAAAACAGGTGATTAAACTTGAATTTTTCTTTTTCTTTGCATTTAATAACATTAGTCTGAGGGCTGTCAGATAGAAAATATCTGAGCCCAAAAACTAGACATTTTCTCAGTGTCAATTAGAACAAGAAAGATTATATAATAAACAATGATATGTAATTGACAAAATTATTAATTTTGAAAACTCGTTTGTGTTTTCACTCACCACAGAGTTACTCTCATCAAACATCACAATGATCTTATTTTGCTTTGGCAGCATCTTTTCAGTGCTGACAGTATAATACTGTGACAGTTCAGAGGTTAACGTCTCTCTAAACTGTACACAAGCTTTAGCATTCACCTCCATTCCTCCTTAACTCCTGTACAATATATCAGTTATGTTTTTTAATCAGTTTCTTTTCATTAAATCAATGTGAAGCATCAAGAGAAAACATGTATTTGTGTTGTGTACAAGGGAAACTGTCTGACAAGGATTTATATTGTATATTTCTGTTAGTTTGTTTAAGTTGGATCTTTAAGGAATATTTCATCACCATGTTGTCTTGTACGATGTAAATCAACACTCCTTTAAGTTACATGGTAAGACAGCCAATCAGAGGAAGCGCTTCCAGCCTGACTGATGTCTGTGTCACAGATTCCCATCAGTGCCTTGTGTGCCAAGCCTCTCTGACGTAAATGCACCTGAACACGATAAGAGCTGGGGTCTGTGGGACACTGAATGCACTTTAAGGTACTCTGCTTTAATTCCTGTTTTTGTTTTATTTATTACTGTATTTATTTATTTATTCTTTCACAAAGGATTAAGGACTGAATGTGTGATCGATTGTACTGAATCATTTCATTTTTATGTGGCTGTTTGATTTTACAGTAACCTGTGGTCTTGGTGGAAAACTGAGGCTTGTTTTTGAGTGATAAATACGGAGGCCCAAAGTGTCCAATATTAAAGGCAGTATGCTATTTTATGCCCCTAGGGGTCTCTCAATCAAAACAATAACAAGTGATGGAGTTTGGTGAATTTGTGAAGTCGCAGGGGATCATAGATATGATTTTTATTTGATTATTGATTTTTCAAAGTGTCCTTTTTACAAATGGAAGTCTGTTTTTATTTCATCATGGCAGTTTTCCCAATAACACTTTTATGTACTGTGTAGTTTTATTTCCTAATGTTACTTTTCATGTGTTGCCTCTCACCTTTCACATACCCCCATCCTCTCTACAAAATTTGGCCAGTTAGCACTTGTTAGCTAAAGTCGAATTCGACTGTGTGGCTGCTGCTGTAAATAAAAAGTGCACAGACACATAAACGAATATCTTCTTCTATTTATTCAGGGTAGAAAGGCTGCTAATGCTACCTGTCTAGCTGGCTAAGCAGCTAGGTCAGCAATTGATCTTAAATTATTACTCGGCTTCAAAGTGAAGAGCCAGTGTTAGCCGTGTTAGCTAGCTCCTGTTAGCTCGAGCGACCACAAAGATAGTCTTTTCACTCTTCAGAGTTGTTTGTCTATAGCATCAAAACACTGCTGAGTTAACTCTGCTAACATTAGCTGCTCCTGTTAACACTGTGTCTTCACTTTGATGCTGAATAATAAACCAAGCTCCCTAACCGCATCCACCTAGACAGCCAGCTAGGTAGTTAGCATGTGCAGCCTTCTTAAGCTAAATAAATAAAAGGAGATATTAGTTTCTGTGCCTGTGTACTGTGTTGATTACAACAGCTGCCTCTAGCTGGTTGATTCACAATTTCTTTGACATTGTAGTTGCTCAGGCCAACAGGAGCTAACTGGCTAAATCTGGTAGCAGTTGTTTAGCTCACTAGCTTAATAGCGAGGGGACTGTGCTTTGAGGAAAAAGGATATTTTGACCACAGAAGAACTTGTTAAATTTTGTCGCAGATCATTTAAAAAGAATTTGGATTTTTTTTTTTAAGGATGGTGTATGCTGATTGACATTGGCTTTGGTGCAGGTTTACAAATTATTGCTTTATTTAAATATTTTACACAATTTATTAATGTGGTCATTTATTTTAGAAGTACTGATTTTGGGTCTCCGTGAAAAGATTCCTCTGATTTCACATCAGTTTGTTGTGATGATAAGACAGAAAGCATTTCAGCTGCAAACACTGCTCAGGCTTAAGCACAGCTGACTGTAAAGAATAAACACATTCAGTGACAGATATAATCTGAACAGGATCTCTTCATACTGAATCAAATGTATGTTGTGGAAAGCACGGTAATAAAAAGGATGGATGTATTCGTTAAAAGGCCAGCTCCCCTGCTCTGCAAAGCAACAGTCTGTGCGTGTCTCTGGTAGGACTGCAGTCTCACACGTTGGACTGTGCTTGTGACCTTCAGAATACCATGCTGCTTTCGTCAGCTGCCTTACTCCAGCATCACATCTGCTTTTGAACTCACGCTGTGTCTTAGCAGCAGGTGGAGAAGAGATGATGGGCTTATGTTTGCTCGTTTGAGTGTTGATCCTCTTTCACAGGTCCATCCCTCTTTCCTCCTCTCGCTTCCTGGCATAAGTGTTAATCTGACCCCTTGCTCTGATATCATATATGCATAAATTAGTGACACAGAATGATGTCACCCTGTGGCTGTGTGTAAATGTTTTCCATATTTTGTACAGTAAAAAGTAACTAATGTCTTAAAAGTAGCCCTTACTGTACGTTGTACTGACCAACCAACCTGTACAGGAACTACCAGACTATACAAACTAAAGGCTACAATGTATATTGGTAAATGATGGCATAGTTTTCAAAATGTATTCAGTATATATTTCTATTTTATTTTAATATGCTAGCTGTAAGTGACAGAGATGCAAGAATGAGTATGTGAGTGCTTTTACAGTAGCTTGTGTAGATGCATCCATTGAAAGAATGTTATGGTGAAAAGAATATTTATGCTTGTATGAGATCAGCTGTTAAATAAACTAGTTCAGCATTGAATGTGTCCAGTCTTTTATTTTGGTTTCATTTGTTATTCAACTCTGTACCAGAAATCACACCACATGACAAATGTTTGTTGTTTGTGTCAGTGTAATACAAAGGGGAAATGTGCTCTTGTCTACAACCCTAAAATAAATAAATGATATGTCCTTTCAGCACTCTGACATTCAAAAGACATTTCAGTGGAGGTCTATCATACATCTTTTTGACATTTACTCGTCTGTAGACATTTAGATTCATTTATTCAAGGTTGAGCATGAATGAGAACGGTCTAATGTTGTATTCACGTCGTATGAGTATAGATTTCATAGATATTCAACATATGTACATATTTACTTTTGCATAGTGAGGGGAGACTCGGACTGTTGCAACAAGTCTTATTCCTTCAATCAAAATCATGCTAGAGTGATGACACTCATACTGCACATGCTCAGTTAGACCCTCCCCCACCAGGAAGAGAGAAGACACAGCCAACATCTGCTGCTGTATTTACTGGAAAAAAACTTGTTTTATCAGGAATGAAAGTAACTTTTTTCATGAGTTGTATTTTTATCAAAGTGTCCTGAGCTTTTGTTTGAATTAATCAAAACTGACTTAGTTTGAATCATTGTGTTGTTGACTTCTCAGTGACTTGGTTAGCGTGTGTCAGTGTGTCACATGATGTTCTGTCATGGCTGACAGGGTGGAGACGGTTGCAACAAGTTATTGTAACTTTCCTCAAGCTGAGCAGCCAAATCACAACAGACCACACAACAGTGTAACATAGCATAGCATAGCATAGCATAAGAGAATAAAAACAAGTTATTTAGGGAATTATTTTATCATATATTTGCCTGTTCTTTTCATCATAAGCAACAAAATAAATAAATAGTGTCTATTCTGACTGAAGGCAGGTTCTATGTTCTACACAAAACAAAACCTGATAACTGTTCTTTGATCAATATTAAATAAATAAATAATATTTTAACATGAATGTTAATAAGCATGTTATTCTGAAAATATAATTGTAAAACAGTGCATATTTTCAGAATACTAAAAAAATACTTAAAATTTGATGCATTTTTAATATATTGCAACTATCTCTGATCTGTGTTTCAACCGTCCCCAGGGCTTGAGGTCAGTTGCAGCATCTGAATTCTTCCATTTAAAATAAATATTGTGAATGATCTGTCATATGTAATTATCTTTAAATGCTATGGGTAATTATCAGACAGATGTAATATATAAAAGTTTAGTTGGTCTAGAACAAATAGTCTCGGAGTAACAGAGAAATACAAAAAGTGTTGCAACCGTCCCCAGTATTAAAAATCCTCTTCCACAAAACGATGGTGTTACTTCCGCATTTTATCTTTAATTTGGTTGTAGCTTTAGTTGTAATAGATATGGGGCAAATTTTTAATATTTACTTGTCTATTATAACTTAGTTTAAATAAAATGAACTAACTGTAACTGTTTTTCTGAGTGTGCACTTTAGAGACGGTCCCTGGGCTGGATAAAGGGCGAAGAAGAAGAAATGTCCGCGGCTAAATAAACGTGGTCTAGCGGTTTAGTCAGGACCAGGTCGGTACGGACTCTGGTTATAGAGTCAGGCGGTTCAGTCAGCTGAGGAGACGCTGAGTCAGCTTGGACTTGTTGAGTCTCCACATGTCGGTTTTCAGACATGGCTACCTCTGTAGACCTGTAGTCCCTGACTCGGCTCCTGCTGGACATCCTGTTAGACCTGCTCTCTCTTTCTCTCTCTCTCTCAGCGGGATCTTTTCCTGGAGTCACGAGTTGTTCACGTTGTGCACGCAGTCATTTCCTCCACCGCGGCTCGCACTACCCGGACCTCCAGCCTGCAGCGGAGACAGGGAAGTTGGATGTCAGACTTCGGTTTTCTCCGGTACCGAGACTCAAAATGTTTTCTGTGGACCAGGTGAGGCAGAGCCTAGAGAGTGCGGGACAGACCCACATCCTGCAGTTCTGGCCGGAGCTGTGTGAGGAGGACCGGGACGCTTTCCTCCAGGAGCTGGCTCAGCTGGACCTGAGGGGACTGAAGGAGCACTGTGAGGGGGCTGCGAGGGCTGCAGCCTCCCCTGCTGCCAGTCTGGACCAGGACATAGACCCGGTCCCTCCAGAATTCATCGGCAGCGTCAGGAAGAGTGAGCAGAGCTGCCTGTCACTGTGGGAGGATGAAGGTGAGTGTGGGGGTTTGAGAGGGATAATGGAGAATTGTTAGTTCTGGGAAAAAGAGGAAGAGGAGGAGGGAGCCAGGTTTGTGAACAACAACATGGAGATGGTGTTTTTCCCTAGTTCTCTGTGCTGCTCTCAGTCTCTTTGCCTGTTTGTGACATTTCTCCAACCTCTTTCCTCTGACAGATACTCTGACAGAATCAAAGTTTCTTAGAGCTCCTCATGTATTATATTACTGGTTACATTTATTCACATATCGTATCAAAACTATCAAACTGATCTCCAGAACAAACCAGATCAATAAGATCATTTAACAATCATCAAATATCAACATCCAAAAACATGTGAAACTCACATCAGACAAAAACCAGAGTCAGACCTGAACAGACATGAAAACACCACTGTAAATAAACCTCCATACATCTGATGAGAAACCAGAGAAGAAGCTCCTCAGTCAGTGATCAGTGATAGGTGTCAGTTCATCAGTGGTTCATAACATGTAAACTCACTGTATCCATGGCAGTGTGTTTCCTGTCTGTGAAATAAGTAGATTTACCTCAGCAGGGTTCTGAGGGTTTTTGTTTGTTCTTTAATTCAGCGGTTCTCAAACTTTTTTGTTGTTGTATCTTTGACTCCTACATGTTTGGGCAGCTGTAGTTACTCATTATTCAACAGATTAAGATTTTACATTAAAAAAACAGAATAAGCTTATAAAGATTTAAAGTCTACTGTAAATATTAAATATTAAACTTTTTGGCTTGTGTCCTCTTACATAAAAGCAATGTCTACTTAGGACCTTTGTAAGTTTTCAAATGTCTGTGAATCATCACATTTCACCACAGAGCTCCTCACATGGTTTCAGTTAAATATCTTTTTTTGGTCCAAATTATCCAACATGTCTCTCACATCTGAGATTTGAGAAAAAGTCCAAAAGACCAGACACAGAACTTTTTTTTTTTTTTTTTCCTTTCTCATTCATCATCTCATCGCCCTCCAGATTTACCTGGTGACCCTTTAAGATAGAAGCAGTAGCAGTTAAAACTAGTTCCACCTCGAGCCGATTTCAGATTCAGTAATCGGGAAATTCAGAATCCCCCTCTTTATGAGAAGAAATACAGCAACATCATCAGTGTTGGAAAAGTGGCTCTAAATGCACCACAATAAAATTCAACATTCACACTTTGACACTAATCCATTTCATCATGAGCTTCTAGTTCCAGTGCAGTCAGTCTCATACTGCAGTATGTGTGTGTGTGTAGTTGACAGCGTTGGACACAGCTCAGCTCGTTTTACAAAGAGGGCTTTGTATGTTTACTGTTTGTGTGTATCTGATGTTTTGTGTTTATTGCACTTGGACTGAAAAAGGCAAGGTTTTGACTCCATTAGGCAAATGTGTAACCTGAGGTATGTGGAGGGCGAGGTTATGAAAAACAACTGTGTGTCTTTATATGGTTTTGAGAAGCAGTTGAGGCAGACCGCCCCCCCCCACCCTGATCCTGGTTCTGCTGGAGGTGTGTACTGTTAAAGTCTGGACCTACTCTGTGTGAAAAGTGTCCTGAGATAAATTCTGCCATATGAATAAAACTGAACTGAATAGAGAATGGTCCACTCATGTACAGCCTGTTACAGTGGGATGTGTCAGCATTACTGTGAACCACTAGGCTGAAACTACTGAACAGCATCATAAACACAGTTAAAGGTTAATGCAGCTTATAAAGTTTAATCAGACTTTCACTTTACTCTATGACTCTGACTGTGCTGTGTTGGCAAATCAGTGAAGTTCACAAACATACTAACTGCTGCTCGTATTCCCGCTCTTTTCTCACAGGGCTGCTGCAGATCTCAAGGAGTCGAGTGGGCGTCCTGCTCTTGGCCGGTGGTCAGGGGACCCGTCTGGGCGTTCAATATCCCAAAGGGATGTACAATGTTGGGCTGCCGAGCGGCAAAACCCTGTACCAGATCCAGGCAGAGCGGATCCACAAGATCCAGGAGCTGGCAGGAGTGAAGCACGGCTCCACGTGCACCGTGCCATGGTAAGATCTCACTGCACTGCACCACTCTGATCATATGCTGGCTTTGATGCTGACACAAGGAATATTAGCATTCATTTGGAGTGGTGTCTCAGCTCTGCTTTGGTCTCCACCAGCTGCTGAATTAAAAGAAGGAAGAAAGAAAACTGATCTGGGCACAAAATTAACTTCAGTACAGAAATAGAAAAACTGTGAAGATGAATAAAGAATATTAAGAGGGCACCATGTGTCAATAACTGGGGATTTACTCAAAAGAAAACGCAACAGAAAAACAAATAGATTTAGGCCGGTCTGCTAATAAGCACACATACACACACACAGATCACCAACTTTTCTAATATTCGTCAGTTATTTTGATTAACTAACATCTTGGTTATTTAGTTTATCTCACATGAATAAGGCAGTGGCCACTCTAACTAGTCCTGCTAACAGCTAATGGTAGGCTAACTACCCTAATTTAGCACAGTAGCAGTGTCTGCTACCTCAGTTTTCGATTGTAGTGATTTGATGTGATTCAGCTTCATTTAAATCACATTTAATTTATTATTGTTATTAATTTATCAAATTTAATGTATAAAATTGTAAATGAATTAATTATATTTTGGATTTGAAGGTGATTATTAACAGATGGTAGAGAAGCTGAAGCACATTGGTGTTTTTAGGTCATATTCATGAGATCCACATCAGTGGTGTCTTTGTTGCTAAGTAACTGATCTAAATGAAGGAATTACACAGATTAATTAGAGCCGATAATAACATGAGTGTTTGTCTCCGTCATGAAGCCTGCAGCAGTCTTGAGAGAAATAATGTGACAGAGTGAAAACACCTGCTCTGTGGCTCCTCAGGTACATCATGACCAGTGAGTTCACTCTGGCTCCCACTGAGACCTTCTTCAAGGAGAACAACTACTTTGGTCTGGAGCCGTCAAACATCGTCATGTTCGAGCAGCGGATGATCCCAGCCGTGACCTTTGATGGAAAGGTCATCCTGCAGGGTAAAGGGAAGATAGCCATGGCTCCAGGTGAGGACATGTCAGCTGATTCAGACGAGGGGGCAGACACACTGTCAGTGATAAGTGATGTATTCAGGACGATGTCTCTGCTCTGTGTCAGATGGTAATGGTGGTCTGTACCAGGCTCTGGTGGACAACAAGGTGCTGGAGGACATGGAGAAGAGGGGGGTGGAGTACCTGCATGTGTACTGTGTGGACAACATCCTGGTCAAGATGGCCGACCCCGTCTTCATTGGGTTCTGTGTGAGCAAAGGGGCCGACTGCGGAGCCAAGGTGCAGTAATATCACACAGTGGATGTAAAGACAGCATTAAAGGGACAGCTACGGTGGCCCAGAGAGCTCAAAGCACTGCAACTTAAGAAAACACATTCAAATAGACAGAACACAAACAACTTCAGAAAACATCTTCATCAACACACGAGCTGCAAATACTCACAACACAACAGAAGTGTTTCCAGGGGACACAAGTACGGGGGGGGGGGTCGCCCGATAGAGCGCATACCATGAAGGTATAATTCTAACCACAGTCGCACAGGTTCAAGTCCAACCTGTGGCCCTTTGCTCCATATCATCCTCTCACTCTGACTCTCACTCTCTCTCTCTCTCTCCCTCTCTCTCTCTCTCTGTGTCTGACTTTCCTGTCTCTCTCTCACGGTCACTATTGGAATTATGGTAAAAAGAATAAAGTGATGAACCTGCTGGGATGCACCCGTTGTTCAAAGCTTTGTGACTTTTGAAGTTAAAAGCATTGAACATCAAGTGTGTCCCAGCAGGTTCATCGCTTTTCAGAGTCCCCTGGAAACACTTCTGTTGTGTTGTGAGTATTTGCAGCTCATGTGTTTCAAACTGATGATCTTTTCTGAAGTTGTTTGTGTTTTGTGTATTTGCATGCGTTTTCCTAAGTTGCAGTGTGTTGAGCTCTCAGGGCCACCGTAGATAGTTCACCACTTATTCACTTTGTCTCTGACAGTGAGGTGAGAAGACTGAGATCAGTTTCATGTTGAATACAGAGCAGGAGGCCTATTTCACCCCTGTCTCTGTACACATCAACATGTTCACCACTGAGCTTTGGATCACATGATGATGCCTCCAAGTGTGTTGCAGATGTTTCCTCCAGATCGAAGACCTGTCAAATATCAAAACACATCAGTTACTTAAATAAGCTGCTCCTTTAACTGGTTGATTTTCGTCAAAAAAAAAAAATCATTTGGCCAAACACACCTTTACCCCCTGTGACGGCCAAAATCCATCTTTTTGACTTAGCTAACTTTTTGAATGTCTGTCTATCCTCCTTCACTACCTTTATCATATATCAGGTTGTGGCGAAGGCGTACCCTACGGAGCCAGTGGGTGTGGTTTGCAGGGTGCGGGGCGTCACTCAGGTGGTGGAGTACAGTGAAATCCAACCAGAGACGGCTAAACTCCAAGGACCTGGAGGAGAGCTGGTCTACAGCGCCGGAAACATCTGTAATCACTTCTTCACCAGGGCTTTCCTGAACGATGTGGCAGAGTAAGAACCTTTTAATGTCATGAACTTCTACAGGACACGCCCACATCTGATGCTAAGGTCAGGGGTCGAGTGATAATCAGCCTGGGTGATTATCAGAGCCGATATTCAGCATTTTTATGATTATCTGAATCATTTTTTAACAAATTTCTGATTAAATTAATTAATTTGAAAAATGTACGACTGAATCTGATGTAGCCGCCTCTTCCTGTCTGTAGTCACCACTCTGTGCTCTGGAGCAGTGTACCGCATGGAAGGCAAAGCAGCAGATAACAAACATCACAGTCCTCTAAACAGCTGTGGAATTAGTGAGGAAGTCACTAAAAGCAGCAGAGAGCTGTGAGCAGAGCTATTGTAAGTTTAAATGTATAGCAGGTAGTCAGCTGCTGGTTGAAGAAAATAAATCCAAGTAAATCAAAGCCCTTCTTCCTCTGAGCCATAAGGCTCCATTGATAGACTCATGACACCTTCACAGCACTCATTTCTGCTGGACAATGTGAAATTACTAGCGCAGCAGTTCACCTGTAGTGCCACCACTGGGCCAAAGTTTGCACCTTATTACCATTTGGAGATGGATGACGTCACAGCACATCGCGGGAGTGAAGCTAAAACATCTCCATCGCCCCCTGGTGGCTGGCTGCAGTATAGCTCTTAAACCCCGCCCCCCTCCATGTTAGTGGATGGGCCAAACTAAAAAAAAATCAAAGTTCATTTTTTCTGATATCTTTGGTTTTAATTAGTGTGATGCTATAAAATAGGAGTCTGACGTCATGATTGACAGCTGTGATTGACTCATGATTGGGTCGAGCAGGTGTATGGGCGGGACCTCAATGCTGCAGGCCCACCCCCTGATCACCACTGCGCACACTTTGGCTCCAAATGACGTCACCAGCTCAAGATGGCAGCGCTCGTATCAGGATGTTTTGGCTTCATATTTGTGAGAGGAAGTGGAGACGTCGTCCATCTTTAGAAATAGTCACTGTCTCTAAAACGAACCAGATTTCCACGACACAGCTGTGGAGCATTGTGGCCTCCAGAGGATAAACCCTGTAAATAATCTTCCTTTAATGTCGTTGGTCCTGAACAGGAAGTTCGAAGGGAAACTGAAACAACATGTTGCAATCAAGAAAGTGCCCTTTGTGGACTCACAGGGGAACCAGGTCAAACCCACCAAACCCAACGGCATAAAGATGGAGAAGTTTGTTTTTGATGTCTTTCCATTCTCCAGGTACGGTCGATGATTAGATTGTGTCTTTACTCATTCACATCCACTGTTTTACCTCACATTAAACTCACTACAGTGTTAACACATTAAAACATTTGCTTTGTCCTCTTGAAGGAACTTTGTTGCGTTTGAGGTTGACAGAGAGGATGAGTTTTCCCCCCTGAAAAATGCGGACGGTGCAGCCACAGATACCCCGACTGTTGCCCGCAACTCCCTGCTGGCTCAACACTGCCGCTGGGTCACGGCGGCTGGAGCCAAGCTGCTGGACCAACACGGACATCCCCTTCCTCCCAGAGCCAGGTCAGAGCGAGAGTTCAAGCAGCATATAACACCAGACCATAACACTACTTCTAATGTTGATGCTAACCAAGCTAGACACCTGCTGGCTTTAGCTTCAGATACAACAGCTGTATCAGTCTCGTCTGTCCAGATGTGTTGAACTGTTCCTTTAACTGTTACACTAGTCATGTGTTACACTTGTACTCATCCTGCCAGGTGTACAGCCTTAGATTTCCTCCAATCATATTAGCAGTGGGGCAGCAGGTTAACCCCTCCCATCATATAATACTGACCTGAGCAGCAGATCGTGGGTGACAGCAGCCAGCAGAGTGATGTCACGAGTCAGCGGCTGGAGATAATCTGAATTTATCTTTGTGTGTGTTTTCTCCCTGTAGTGCATCAGCAGGTGACAGTCCTCCAGCTCAGTGTGAGATTTCACCGCTGGTCTCTTACTTTGGAGAGGTGAGGACAGGAAAGAGCCCACAGATAAAACCTTTCTGGGTATTTGAGAAAAGTTGTATTGTAGTTGGGATAGTTTTTTTTTGTTCCAGTGTTAAACTTCAAGTTCTAACTGGAGCCACAAACCACCAGGAAACAAGGGTTGCACTCAATTGTTCTGTTTATTTAATGTGTTTGCGGATTTCCAGGAAGCTCACAATGGTTCTAAACAAAGGAGAAAAACATTACAATATTTTGCACTAACAAATCCCAAATCTGGGCTTGTAATCATAAATATTAGCCTTACATTATGATTCATTGATTCATATGAATTTTTAATACACCATAATCCCAACTAAGAAAAACCAAGAAAATGCTACTTTATATTGAAGGTAAAGCAAAAGACACATCAACTCAAACAAGGTGACGGGGGTGAGAGAGGAAGGCTGCAGTCGAAAAGTCTTTTTTTCTTATGAAGGTTCAAACTGAGTGAAATGAGCTGAAGTGTCTGAGCAGCATCATGATCACAGCTGCTCCACTTCTCTACATGAGGAGGAAAGGAGCTTCAGTGCTTCCTATCTTATCTCCTTCAGCAAAGGAAACACTGGAGCTTCCTTCACCAAAGCAAAGGAGATAATGCCGTCCCACAATTCCTTGCTTCAGCAACATTTAATGCAAAGCACCACTGTAGCTTCACCACAACAGACCCACGTATATGTAGAAAGAACAGAGCAGCTGTTTTATGTTTGTGACACGATCCAGAACTGATGGAAATCCTTGTCTGATCCACTGAAGCCCGAATCCATAAATATAGATTTATTCTCTTTTAAATCCAGTGAAGAACAAGCAGGTTGAATATATAGTTAACAATATCATCATCATAACTAAATACTACAGTTTATATATGGATGTATTTCAACTATATCCTTATCTCTACTTAACAAATGTATAGAAACGTCAGGAAACTACAAACTTATGTCTGAATATAATTTCTGGCTTCTTGCTCAGTTTCTTATTTCTATTTAATTATTATTTTAATGGCTCAACTTTCTATACTTGTGTATTACTTTCATCTTATTTCAACATTTCATGCCTGTTTGTTTTGTTTTTGTGGTTAGGAAAGGAGGAATTATCCTCCATGTGTTATAAATAAAGTGCTTAGGAAAGGAGATTATTTTGACTTTTCGACCGCAGTCAAAGAGGAGGAAGTGCTCCTCCTGGCCTCTGCTTGTAAGGTGGGAGGAGGAACTTCCACGGGTAGATGGAACTACAAAGGAGGGGATATGAATTTGCAGTTTCTGGACTGGTGAAACCTACAGAGCAGTAACAAGGTTTATATCTCAGTATGCTGGCTAAGTGAATGAGGTGCTGTGATTTAACCACCTCCTCTCCTCTCCTCCTCCAGGGTCTGGAGCTGCTGAGGGGGAAGACGCTGACCACTCCGTTCATCCTGGATGAGAAACGGGCCAAAGAGCTGCAGGCTCAGTGATGAACAGAGTGAGAGCACCAGCTGATCTCAGAACAGTGAAGACAATCTCTGATGGACATATCTGAAGAATGAACAGCTTTTAAATTCAGTTTTAAACTGTGTGCGTGTGTGTGTGTCTGTGTGTGTGTGTGATGATGGTCGAATCAAACATTTCATGCATCTCATGTAACTGTCACTTTTTTAAGATCATGTGATGTGATCACTTGAAAAACAAATAAGGGAGCAACAATCTACAGGGATTTACGTAAACACTGTTTTATTTGACCTCAGCTGTGTCCTCTCTCCTCTCCTCTACCTGTTCAACTTTAAAGCTCCAAGAATTAGTTTTCAACTGTTTCAGGACACACATGAGTGTTTGGTGCTGACTGAGTTTCCTTTCAGGCCATGATTACACTGATCCATGCTGAGGCATTGAAAACCTCCTGAAGTCTTTGGAGCAGCGAACTACATTTATCTTTTCATTGAACAAAAAGCTCATTTTAATAACCAAGAAAAGTAGAAAACTACATAAAAGATGGAACACTGAACATTTACTGACATGTCAAAGCAGATGTTGCTAAATTAGCAACAAAGCAAAGACTGTACCTACAGAGGCACACACAGGATAACAATCACAAACTTCAGTAGAGATACAGTGAACAGTGTAATCAGAGAAACAGCACACTTCGATGTGTGGTGGCAGCTTCTCGTGGGTTTTGATTTAATTGACTGACATGACTCCCATTAGGGAGCTGTGGAGTCGTGGTTTTTAGCCAGCAGGCTGCAACAGTGAAAGACACAGTGGACTGAGAATGTGTGTTGAACACTCTTTCAGCAAAGTAGTGAAACTGCTGCATCTGTCAACCATGGAGGAGGCACACACTCATAATGTGATAAAAATCTCTATCTTTTGGAAGTAAATGTTTGGCCTTGGTGGAGGGATGCTTTACTGAGAGCCATTACAGTTTACTGTCATTTCCATAAAACTCCTATGTTGATGCCAGATTTATTAGATTCAGCTGAAGAGTACTCACAACTGAATACTCAGTCAGCCAAATGGATGCAACAGAAATATATGAATTCTTACAGTTAAACTTCTGCAGTACATAATAGTTCTACCATTTAATGTCATTGTAGACATGCTGATGACCTGTTTACATAAAGAAGCCTCAGTTTGTTGGACCAAACAAACTGTTCCAGTTACACACTAGGCAGTGTGCCAGTTATCGCGCTTTTTTGACCTTTCCGGTCACCGTATCCTGGACCCTCTCGTGACCGACGCTGACCAATCACAGATCTGAAAAGGATGACAACAAAAACAAATGCGTTAAAAGGAGCGGAGTGTTTATTACAAGTGCAGTGTCTCAGCCACTAGCGTTCGATTTTATATCATAGGTTTAGATTATGAAATTAATTATTTTAATTCAGTCTTTGTTTTAGTCGGGGGAAACAAATAGGGAACGCAGCAGCCTCGCGTGCAGACGGTCACAGTACGACCGTTAATTCTGTGACGACACTAACGTTAGCTCGCGCTCTGACAGGACGCTGTGTTCTGATGTCTCAGAGAAGTTCACATCAGTGGTTTGTTTTTTAACGCTGGTTAGCATTCTGTCGTCAGCTCGTAGCTAACTCTTTAGCTAGTAGTAGCTGTCCAGGTCCACCCGAACGCTGATGGCGGCTCTAACATGCTAGGACCATGTTCAAAAATGTGTTCGGCTCAGGGTTTCTGGTGAGAACAGCTCATGTGATTCTGACATGGGTCATTACGTTAATACTCTTCCTGCATGATACAGGTAAGAAACAATATATAGAAATAATATGTCAAGCTAATTATTACAGCAAATATACAGATGTTAGCTATGGAGCTGCTGTTCAGACTTGGTCTGGACCCTGGATCTCTCTGCGGGACCTGAGTGTGTGTTATTGGGTTAAATCCTGTCTCTCGGTGTGTTGTGGTTGAAGAGCTGAGGAAGCAGGAGGAGACGGGCCAGCTCGTCCAGCCGGTGCTCTTCGTCCTGCTGGTGCTGGTGTCGGTGCTGCTCTATTTCGCTGTTTCTCTGATGGACCCGGGATTCATCTTGTCTGATGACAGCGATTTACAGGTGATTAATGAGCCTGATGAATATTTCTGTCATCAAGGAAGCAGCTGTAATAGTTTGATAGTATTTGTGAACACACGTTGCAGGTCGAAAAATGTATGGGACACTATAAGGATAAAGATCTGTGTAAGATATTGTAACAGTTATATTAATTATAACAACAAAATGGTGTTTAGTCATTTAATTCACATTGAGTCCAGTATAAGAGGATCCTCTCTGACCTGAGAACCTTTACTGATTTCAGATGATTCCTTCTCATGGCATTGCAGGTGTATTGTGTTGCAGTGCAGGTGTGCATTTGATGCATCCCTGATCTGGAGTCAGTTCAGCTCTATACAAGAGAAGGGATTTATGGAATATTAGGAGAAAGCTAACACCGTGGGAGGTTTGTGTTGGTCAATGTAATTGATATTATATTGGAGAACAGAGTGCAAAGTTTATTGCACAGTACACACACAAGTCCTGAGACATATCTGGTGAAAAAGGCCCAGGAGTGTGCACTGTAGATGTAGTAGACGATGAGCTGCTATTTTAAAATGTCTTTATCAACACAACAGGTCATAATAAAAGCTTGAGCTGAAAATGGGCAGTGTCTTCTCTGACCAGTTTGTCTCCTGTGTTGTACCAGTTCACGCTGGGAGTGACTGAGGAGCAGCAGGACATGATCCCACCCACCACCAAATCCCTGCGACAGCGCCGCTGTGGCCACTGTCTGCTGCAGGTACGCCGTCTGCCGTGTCAACACGTTTGTTTCTCACTCAGGTTAACACAGTCAGAGAAAAAAGATGGTGAGATTTCAGAGGCGAGAGAGTGTGAATGAGTCAGATATTCTTGTCACCTTGTATGTTGTGCTGAGACAATAACTTAATAAACTTTCTGTGTCTTCTTCTACTACAGTACTTTGCTCATATGTTTCAAGTGACAACGTAAGTTTTTAGGGAAGACTGAGATGTGGTTGAAAGCTCTGGAAGAAGCTAGAATTAGATATTTTGTCTGAGTTGCCTGCAGAGTTAGTGACAGTGACAGTGGGTGTGGTGTCAGTCATTTGTCATCTCTCTGTGGTGCCAGTGTCTCAGGTGAAATGTGACTCTGGGCTACAACACGTACAGGATCCCTTAGTGGTATAGAATAACAGCACACAGCTCTATGTTACACACTCATTCCTACTCAAAACACCATGTGACACAGGAGCAGGAGTCAGGTACATCGGTGGTCAGAATGTAAACCACTGTCAGTTCTTATAACAGAGACTCAGTCAAGATGGCAGCTAAATCTAATGTTTCTGATTTATTTTCAGATGTGAGCAGTTAAAAAAAGCCTTTTTTTATCCAGCTCTTTATTTCAGCCAGAACCTAAACAAGTGTGTAAGACATTCAAACAGAAGAATCTCCACTGGAGATGTCAGTGCTTACTTTTTAATGCCTGTTTTAAAAGCTCATCACTCAGCTGTGCAGCAGGTTTATTGTGTGACCAGGCCTCAGCTTCACAGTGAGTGGAGGAGCTTCAGACCCAGAGTGTCAGCAAGAGTTTGTTTCTGATTATAGATTACACAGGTGTTTTCTGAAAAGCTCACATATACAGTGTTTTCATCCTTTTCTTAGCAGCTATTTGTGTTAAATAAAATTACGCTTCCAGTTTACACAGCACATGTTTATGTTTTTAATACAGACCTTTATTTGTGTTTCCTCGAAATACAACAACCTTTATTCCAAGTAGCAGCCAATGAGATCGAAGCACTGCCAGACGTGTCAGCACTGTGTGCGGCGGTACGACCACCATTGCCCCTGGATCGAGAACTGTGTTGGTGAGAGGAACCACCGCTGGTTTGTGCTGTACCTGGCTGTCCAGCTGCTGGTGCTGCTGTGGGGGCTGCACATCGCCTGGTCAGTACAACACTGTCACTGTGTGCAGGCGGCTGTGAGGCCTCCACACATCACTTCTCTCCTGCTTTGTTTCCTTAGGACCGGTTTCAGCTACGCGCCCACCTGGCAGCTGTGGCTGCGCACCAACGGCGTGCTGCTGGCCGTGGCCGTGTTGGTGGCTCTGCTGTCTCTGATTGTGCTCCTCCTGCTTGGCTCCCACCTCTACCTGGTCTCCCTCAACACCACCACCTGGGAGTTCATGTCGCGCCACCGCATCTCCTACCTCAAACACTGTGGCGCCGACGAGAACCCGTTTGACCGCGGCACCTTCCACAACCTCTGGGGTTTCTTCTGCGTGTGGGGCACGGTGGTCTGGGAGCAGGTGTACTTCAGGGAGGGCAGCGACCAGGTCTAGGAGCACAAGACGAAAAGACACTCGACCACAATGTGAGGGGATCAACTGTCCCTGTGTGTAGTTTACCTTCATATAGACTCTTGTGTTGTTGTGTGATGACATCACTTCCCTTCTTCCCTAGCGCTTCCTCTCAGTGGTTCAGTGCTGCTTGCTTGTGTTCTCATGCTATGTTGATACGTTCCACATTATCCTGCATCTCCTGCTGTCTGTCAGCATGTCTGTCAGCAGAATGAAACTAGCCCTGTGTTTCCTCAGAGAGAGATTCCTGCTGCTACTCAACAGCTCTGCAGCCATTTCTCCTCATCCCAACTCTTGTTTACTGGGAATCCTCCACAGTCTGCAGCACTTTACTGCTGTTAGTGAAGCTGTGTTTATGCACCCACCTCCCACCTGCCCCTCGCTCCTGCTTCCACTGAGTCATGTGTGTAGGAGTAGTTACATAGTGAACCTGACTAATGGACTGTTACTTTATTCTGAAGTTTACGTGTCACATACTGCATCATTTGTGTAAAACATTTGTTTTAGGGGCATGTGTAGATGATCCAGATCTGTGGTCAGTTCTGGTCTCGCTCTGGACTCAGATCAGATATTTTTTAAATTTGTGGTTTTTGGTGTAGAGTTTTATTCTGTTGTTGGTTCATGTGATAACTTGATGTAGTTATTTATTCTGCGGTTTAACAGGGTCACTTTCTGTCAGACCAAGTGAAAGAATCTTTTTTTATTGTAGATTTTTTTTTTGTAAAGCTCAGTTGATTTGAAATATGAAGGTGTGAACACTGTACCGTTGTTTCTAGCATTTAATCCGACCATGATGTACAGGAGCATTTCAAGCTATTTTATATTATAAATCATTTTTAAAAACTGTTTGAAACCAGATTTTTGTATCTGAGTGTTTTAATAGAGAAACTGGAAGGTCTGAGTGCAATACACCTGTGTTTTTCCTTGTGCAATAGTAAGACAGCAATAAATGTGGTGTTGGATTTAATGTACAGCAGCAGGTCGAGTCATTGTTAGTCAGAGCCCTGATTTATATGAATTAACATTAATTAACTTGTGTCATGTACTTCTGAATTATATGCAATACTGTCATCCAATGTTTTTTACTACTTTGAAAATACATCAATAAATAAAATCAATCTTTGATGAAGAGTTTCCTGCTGCAGCAGATCTGTTTATTCATTCATATCTCCGTGTAGTTTAATATGTATCCTTCATGAGTTTTATTTTAAAAATCCATATGCAGTAGTATTGACAGAAATATCAGCACATCACATCCCATCAACATATAACAGGTTATTTAACAACAGCTGGATATAAAATGATCAGAGTAGAAAAGTTCATTCAGTTTTCTTCATTTGGATATTTACAGAGCCGGACTGAGGAGGCAGTGCCGAGCATCACTGGCACAATCAACATTTATATAAAAAATCATCCCACCACAGCTCTGACAGAAACAGCTCCAAATCCATTTGGTATAAAGTAAATGCTGCATCATGAAATCAGAGGCAGTGGGGGTCAGACTGGCAGTGAAGTGTGACAGGCTGTTTTTGTAGTGTGCAGGAAACAGTCCACAAAGATGAAAGAGGAAAAGAAAAGGTAAAGAGTGTCGTTTCTATGATTCTTGTTGAATCAGAAGCACAAAAAGGTGGAAACAGGAGCCGCCTGTGACAGTGATGCGGCAGCACAGAGGGAGATCCCTCGGGTCAGCTCATAAAGGAGAAGTCAAAGTCAGCAAAGATCTCCTGCTGCTCTGCAGTGAGGACGCAGGGCGTCCGTGGGAGGGTGAGGACTGGCTTGAGTCGAGTGAACTCCTCGTCGAAGTTACTGACGTCCTGTGGCGCCCTGATGACCGGCAGGAACGGTGGTTTCACCTTCTTGGCCAGGAGAGCGTTCCAGTCCGTCCCCTGTCAACACAACAGCAGGAATCACTCACAGGTTTCTCAGATCTCAGACTTCCTACATATTTACCATTTCAAAACTCCACATTTTTCAGAACATAATTGACATCTGGATACAAACAGCTGGATGTTTATTATGTAAATAAGTGCTTTTAAAATCCAACTGTTAACATGTACCCTGACTGTACATACCATTTTCCTCTTCTCCTGTGTTGATCCATCAGAAGATATACTTGTGGTTTTAAGAACCAAAAACCATCTCAATGTAGTTTTACATCTCTCTGGAGCTCTAGTAACGACAGGTCAGTGAGCCAATCAGAGGAGAGGAAGAACTGTATGACTGTAGTTTGCTACTGTAGTGCATACATATGAATTAATACCTGACCCAGAAGTTCAGTGCATTTGAACTTTTGTATTATTCAAGCTGCTACAACTGTAGTTGTAGTTGAAACTGTAGAAATCAAAATAACTTTATACCTTCAACCTCTACAGTAACAGTAGAGACGTTCATGTAAATTCACCAGGGAACTGAATCATTTAAAGTCCACTGACTTTGCTCTGGAAATTACACACTCCTACGCTCTGCTCAGACTCAGCTCTCCACAACATCAAGCTGAAGTTGGCACTCTCTCTCTCCCTCTCTCTCCCTCCCTGTCACTCACTGTGGTAAATATTTTGGCTGCAGCTGTAAAACATTCTGCTTGTATGATCAATTAAATTTACAATTTACGAATTTCATATTTTAGAAAGCGAAATAGTGTGGAATTTCACTGTAGTCTTTTCCAGGTCTGGATAAGTCTGGAAGAATATTTGTTTCCAGACCTCTCCAGCTGTGTAGAAACTCTGACAGCCAAGCAGTGAGTGTGGGTGTACTGCCCTGTTGCTTGGGTTGGTGTAAAATTAATATTTATGTGATGGTTCATGATGTACTAACATCATCATCATCACAGCAGCTGTCAGAAGACACAAGATGTCTCTTCCTCTTTAACTGACAGTTCAACTGCTTTCAGGAGCCGGTTTCACAGAGACAGACTTTGACTGTGTCTTAGATAGAACAAACAGCCAGACTTCAGATAGACGTCTAAATTCATCTGTTGCACAGAGCAGTTTAGTTCTTGACTATCTAAAGCTGGACTGTAGTACAATGAGTTCTGGGTAAATTTTTCAAAATATAAAAAAAATGGCCGACCTGGTCTTTTGAAGAATTCAACAGTTACAACAACATTTTATTTTGGAAATTCAGCAGAGTGAAACAATAAAAAGAAAAATCTGATTTGGTCTCTAAAAACTCTTCAACTTCTTTTTGCTCTCTCCATGACAATGTCAGCGAACCACAAATTATGAGCCATATTTTCCTGTTTTTTGTTGTTGGGTATTGATTGTCACTGATTACCATGTTACCATGGTAACTGGTCTTAGGCCTGAGTTAGCCTGGGGGTAAGGTGTATAATGTTTGTGCCTTAAAATGAGTCAGTGTTTATTTTTGTGAAACCTAAAACTACAGACCAGTCTGAAAAACCTTTGTGAAAGTGGCCCCCGATGTCACATCAGCTACTGTCTCCACGTCTCATTCTTTAACTCACCCACTCCTCTGCTGTTACTGCTCAAACACAACACACTTCAACTGCTTTCAGAGCTAATACTTAGCCATTTCAGTTTATAGACCCTTCTTTTAGGACGTTTACTTGAAGTGACAGTTTCAACTCCTTTCAGCACCTTGCACTTTGACCACCACCTGTTGTTAAAGAACCACAGCAGGTGATTTAGTGCAGAATAACGACCTGGAAGAATCTGTGTCTCTTGATGTCCGAGGCGTCGTCCTCTCCTGCTCCCAGTCTCATCTCAGGATTTTTCTGTAGCAGCTGAAACAGAGAGAGTGACGGAGGAGGAGTCAGTACAACAGGTGGCCTTCAGATCATTCAGAGACCTGTGGCTCAGTCAACTGTCGACTTAGATCCACTTGACACCGACCTTCTGAATGAGGGACACAGACTCAGGAGAGAGGAAGCGAGGGTAGCGCACTTCATCGTTGACAATGCTGTCAAAAACCTCCTCCTCATCATCACCTGGGAACGGGGACTGAGAAAGAACAGAGAACAGCACAGAATTAATCCTCATCTACAAGAATCAGTTCCTGCTCTGGTTCTATGACCACCACACCGAATGAACAAAACCAGTCCTGATCCAGTTCCAACCTAAACAATGAGAGACAAACAGTCCTGGTTCTGAGTAAGAACACATCTCAGGGTCCAGCAGCAGCTGACGTGAGTCGGACAGATCAAAGTTACAGTCTCTGATTTCTGTCACTGTCTCTCTGCAGCAGGAAGGCAACAATGTGTTTGTGTTTCCAGAGACAGTCTGATACTAAAAACCCAGGCTGAGAACTGATTTCAGTCTCTGCTGAACGTGTATTTGACACAGAAAGAGGGAGTTTGTCCTTTCACTTCCCCTCAGAGATTTAACGTGTGATTATACATGTGTTGCACATTGTATATATTTTTACCAAATTTATATATTTTCACATTTTCATTGTAAATATTTGATTGAAAATATTTTCTATTCATAATTAAGCTACTGACCCGCAGTGCTTGTTTTACTTTATCTTTCTTTATATTTTTTCTTCTTCTGTGTTTTTTTTTTTTATGAACCGAAACAAATTCAACAGCAAAGCAAATTCCTCATATGTGAAAACCTTCATGTCAATAAACCTGATTCTGATCATACTGACCTCCCCCACCAACATCTCATAGATGAGAACCCCCAGCCCCCACCAGTCCACACTGCGAGTGTAGTTGTTGTCAGTCAGGACCTCGGGAGCCAGAAACTCCGGTGTGCCACAGAAGGTCGAGGTGCGGTCCCCGTGGCCCATACCTACACTCAGCACAGTGATGACACACACACACACACTCAGTCACAGCTGACACATCAGAGGAACTTCCACATCCAGGTAATTATAAGTTACAGCCTGACGTCATGAGAAAAGGCCTGAACACACAGAGTCCTGACAGGACCTGATGTGGCAATCACTGCTCACCCACTGCATCTCAAATCCACAAAGACACATCAGTGTTTCAGAGATACTGATGACTTCCAGCTGTTTTACTGTCTGTGTGTTGTAGATAAAGAGTCTTACCTTCTTTACACAAACCGAAGTCTGCGATCCTGACGAAACCATCAGCATCCATCAGCAGGTTATCCAGCTTCAGGTCCCTGACACACACACACACACACACACACACAGAGAGAGGCAGACAGACATTATGCTACATGCTGCCAACATGCAGCCAGGTGTGAGGCGGTTGTGAGAGCAGCATGGGGAGGACTCACCTGTACACGATGTGGTTTTGGTGCAGAAACTCCAGACCCAGCAGCACACACGACGAGTAAAAGCTGAAAGCACAGAAGTGACGATGACACAGATGATATATGATGTTGTGTGTGCGTGGCGGCTGACTGTGGCTGAGGGGGGCGACGTGGACTCACCGGGTCTGTTTCTCAGTGAAGACGCTGGTGTGGATGTGGGTCATCAGGTCTCCTCCCGGGGAGTAGGCCATCACGAAGCACACGTGGTCTGAGGTCTGGAAGCAGCCGTACAGGTTCACCAGGAAAGGATGGCGAGAGGTGTTGATCACTTCAAAGATCCTCTTCTCACACATGAGGCTGCACACAGACACACACACACACACACAGCTGGTCACTCATGACATGAACGCTGGGTATTTAAGCACTTCACATCAACTACTGTACAAAGCCATTTTGCCATGACAACACACACACTGTATGAAAACAATACCTGGTTATTAACGGATGGATTTCTTACCTGTCCACTTCGTCTCGTGTCACGACGTCTCCTTTCTTCAGCGCTTTGATGGCGTAAAGTTTACCTGACTTCTTATACTCTGACAGCAGCACCTGGGTCAGTTAAAGGAGAACCAGCTGATGAACAGTGACCTTCATATTTTGTTTTTTCTAGAACACAGAGGAGAGCTGACAGGAAACGAGGGAAGAGAGAGCTGGACAGCAGGAGACGTAGTGATGACATGGTCAGTGTCCTGAGGTCTTGAGGAAGCTCTTAACCTTCATTTCTCACCGAGTATTCAGGAGCAGTTTTCTGGTCTAAACACTCGGACATGTTTACAGGTTCACATGTTCACAGGAGAACAAGCTGCGTACATACCTTTCCAAAGTGACCTCGTCCCAGGACTGAAATACAGTTGAAGTCTTCCATCTGCAGCCCTTCAGTCCTGCTGCATGAGGATACAGAAGTACACACACATTTAGCAAGTGAACGATTCATAAACCAGTTTTACAGATGTCTGTTTGTTTACACTGTGTTCTCTGTTGGACAAAGAGTTAACCAGTTATGTACAGCATTTAACTCGAATCCATTAAGTTATCTTCCAACAGGTGAAAGGTGCCACAGAGGAGGAGAAGCCATTCCAGACCAGCTGCAGTGGGTGTATGTTAAGGAGTTCAAAGGAAAGTGGGATCAACCCAGGCGTAAAGTTGTCTTAGCAAACCCCAACAGCTCTAAAGGTTGGAGGTAAGAAGGTTTGGTTCCACCTTAACTTCTGCTGCAGAACAGACAACCCAAAAAGAACACTTGAAGCCTACAGAAGAAGAGCACATCCTGGGCCGGGAGGGGAAGGTGACACCTCCCTGTAGGAAGCTAGACAGTCCCAGGAAGGGGACGGTGATACCTCCACACAAAAGACCAGACGGTCACAGAGCCCGCAGGGAGAGAGGCGATCCCAGACACTGGCTGCCAGATGGGCTGGCAGCAGCACACCAAGTAGTGGATCATTAGCAGCAGAGAAGTGGATCGGACATAGTGGATCACCTGAGGAACCGCCCCCACAGCCTTCTACCAGCGCTGCTGAGGAAGATCACACTGCCAATGCTACTGCACCCGTGGAAGTTGGAGACCCAAACATTTTGGCTGAGATGACACCACAGGAGTTTTGCCTCATGCTTGTTGGCCGCCCAAAAGAAGAGGTACAGGCACTGCGCCGCATGGGGAGTAAGGAGCTGAAGCGGCGCTCTAACAAAAAATACCTGATCCACAAACGTCGTCGCTACAAGCAGCTACAACAACGGGTGCAGGAGTTAGCCCTGGACAGGGATCTTTTTGTCCACCGCTTCAGAGTCTGTCTAAACGTCCTTGAGTCCTACCGACGTTTGAGATGGACGGGCTTGACTGGCCTACGTCCAAACACCAAGCCACAGTGAACTGTGGATCATACTAAACACCACTCACCATGGACTAGATCATCTCGTGGATGTTCACAATTACACACCTGTACAACACACCACACTATAACAACATGTTAAAGAGCACAAAGCATTATGTTTGAAGAACACACACAGAGCACAATGATTGAAGAAGACAGAAGATATAGCACTATGTTTAATGACGTACACACACTGGAAATTATATATGTATCATACTTGCACTGGATTTTGAACTTGCACTGGATGTTACGCTCAATACACTCTTTATCTAAAATGAATGTATACTGTGAAATGTACCTCGCTAGCCACCATAGGTGATGTCAGTTACTATTACGCAAGCTTGCAAACCATGTTTAACCAGAAAGCAGCCCTTGCATAATCATTTTTACTTATCTCACAAAGTGAATGTTTGCTACAACAATGTCTTAAGTGGTCAATACAGGCTCCATTTGCAACTCCCTATAAGCATATGTTGAACCTGTTAGTAAAGTATAGTACGATGTCTTGACCATTGCTATCGTCACACGACAGCTATTTGTTGTCACCTAGCAGTAGCCCGAATGGATAATGTGTAAGAATGTGTGACTAGTTAGTCCCAAATGGGGGATATGTTGTAGTGAACTTTCATTAACATATAGTCAACATTATCAATATGTACTCAGCATTATAAATACACTGAATGTTAAACATATAAACACAATGCATCAGCTATATCCAACACAACCACATTAGGAGGTAATCTGGACTAAATGTGTCCACATTCTTTTAGCAGTGTGAACACAAATGCATCCTGGGCCACGTTGAAGGACCGACTACTCTACTAACGTCCTCTGTCACAGTCTGATTAGTCCCAACACACACTTCATAATGAATTTGCATATAAAGCGGGGAAGTGAGATCCGATCACAAGTGGTAAATGGAGACGCATTTTAAAGCAGGTGTGAACTGAGGAACTTAGAGCTGACCGCTTGTGATCAAATCACTGAAGATGCATGTTAATAGCAGGTCTGAACAGAGGAGGAAGGAGCTGCTGCAGAGCTCAGAGACAGGACTGTGTCAAGGCTCAAAGACATTTCTGCAGTGGGAGGAACCTGAGCTAAAGTCTTATCTTACTACACACAAAATATATTTAAAGTATTCCAAGGAGATAATAATAAATAATTCCACACAGAAACACTGAACTCCATGTTCCCACTGTTACTTACTGTGGAGGTGGATGGATGGAGGGTTGTCTCTTTGGCTTTGGGCTCTTGTTTTCACCTGGAGACTGTTTGATCAGGAAGATAAACAGGTAGAGACATTAACTGACACATCAGTGGAACAAAACCACTGCCCTGCTAAATATCCTTTACCATCAACCCCGTTCTATTTAACTACTCTCAGTGATGATGGTGTTCGTGTGACAGATAATATGACTCACCAGTGGAGAGTCTTTAGTGTTTTTCCTGGAGAGGTGTGGAGATCTGCCAGGTTGTTCTTCAGCCAAGTTTAGACTCACTGCAGCAGGTTCTCTGAGAACAAGAAGAAGACTGTGTGTTACACTGACACATATGTATGCTGATGATGGTTTACTGACTGTTTTTAATTCTGTCTTTTGGTTGAGCTTCACTGATGCACCATGATCTCCTGAATGTCTTTCAGCAGCATCTCCACAACATAACAAATTCCAAAAAGAAGGTTTTAGCCAGTTACTCTCAAAGCTACTTGTTGTTCATATTTCTACAATATTAACACATTTTTTACCACATTTCTAGTTTAAAAAAAAAAAAAAAAAAAACTATACAAAATAACAAACACCTGAATGTTCTAAAATTATTAGTTTTTTTCTTTGTTAGTCATTTATCAGATCTTCCTTTTATCTTACTTCATAGATATAATAATTTATGATCTCAAAGGAGCCAGCTGTAAATTTTCCTGAACATGGTTTCTTGTCAGGAGCAGGTGGTGGTGATTGTTACTTGACAAGAGCTTCAGTCATCGTTGCGTTTACAAGACAAGAGGTTATAATACGTCCTCTGAGCAGCTACGTCTTCAGGAAAGACTGGAGGCTACAGTGACTCGGTATCGGAAAGTGACGAGACAGACTGGGGCTAGCTGGTTAGCATGCTACCTTTTAGCGGAAGAAAAGACGTGATAGAGACCAGAGTTAACATCGGTGTTTCTTTCTACCTCTGGAGACAGATGTTGGTGAGTAAAGGAATGAAGTTTGATGCTGAACTCACAACGTTTCTTCCAGACTGGTAAGTAAACAGATGCTAATGCTAACATTAGCTATGTAGCAACAGCTAAACTTACATATAGCTTCTTTAAGTTTTGCCAGCATTATTTTGAAGATTTCTTATCGTGGAATACTTTATGTCTTTGCTTTAAAAACATTTCAGACATACAATAAATATCCAAAATGGAATAAAGTGCTATTTACCACTGACTATTTTCAGTGGTGGATTAATCCACATTTGGTGCTCTAGTGAGTATTTGGGACAGCAGGACAGTGTGTGTGTGTGTGTGTGTGAGTCAAATAAACTACAGTGTGTGTTGAAGGAACATGTCACTGTTGGAATAATTGTATATATGGATTTATCTCATATTTACTAACTAACCATGTATCCTGCTTTATAGTCCTATAATCATGCGTATAGTTTGACATGTGATAATAACCATGCATACAGTTTGTCTTGTGATGAAGTTGTGTTACAGGGGGTAGCTGATAAAGGGGACCACGATGCACAGAGCAGACTGGAGCCTGATTGTTCTACTTCTACATCATGGGATGAACATGTGAACTATGTATCATCAGGCACCCATCATATTGCTTTTGTGTGATTCTCAGGTCTTTAAGATAAAGCAATGACTTGCAATCAAAGAATGCTTGGAACGCTTTGTGTGATAATAAAAAGAGAGGAGACGGTGGAATAAGCTCAGAGCGGGTTGGAGATTGTAACTGAGCATATCTCTGTCCGTTCTCCTCGCGAGTAAGAAATAACGCTCTTGTCTTTCTCTTCTTTGTGTCAGTATTAAATGTCTTAGGTGGTGTAAACCTGACAGTCACCCAGTGACACAGTGAGATGCACTCATGTGTTTGAAAAGTTTGTGGACAATGATACATCAGTCTTTAGAGTCACACAGTCCTTGTTGGGAGACAGATTTAATGTTTTGGTTCTACACAATAAATAATTGACAATAAATAATAATAAGTAAAGAAGATCAACACTGTTGTCCTTTCACAATATAATTATCATTATAAACCCACTGTGTCCGACTCTTAACTCTGAATGCAGGTCAGCGATTACGCTGCTGTCCACTGGAGTCACATCCTCTCTACTCTCAGTAACATGAGTGGGTAGAAAAACAGCCTCAAGTCACAGTGGAGAACTGCACAAAGACGTTAATGAGTCACTGCTGAAGCAGCTCTTTCATAGATGTGTTTCTGGGTCACAGTGTCCACAGAGTCTTACCGAGACTGAGAGGTGGTGGAGGACGTGGGGCCAGTGTTAGGGCCTGCTAATGGGGGACTCATGGGCTCCAGGGAGCTGCAGGGAGGCAGGATGCTCATCATCAAACGACCCCACGTGGCAAAGTTCATGTTCATCTGGGCAGCACGCAGGAAGTCCTTCCCTGTGAGGAGAGATGGACACAAAAAGAAGAGATAAAAAAATATTTATTTTGTGAATTACTGTAGACATACTGTACAACAGTGTCTAATGTCTGGTAGCTGTCAGATGCCTGTTCTCACTTCTTGGGTTTTTGATGACATAGTTACTTAGGAATTTCTGTGTCCAGTTGGCCTTTTGAAGTTTTAATTCCAGTTAAGAAAATGTAACATAATGTATCATGGATTTTAAATGGATCTATTATTATCATATAATTATTATTATTGGTGAGAAATGGTCATTTAATTGGTCTCAATCTCTCAGAACATGCCAGTCTTGGTTGTATTGAAGTTAAATCATCTGTTCACAAACAGAAGTTCCAGGTGCTCAGGTGGTTTCCACTGAAGCTCAGAGCTCCACTGTTCCAACTCAGTGTGGTTCATAATATTTAAAACAAATGATCCACCAGGTCTGAGTGAACTCATGTCCACCAGACTACAGCCAGTGACTTCTTTTCCCCACATTGTCTTGCTCTTATTTTGATACTATTGTTGTTGTTATTTTTATTAAACATATTTTGTTTGATATCGCTTTTATGTTTTCATATTATCTTCTGTATGTTAATTTTTGTGTTCTAGAATATTGTTTAATTTTAACATTAATTAACATTTAACAATTAACATTAATTTGGTGGAGGCTTCAAATAAGCCCACAAGGTTTTCTGCCTCTCCTTTCACTGTATGTTATTTATCTTTGTCATTTTCTTTGTAATTTCTTTAAATTGTGAAAATAAAATCTAGCTGAAAAGTCTAACTTGTGCATGCAGAGGTGTAAGACCAAGACACTTGTTCCATGAGGTTCTGTGGTGCCAGGAACTGGAAGGTGAAAAGAACGTTAAACTGTAGTTTATGGGAAACTTAACTTATCATCCAAGTTATCATTTGTTGTTATAAGTTCTACTCATTTATTTTCTGGATGTTTGACTGAGTGATTTTATTGATGAAAACACTGGTTGCTATGACGTTACCTGGTCACAACTAGACCTGTGTTCTATATGTTGTTGAGTTGTGTTATTACATCATCCCAAATGTTTCCATCAATTCTGAAACCAGAGGAATCTGTGATTTTAATCATGGTAACGTTTCATTGGTCGCCTGTCAGTGACATCATATCCTCTATGATCATGTGTCAGTGTGTTTGTCTGACAGAAGCTCAACATTGACTTTTATCTAGTTTTAAGCCACATACACTTTTCAAAGAAACAAGCTGAGGAAATGTTAGACAGCTCAGCTCCCAGCTGCTGGACACAATCTTTGATGTGAAACTGCTTCATTCAGGGTTTTTAAATGGATTTAATCACCTGGTCGCTCTGTTATAGAGAGGAGGAGCCAAACCCTCCTGAACGACTGACACTGAAGGATCCTAACAAGGAGAAGCTGACTGCAATGACAACGTCTCCCATGATCCCACGCTACTTCACAATGTCACTAGACATCATCTTTAGTTATTGTTTTGATTGAGAGACCCCTGTGGCTTTTTTTAAATGATAGTGTGTGACGTGTATCTGTACAGTAAAACCCCTTATGTTAAAAAACCCAAACACAGTTTAAACCTCATGAAGCTTAAACAACAACAGATGTAAAATACAATCAGTGCAAATCTGCACACCACAACTACGTGTAAATCCAGACCACAGCCTGACTGTCAAGGAAAGGAAAACTAGTTCTGATAAAACAGCTAATATCAACAAATAAACCTGACCTGATGAACTGATGCAAAACAACATGAACAAATGTTTCTACCTTTTTCTTTAGGGAAAATCCTCCTCTGTCTCTGGAGGTTGGATCGCCGCTCGATGACGGGATTGATGAATGTCACCTGGAGATGAACAGAACAGCTGAGTGAGGTTCAGGTGTAGGACTGCTGCAGCATCAATACTGGTTCAACACCATGTTTCCCTGCTGCTTCCTCCATCAACACAAAACAAACCACTGAGAAAAACAGAAGCATTTTTATAGTTGAACAATAATGATAATAACAATAACAACAATGATGAAGAATTAACTTGATTATTTATTGTTTCAGTTTCTCAGTGATGATTTTAAGTTTAATTCCACAGACACAGGTGAAGAACTGAAGGTTAGAAATGAGAGTGAAACCTCGATGAAGAGGATGCCCTGAGGCTCCAGCTGCAGACACATCCCATGTCTCCGGTTGTCCAGGAAGTCCTCCAGCCGCAGGAACTTCACCCCACTTAACGCCCGCCAGTCCCTCCAGTACACCGCGATCTCCAGCTCCCTGGACTGGATACACACACACACACACACACACACACACACACACACACACACACACACACACACACACACACACACACACACACACACACACACACACCTCCCTTCACTGCCTGACAATAAAAGGCGTAAAATGCCCAAAAATATAACTTAAAAAATAACAGATTCCTGAAAGTGGTAACAGATAACATCTTTAAACTCTACTCTGCTGAATTAGTGCTGAGCTTCCATAAAACAGAATGAACAGAGTGGTCAAATTCAGAGCAGAACAGGCTGAGATTTAGAAAACTTCTACATCAAACATGAAATTCTCCTGGTTGAATCATCAGTACTGAATATGAACAACTGTGCTGACAAAAAAAGTCAAAAACTACTAAAGCATGTTAAGTTAACTATGACTCCCAGCGTGCATTTCAGAAACAAACATCTATATCACTGAGCTCAGGAAACAGTGCTGAGAATTTAAATTTAAATTAAATCTATTTGCTTTTTACATTCTGAGTCAATTTTGCATGAATTCAGAAAATATGGTGCTTTTTTTTACATTTCAAAATTCAATAACAAAGTGTTTTGAATTTGCTCAGATTCACTCTTATTCTCCATGGCAACGGCAGCCAAGGCTGGTGGGTATTATAGTATCTAAAGCCATCCACCATGATAAACTGACAACACTTCTGTTTCCACAGAAATAATTAAAAGTGGTCCTCAACATGAACCTATAATCATTACATTATGTTAGTGTTGAGGATATTGATTAAAGAAAAAACTGAAATGAAAACAGAACAGAGAAAAACATCTGGAACTAGCAGCTCCTCCCAGTTCACACCTAATCATACTTTTTCCATAGACTCTACCTGTCTCACAACAATCCTCCAGAGCCACAGATGTAGCTCTCCTCATGACTAGTAAACTGCCCTGCATGAGTAATGTCAACGACGTCCCCTTTAAAATGTCTCAGTTAACCAGTGAGAGCGAGAGCTGGGTCAGTCAGTACTAAACCAAGGTCTTCAGCCTCAAACCCGAGTAGAGCAAATGTCAGAGGATTAGTGTTGGGATTACATGAGACTGTCAGAGACTCAGAGGGAGCAGAAGTCAGAGCTCTGTGCTGCTGACAGATGTTCACCATTAGAGGTTGTTAGAGATAACACACTGATCCTGGGTAGTTTAACCATGAGACAAACTGCGCTGATACAGTAGTGAAGAAGAAGACACAAAGAGTTACTGAGACTAATGTACCATTGTTTACATCATAAACCATCTGAGGAAACATCACTGATCAAAACACATTCAATCACCAGTTAACATTCTCAGGGACTGTGGCTATTTTTTCCCAGACTGAACATAATAATAATAATAATAATAATAATAATAATAATAATAATAATAATAATAATAATAAATGATGACACAGTTTGCTGATCTGTTCCTATGATCACTTTGCTACAGCATTCCTGTGTGCCATACAAATACCTGCTTATTTTCTAACACATGGAACAGAAATGGTGAGTTCAAAGAAAAAGTGTGGCTCTTTCCTTCTTGTCAAAAACACATGACACATCTATGACACCTTGTATCTGTCCTGTCTGTAACTCCAGGTCAGAGGTCACATCTGACTCCCAAACCCCTTCTGTTTCTGTTTCATTCTTTAAAGTCTGGTTCTAGGTTTCTTTGCCAAAGGGAGAACGAGGAGAGCGATTTCTTTGTTATTAAACCAGGACTGTTTAATATCCAGAGAAACCAATGATAAAAATTAACCTTGGAACAAAGGTCATCTCTGACAGCTGTGTGGACAGAGGAAAACAGGACCATCTTTTCAGAGCTTCCTTACCAAAACTACTGGACACCTGTAGTATGTTTGTCTCTAACTGTTAAGACTAGTTTAACACACAGAGCTCCACTGTAAGTAAGTATTTTTGACGAATAATCTACTCTCAATAATCCATAAAGAAAAAAGTAAAGACGTGTTTTTGGAAATTTTGAAAATTCATTAAAAAGCAGAAACTGAAATTTCTCATTGACAAGTCTTCAGACCCTTAATCCAGTGCTTTGTAGAAGCCCCTTTGGCAGCAGTTTCAGCTTCCAGTCTTCTTGGTCTCTACAAACTCTCCACACCTGGGTCTGTCTTCCTGTCAGATCCTCTCAAGCTCTGTTAGTGTTTGGACTTCTGCTCCAAGGGTTCAGTTTCTGTCTCATCAGACCAGAGAGTCTTGTTCTTCCTGCTCTCAGAGTCTTTAAAGTCTGCCAGTCAGACTCCAGCAGCTTCATATGTCTTTTACTCTCAGTGTCTTTGTCTCGTCTCTCTCCGATAAAGACCTGATTGATGGAGAGCTGCTGAGATGCTCATCTTTCCAGCAGCTTCTCTGTCTCTGCAGAGGACTTCTGAGGCTCTGTTACAAGGACCAGTGGGTTCTTGGTCTCCTCCCTGACCCAGGTCCGTCTCACCTGGTCCTTCAGTTTGTCTCGACGCCAGCTCTAGAAGAGTCCTGGTTCCAGACTTGTTCCCCTTCTGTTCTTGGTCCCACTGATCTCCTGGGAACACTCACTTTTTGCCCTGATCTCTGTCTCACTACAGTGTGATGGTGGACAGAGGTCTACGGAGAGTTCATTGGACTTCATGGTCTCTGTTCTGACCTGCAGTGTCAACTGTGGGACCTGATATACACAGGTGTGAGTCTTTCTAAACTGTCCAATCAGCTCAGTTCACCACAGGTAGAGAGATTTTAGTTTTTGATCTTTAATAAATTTGCACTTTGTCAGCATGGATTATTGAGAGTAGATTCATGTGCAAAAAATTTTTATCCATCAATTCATCAACCATTATCCTTTAAGGATTGCAGGCTGGAGCCAATCCCAGCTGACACTGGGTGAGAGGTGGGGTACACCTGGACAGGTCACCAGTCTATCACAACCATTCACGCTCACATTCACAACTACAGGCAATTTAGAATCCCCAGTTAACCCGCATGTGTTTGTACTGGGGGAGGAAACCCACCAGGCTCAGGGAGAACAGGTAAACTCCTGCTGTGAGGTGACAGTTCTGATCCTCTCATGTCACCATAAGAGAAGAGAAGTGGAGTAATCACTGAGAAAAAAATGCAGCTCTGGCTCAAATGTGATAAAGTGAGAGTCACTGACCCTTTCCAGCTCGATGCTGAAGCTCTGGCCCCAGGCCTCTTTGCCCAGCTGTCTCCAGTGTGTGTGCCCCACCATCCTGTTGTCCACCTTCAGTACAGCACTGATCTCAGCTGACACACAAACACAAAGACATAAACTGATACACACAGCAGCTAATAAAGGCTATGAAGGTTGTAATAAACTGTGTTGAGAGAAATACAGTGTAAGCTGCTGTAACAACAGAGTGTGAACACAGACAACAGTCTTCTCTCTGAACAGTGTCCTCCGAGTGTCCAGCAGAGATTCAACTGTACCTCTCACCTGAGTTACCTTCTATAGCAATATTAAGCTTTGTCATACAGAAGACAGGAGATCTCATTTTGTAATTACAACTTCTGTATCTCATAATTAGGATTTATAACCTGATAGTTACAAGAAAACTCTCATAATTATAGGTTCCTGATCTTGTAATTGTCTATACTGTAAAAATATGAGCTTAAATATCAATATAAATAAAGCTCCATATTTTCCTCTTCTCTGTGTTTTATTTGAAGTGTTGATCCATCAGAAGATATATTTGTGGTTTTAAGAACCAAAAACCATCTCAGTGGAGTTTTACATCTCCTCTCTCAGGCTTCTCTCTGGAGCTCTAATAACAACAGGTCAGTGAGCCAATCAGAAGAGAGGAGGCTCTGATCCTCTCTTCTGATTGGCTGACTGTTTTCTGGGTGATCCAATAAAAATATAGCAGATTTCAGGTAAACACTCAAAGAAAACAAATCCTGCAAGGTTGGATGGTGGGTCCAGGTGGGCGGGGGTTAGGGCACGGCTGAAGGCAGTGACAGCTTTGTTGTGACATCACAAAGATCCAGAAGTCCTGACGGCTGGTTTTAAGGCTCAGTTTCTGAATACAGGCTTTGTGCATTTCTCTGAGGCTTTGATACTTTCACAGTATTAATATAGAACCTAGACCTGATCTATAATCAAACAACTAATGGACAGACTGGATGGCTGTTTAAATGATTTCTGTCTTTTATCAACTCTTGGATTATCTTTAGGCTCTTGCCTTTAAAAACATTTCAGATGTACAGTAAATGCTCGTAAAGGAAAAAGGCTCTTGTTGGGGACTATTTTCAGTGGTGGATTAATCCACATTTTGCGTTCATGGGGATGAAGGAACATGTCACCACGATGTGCATTAATGCCTTTGATGGGATAGGGACAGTGAGAGAGACAGGGAGATAGGGAAGCATTACTATTTTCAATAATGCACCGGGTTAGAGGTGAAATTTACAGCTTCAGTTTTCTGACAATCTCATTCATATGAAAGAAAAACTGGTGTTGTAACTTAAATATCTCTGACTGAATCAAATAGGGACCATGTGAATCGGAATTGGATCGATTTGGGAAATTAGTGGCAACACACAGCCCGAGCAGACACCATTCCTTACTTCACCTCATCTGCATGTTTTTGTACTGAGTATATTTCAGGGTGTTGTGGTAATATTGTAACGACAAGGTGCAACAACATTTTACTTCCCTACACAAAGGAAACAAAATAATTGTTTAGTTGAGTATTAACTTACAGGACAGTTCATCAGCCTTGGGGGTCTTGCCATTGGCACTGCGCCCTGATAGGCCAGCTCTCACCTTCAGGGACTTTCCATCGGACAGGTTTCCAGGGGTGGCCGGGCTGGTCACACGACCACGGCCTGGAACCGACTCCAACAGGTCTTGGCAGCCCATCAAACAAACCTCTAACCGACCTGAGAAACAGTGTTTCAGTCATCAGTTCAGTGCTGAGAAAATGCAAATGTTGAAGAGATTACACAAAAATATGAGGTCAGACAGATGAGGTAAGACATTTACCAAGGACATTAAATGAAGAAAGTAGATTTTTTTTTTTGATATTGGTTACAACCTGTTAGACTGGCTGGCTTGAAGAAGGACGAGGAGGAGGACGAAGCGCTGGACTTCTTGTTTGGTGTGCCGTAGGACGGGGAGGTTCCCAATACTAGTTCCTCTTTGATGGCGACATGCTCGGGATGGTTGTGAGGCAGCTCACTCAAACGCCTCTCCAGGGAGAGACGCAACAAATCCACTTTCTGAGACGACTCCTGCATTCGTGCCTGAGCCTGAGGGACACAACACGGTTACTGAGGAATAAAGACAGCTCAGGCTCTCTTTTTCCTACAATATCTTGGGGAGGAATTTGTCTTTATTAGACAGAGATAGGGAAAGGAAGCATGGAGAAGAGAGAGTGTGGGCTGTGACAGGTACTAAAAGTCCCCAGCCAGAATCAAACCGGTGAAATTTGGTTACATGGTAGGGGCCTTGAGTTAGGTGTATTGTGGGAGAGATACAGTATGCAGCAATCTGTGAATGTGTGAAAACCTTAATGTTTGTAACCTGTTTAAAGTTTGACTGAAGTTTCTACAACAAAGTAAGAATGAGCAGGAAGAAGCTGAATGAGACTGGGTTTGAAAGTTTCTCTCTCCTGGAGAAAAACAAGAAAATGATCATCATTTTATTTTCTTGCTATAAAATAAATGACCTGTCTGTCATGTTGCATCTTATACATTGTTTACATTCATTTTCAGCACCTGTGATGACATGAATACATGAGTGTTACAACAACCTGAACTGTGTTCATCTCTGTCAGAACCTGAGCTGAGCTGTTCTACAACACACTCCTCACCACTCACTCACACAGACACTGCAAACACACTGACCTGCAGACGTACACACCCTATTCCATGTTTGCACTTTATTTGATTAAATGATTTGCAAAATGCAGAGACTTTGTGTGGTCTCCCACTTTGTCACACACTGGTGAGCTAGGTTGTGACAATATTCCCTCTCCATATGATCAGTCTGCGTTTCAAAGTCAGACTTTAGTTTAATCCTGGTTCAGTTTGTTCAGCTCATTAAAGACTCTCACAATAAGCTCAGTGTGTCCGAGTCTCCTTTATAGAAAACACTCCTCAGGATGCAGCTTCAGGACACGTGTCCATGTAATGTTTTTTTTTCTGTACAACAGCTTCTTTTTTTAAATTGTTCCCAATGAGGGGAGAGCTCATGAGGCCGTCCCCTCCCGGAGCACTTCTCGTTGAAAATCTCGGAACTTTTCAGAGAGCCGCTGGTGTTGTCACTGCAGCTCCTTTTCAGGAAACCAATCGATAGAAAGTAACACAGCAGAGACAGAAAAGCCCAGTTGTGGGAGCAGAGTGGCTGGATTCTGAATGACGGTGTTGATATGTTGTCAAGACAGCGTTGTCATAGAAACAAAACCCATGAGCCGTGCTTTTTTGAGGAAGTGCTGGGACAAGGTGCTCCCTAGCGCTGTGCCAGTGTTTCTCTGCCAGAAAAAATAAAATACTAGACGGACACACGCCCTAACTCAAAAAAACACACCTTACAACCTACTGTTTTCTCTTACTGGCTGTTTGTTAGCTTGTTATAATGGTCTCTGAGCTTATGTACACTGTATGCCTGTATCAAATCATACAGAGAGTAACAGTCTAATTATTATTGTATGCCTCATTGCATTATACCTGATACTGTTGTTATTAAAAGGGGCATGGCTGCTGGTTGGACTGCTTGATGGTATGTGCCATTTCCTGTTAAGGGAGTTTTAACTTTATAATGTTAAACCACAACTGTATTTCTGAGGCTTTAATTTTCTGAGGACACCAAAATCTAATCAGTTCATCCTTGAGTCCAAGTGAATGTTTGTGCCAAATTTGAAGAAGTTCTGTCAAGGCGTTACTGAGATACTGCGTCCACAAGAATGGGACAGACGGACGGACAACCTGAAAACAGTTTGCCTCCTGCTCTGACTGACACTGACGCAGAGGCATAAACTATTGTAACTCTTACTGGCTGCGGCCATGATGTTTCTACATTGTTTGCAGACACAGTAATTGTCTGATCCCTGGTCACAGACTAATACCTGGCATACATTGAGAACTATCACACCTGGTACTCACCTCTGCGAGTATGCGGCGGTCCTGGATCTTTCGCCCACTCAGCTGCCTCACCACATTTTTAGCACCTTCTGCTACGGCCAACTCGATCTTCATGTGGTGCATGAGCTCGGCCACCCGCAGCTCCAGAGGACTGATCATCTCCACAGTCTGACCTGAGGGCAGGTGGGGGCAGTCAGACTGGGACACAGTGCAGTATCCAGCAGAACAAAAACCTCTGTACCTAACCTCAATGAATAAAACCATTTTGTCTCATATTCAAAATACCTCAATACACACTCGTCATGATCTTAACAGATTTCCATTTCTCACTTCCCTGTAACCACTTATTCCCTGTTATTAGTTAATAGACACCTTTGTCCATAGTTATACTGTACCATGCTGTTTAATGTATTGGTAAGGTATATAAAATACTGCTTATAGTGGGGCTGGGAGATAATTCACATTTCATCATTTTAAAAAATCTCTGTCCTAATTATGGATTCAAAAGCAAATTATAACTGACAACTCACTAAACTGTAACTCAATAAACTGCACTAATTATTGCAGGTTATGAGCATCTTATCCACATCCACTGGCTGCTTTTTCCAGGACTTTCATCTGCCTCTCACTGTCTTCATCAGCAGATAGAGGATGTTTAGTTGTCATGAAGAAAGCTTACTGATGACGGCTCTCTGTCTCCATGAAACCTGAGCACCTCCAGCTCTGAGGTTGTATTAGACTTGACTGTATGTCACAGTGCAGTTTTCTGTTTAAAATGTGTTGTGTTGATGTAATGTTAAACAGTTAAATGTAGTATCAGTTTGATCATATCAAGTGGTTTTTGATTACTTCTCCATATTGTTTGCGTTTGCCTGGTGACAGAAGTTAGAACAGATTTAGGGCGACTCATCTCTTAAGTGGGATTAGTCACAGTTAAAGTTCCTCTCAGACATGTTTTAAACTCTGTAAAAATCCTCTGCTATGATTCATATTTAGTTTAACATGGTTTTCACATGTAGAAAGTGAATAAAATGTGGATCAGGCCTTGTGCCCCGCCCAACACCTGCTTGCTCCAGGTGGACAGGTGAGAGAGCAGAGAGTATCAGGATGGTTAGAGGAGGAAACATCAGAGAGACTCAGCCTCATGTTTGAGCCTCAGTCAGACCCAGACTCAGATGAGGAGTCTGAGACCAGAACCAGAGACTAGCAGACGTATCAGAAAGGTTAGCATAGTTAGCATCTTTTATTTGTTTATGTTGTTTGTTCACTTGTAACTGGCAGTGGCTGACACATTGTTAGTGGTTGTGCTAATGCTAACTCTCTCTCTCTGTACTGACAAGGTTTCAGGTTTATTTAGCCCCGCCCCCCGTCCCCACGAGTTGACAGGATTGGTTCCTTAGGTTTGTGACGTATGAAACCCTGACTGTCTGAATCTGTGTTTATGAGACTGTCATTGGTTCACTGCAGTTCAAGGTGGAAACACTCAGTCATGGTGTTGATGATTATTTCTCTCATCATGTCTGTATTATATAAACAACATCATATGGATGTTAACAAGGTGAAACACTGGATTTTCATCAGAGGGTCTTTAACTGTGTCAGTGTTGTGTGTTTTATACTGTGTTTATGAGGCTGAGACCAGGACTGTGTGCGTGTGTGTAGTTAGGTTTACCATGTGTACCATCTTGTTCCTCGTCTCTGGCTTGACTGACTTTGACGATCTGCATGCGCAGCAGCTCGATCTTTGTGCGACTGTCCTGCAACATCTGCTGGGCTGTCGACAGCATCTTCCTGTCCTGGAAAACAAAACGCACAACTGAAGATCACCACAGTGACTCTGCATTTAAAAAAGATAGAGGGACAATGCTAACTGACTAAAAATATTTATTAGAGCTTCTAATGTGCAGAAATCAAAAGAATATTTCATTATATGATGCATGAAACACATTCGAGGCTGGCAGAAGGAACCTTTAACACACAAAAGGATAACATTCAAAATTTAAATTAGGTTTACTGGTAGCTTAGGTTTAGTACTAGGGTTGGAGTTGGCCACTTAGTTGTGCTGGTTATGGTTAAGGTTAAGAGTTAAGGAATGTATCATATCAATGAGTGGTTCCCACAGGAGATAGTGGAACATGTCTTGTGATGTGTGTTGTCCTTGTACCTTAAATGAGCTGTTGGTGTAAGTCTGGATCATGTTCTCAGCACCCTGCTTGACTTTGGTCTCCATGGTGAGCTGCTTCTTCAGGGTCCTGACTCGACCGGCCAGCGGTGATGTGACTTCTTCCCACTGACACGACTCTGCTGACTGGTTGTCTTCTTCCTCCAGACAGCCTGAGTAAAAACAGTCACATGGTGGAGGTTAAATGACCAGTTCAGTTCATGTCTTTAAAGACTCTGTGTGTCATTTTTCTGAGTGCAGCGTCTTTCAATTATTCTCAGGGTGTATGTGTTTGTACCCTGACACAACCCTGGTGCAGCAGTGTGTGTTACAGCCTGCAGTGTCTTTTTGATGCTGCCACTGTTGTATCCAGAATCTTCTAATTCTACTCAAAATGCCCTACACTAAGTCCAATAGAAAAGTTGATATAAACAGAAGGGAAACAAACAGGTGTTTCCGACTGTTTTAGCCTGATTTTTTCAGTCTGACAGTTTCAGACTGTTTTAGCTAGACTGTGTCAGACTGATTCAGACTGACTGCTTCAGCCTGACTGTTCTGTCTCCATCTGCATGTGTCAGATAAAACAATGCTGCTGATTTTATTCCCTCTTTCCATATCTTGTACCTCTTAACAGGAACACCACACAGGAACAACACATACATATGTTTTACTTGTGCAAAACCTCAGTGTTGTCTTTTAGTGACACAATTTGACTGAATCATTTATAAATATTCCTCTAAAAGTCAGGATTTGCAGTCATGCTTTCTGTAGTAAAACAAACAGGGTTCACCCTCTAGTGCATGAAAAAATTGAACACATGAAATATGAATAAATTTTAAAAAACTGGCCTAATTGTTCTGCAGTGGAGGCCAGGAATGATCAAACAGGCAGGCTTCATCCTCTCAATAATATGAATATATACAGTGTGTCACAGAAACCTGCCGATTAGTTTTCAAGATACAAAATGATGAAGCAAAGAGAATATCTAAACCCAAGAGGAGCGTCACAGACACCATTAAGAATAATCTGAGGATGATGAATATCTACCTGCTAATCTGACAATCTGCCTGACAACAGCTGTCCAGATGTCTTCTCTGGATCAGATCAAAAGTGACTGAAAGGACAGATTGACAATTCCTTTTCATTCAGACACACAGACAGACAGAGATCTTGATTTGTTCGTATGTATTTTTTGGAGATGATGCCCTGGGAGTTTGTATAAGAAGATGATTATGTGTTAAACATCTGCCATTTTATCAGAAGCAGTATAATCTCCAGTATGTTCTCCGTACCTGTGGTGCCGTCTTTCTCTGTGGCCATAGACCTGGCATTGAGCTCCTGCAGCTCCCAGTGCAACTTGTTCAGCTTGCGGCTCGAGGCCTTCAGTTGACCCTCCACATCGGCCGCACTCTTGCGATTGGTGACGGCCCGCCGCAGCCTCTCCGCCGCCTCCTTGATCTTCAGCTCCCGCTGGATCTCCTGCCTGAGCAGAGTACGAGCATCCTCCAGACGCTGCTGAAACTCTGGGTCCAGAATATCCCCCTCCTCCAGACCCTGCAGGTTACCGCTCTGAAAGACGTACCACAGCAGCTTCAGTCTCTGATCACTGTGCTTCTTACTGTTTTACTTATTTAGATATTATGTTACAAAGTATTGTGCTTGCCCATGTTTTTGGATTACTTCTGTAAAAACATACTAATATCACTTATGACAGGATCTAACTGTCTCACCCAGGTCACAGAGTTGTTTCTCTTGAACACATCCTTTAAACAAGCATCATGAATACACATATATGGATTTGAGGAACTAAATTCCAAGTAGTTTGTAATAAAAAAAAAAGTAAAGTGTTTAAGCTGACACCACCTACAATACAAAGGACAGTCATCATCCACATTTCCACCAGGCCACCTGCAATAAGGCTGAAGACAATCATCATCATCATCATCATCATCTGGAATTTCAGATACTAAATGGAAATGAAGAGCAGGTTGAGTTCACTGGTTGACGTAGCATAAACACAAAAAGACAAGCATCACTTGACTGGAAGGAAGTAAAACCAGGTTGTGACAGTTAAAGTTAAACCAACAGGAGACCAACAACAACAAATGATACAACACCTCCCACTGGTGGACCAGCGTTCTACTACAGCAGCAGCTTTAAGGAGGTTCCTTTCACCCTGTTTGTTTGTTTGTTTGTTTGTTTGTTTGTTTGGATTACATAAAAAGTCCTGAACCAATTTTCACCACACTTGGTGGAGAGATGGGTCATGGACCAGAGACAAACCCATTACATTTTAGTGATGATCCGAGAATCTTTTAATGTAATCTAATCTTTTAAGACTCTTTTTGTTTGGTGTGCTGATATCAGCCAGTAAAAAAAACATTACAAGGCACTGGCTGCTTCCTGACTGTCCCACAATAAAAGGAATAGACAGATATTGTTAATGAAGTATATACAATAGAAAAATCATGTCTTCACAATTGACCTTTGGTTGTTTGTCTGGTAGGTTGGATGCCTATTTGTCTATGTAAGTATGTGTATATATACATTTCTAGTCCCTCGTCTTTTTGTTTAAAAATAAGGAGAAAGGATGTTGAAAAAGGAAGGGTCCTTGGCCATGCTGCTCAGACGTCTAATACTCTGTAACTGCAAGGCTATTTCTCTGTAACTGGTGAAATGTTCTCAACTATCCACTAAATAAAGAATTGCAAAATAATAATAATAATAATAATAATAATAATAATAATAATAATAATAATAATCTGGATCTGACAGATGTGACATGTATTTGATTGTTTGACTTTGGTGGAGGTCTGAGCTCTACTGAGATCTAGTTTTCTTTACTGATTAATCTGTTGATACATTTTTTGATTAATCAACTATTTTATTAATCAATAAATTAATAATTAATATTATTTAATCTTCAATACAATAAATACATATTTTTTTACAATACAATAAAAATGCCCATATAAATTCTGAGGGCCCAAAGTGATGTCTTCAAATGTTTTGTTCTGTTGAACCAACAGTCCACAGATATTTACCTTACAAACAAATGTGCAATTTTTCTGACTTAATCAATCACCAAAATTGTTTCACATTTCATGTCACTGAATTCTCACAATATATAATTGTTCAATTCTGCGAGCACCACAAACAAAATTCCATTAACCTGCATTGTCTCAGACTATATCTGCATCTTTAGAGACTGGTGGTGGTGTAAGAGTGTGGGAAAGTTAATGGAAACTTAAGTTACATTACTCAGAGACCAGTACTCTGTTGTTGTTTGTTTGTTTGTTTGTTTGTTTGTCTGTTTGTTTTAAACCACTTATTGCTGTCTAAATGTTTAAGACATCATAGTTAAAGCCTCAGCACTTTTTTTAAAACCATCCCATTTTCAAGTGAAACCTTAATTCTATTTGTGGAAACACAAAAGAGAGAGAATTCGTAGCTTTTCTCCATTACCTTTCTGAACTAAACAGGGTGAAATAGCTTTCAGTCATTCTGCTGCCCACTGCTGGAACCAGCTCCCAATGGAGATCAAATCTGCTCAAACTGTAACTGGCTTTAAAACGAAGCTAAAACTGCTCTGTTCTCCTCTGCCTTCATCTGATCTTTTAATCTTACACTTTAACAAGATATGATCTATTTTATAATCAGTTCTTTTTTTTTTTACTGTTTTCTTATTGTGCTTTTTACTTCTATTTTTGTGCTTCTTATTTCTCTTAAGCACACTGAATGACCTCTGTATATGATAATGTGCTAAACAAATTAATTTGCCTTGCCTTGCTTTGCCTAACTAGACCCGAGTAGACCAGGTCAAGCTCAAACACCACTTTACTTAGACCTGTCAAATGTGGGCTCTATATAAACGTCACCTCTCCTGCAGCTTTTGTTCTCGTTCAGCCTCCTATCAGCTCACTCTGTGGTGGTCCTGGCCAGGTCCACGTCAAACCTGCTGAACCACATCTGATCCAAACTAATGTATTTTGGTTCCATCTGACCAAAGAATGAACTGCCAACATTCATCCAGTTCATTCACTACACCAACTCTAATTTCCACAGAGACTCCTAGTGCTAAGTCAGAAGCTCTTATCTTCTGTTTTTCAGTGCGCATTGTTGTGTAAACAATGACTGTGCCTGGCATCATTTGTCAGGACGTCCACTGCTCCTCGTATTATTGGTGGCATGGCTCTTCCTGTTCCTCCTAATCACTGCTACAGCTGTGTTTTAGCTCATGTTGAGTATCTACTGATGCTCAAGTTCCCTCTCGGAAATGAAGTCCTCCAATCTGGTTTCTGACAAAGGATAGATCTGAGGAAGCTGTGGTGGTCACAGGTTCTAGTTCGTGTAATCGCAGGTGTACTCAATTCTGTTGCACTAAGGTTTGACTGGTGCCAGTATTTTCATTGTAGTCTATTTAACCTGTTAGTTTTTAATTATACATAAGCTTAAATACCCTACACTTCAACCTAACAACCTTGTTTAACATTTTACAACATGGCGCTGTACAGTTCTGTTTTGTTGTAAACTGTATTTGTTCTCGTACTCCTCCAGTCATTTAAATAAAAGTTTAAGTTTGTCTTATTCTCTCACCTGTCCAAAAACTGACAATGTTCATCTTGTCTCACTGCTTCATTATCATCACTCTTTACCTCTGACACCTTTACTGTCGGGGTAAAGTGAGCTTGCTTTTCATTTTATCTATATATTAAGATATCTTTATGAAAACCTAGCTTTCAATAACACCTGCTGTATTTCTCCTGCCTTATACCAATCAGCTGAGCTCCAGCCTCATCATCCACAGAGTTTATACTGTATATATACAAAGCAGCCTCAAATGTGGTCATTTACCACACTGTCTTGTGTGTCTTCAGTGACATAACCCATAACCCATTTTAGTGTTTTTAAAAATACAATACAGGTTTTATAAATCTGAATTTGTGTTTTAAACTTTCTTTGGCTTCTCTGGGACAATCTAGTCCATACTTAATGAGTCTAAACATAGTTTTTAGTTTAGGTTTTTATTGTAGACCTGGTCTGATGCAGTCTAGAATAGGGCTGAACAATTAATTGTTACAATATTATCAAATTCACAATATGACAATTTTTGAAACAAAAGGTAAAATGTGTCACAACATACCATTACTAATGAAGCACTGTGGCACTACAGAGACACCCTGCCCCAATCTACATATGTAAGGGAANTTTTAGTTTAGGTTTTTATTGTAGACCTGGTCTGATGCAGACTAGAATAGGGCTGAACAATTAATTGTTGCAATATTATCAAATTCACAATATGACAATTTTTGAAGCAAAAGGTAAAATGTGTCATGTTTGTTTGGTTCAGATCCCAGCAAAATGACCACTCCCACTAAACAGTGACTCATATCACAATTTGATTTTTTTCTGCATATAATCTTATGGTCTGATGGGATCTAGATGGTGAAAAAAAGCAATTACAAGTTGGCCTATTTTGTTTTTTCACAAAATGACTAAAGGTTCATAAATGTGAAACTGAAAATCCAGTCCAGAGTTGACAGGTCTAAGTGGGGCTGTTTTGTTTTATAATCTAGACCTGGTCTGATCCAAATGGGAAGAAAAGCAGTGAAACTTCTATTTGTGAAAAGTGTTTTCACAAATAGAAGTTTTAATGGTTTTAATTTAATGCTGCTGGACACTTAAATTTACCCTTGGGGATAAATATCTATCTTTCTAATATTTAAATGTGGTATATCTAAAAGTACTGAGGCTTTAACTAAGATGTCTTATACAGTTTGATAACAATAAGTGTTTAAAAATAAAACACAGAATCAGTCTCTCAGTAATGTAACTTCAGTTTGGGTTGCTATTGAAGCTAATCTCCTTCATTGAGCTAAACTTTAGTGAAATAAAAGTTTTTCAGTCGAGATTTGGTGTTTGCTCAAATTAGAAACTCACTTTACAGATTCATGTTCAGGTCATGTCGAGGATGTAAATGACCTCTTTGTGTCTTTTGTAACTGAAACTGGATCGTTTAAATGGTCACAGTTAAACTTTACAGGTGTTGGTCACAGACACAGGAACTATGAGGAGAAGGGAAACAAGACAAACAGGAAAATCCAGCGCGCCTGCTTTAGCAAAGCAGCAGTTAGCGTCAGGTAACAACTGTAAGCAGTTAATGTCTACCTAATAACTATTCTTCAACTGAAAAGGTGAACAACCTGTGCCATTACATTTACCTGTAGTGTTAAACCTGACATGGTGGCTGTCAGTTGTCTGTACCGGACATTCACACGGCGACAACGTCCGCTCCGGCTTCCGACGACCGACGCTCCTCCTCGGGTCAGAGAGTCGGTGGATGGGCTCCAGGAGGACGGACACGGACACGGACACGGACACAGCACAGCTAGCTTAGCCCAACTGACAGGAGCGTGTGAAATTCAACGTCTGCTGCCGCCGCTCACAGCCTCTCCATGGCCCCGGCCCTGTGGTCAACACAGACACTAATCTCAGTAAAAGTTTGAATCGAGTTAAACTGGGGATCTACGCAAAACTGACGTCATTAGACTGCGGCTGGATTGGACGGCAGAGCAGGTGCATAGACCAATCACATTCGATTATTCAGTGCACCTGCAGAGGTTGTTTCGTCAAGCCTTCACGTAGCCTGTGATTTCCTCTCACATAGCTATGATAAATATGAGAGAAATGCATTTAATAACTTAATTATCCCTTAATTAAAATGTTCAAATACCAAATCATTATTTATCTTAATAATTGAATCAAACACAGCCTCCTCTTTAGATAAAAGCTATTAAAATGGCTCTTTTAAGTGCTGTTGCAAACGAGTTTTGTGAAGACCTCTTCCTGGCTTCTGCTGTTGTTAATGACTTAACATGTATTTTCAATAATGAACTGGACAAACCGGTTAAAAACCTTTAACATAACTTGTTGCAATTTTTATGGTGGACTGAGACGGGCTGACAGAAGCTTTTGTTTCCGGAGTGTGGGTGGGGCTGGAAATCTCTGTTGTCTAATTGAAAAGTTCTATTTTTTTCATGCTAAATTTATGAAAGAGGTGGGAGTGGGACAGACCCCAATTTATCTTGATATTTTGAATCTTGTTCGCAGAAGGGACGCCAACATGAGGACTGAAACATTAAGGGTAAACTTTGGTTATTCATTTATTCATTTCATTCAACCTTTATTTGAACTCAGAAACACATTGAGGTAGAGACATCATTCACAATGTAGTAAAAAAATGAACAAAAAATCCAACTGACCCTGAAACAAAAGAAGGAAGTTGGATAAAAATGTCAAAAATAAAAAGTCAAATTAGTAAAATAGTGAAACCTACCTTAAAGCAATCAAAACATTTTAAAGCTGATGAATCTGCTACAACAAGAACAGCTTAAAATAAAGTAAGATGAAATTAAACATTTAAAACAATAAAAAGGTTTATTAAGTCCAAAATTTGATTAAATCAACCATGAAATTAAAATGAGATGTGAATGTGTGTGAATATGTCCCTCAGCATGATACGACTGTCTCCAGTGATATCCACTCCAGGTCCACAGGGTCCAGGACAGGTCAGTACGTGGACCTGGAGTGGAGACTGTTATCAACTCTTGTTTTGAAGGCCAGTGATGAACTGTGAGACTCAACATTTCAGTCAGTGTACAGATTTGCATTATGATTTTTCAATCTGTCAAATCAGTCATCACAAGTCAACACTATATTATCCTAGTAAATTGAGAAATCTCTCTCTCTGTCTGTCTGTCTGTCTGTCTGTCTGTCTGTCTGTCTGTCTGTCTGTCTGTCTGTCTGCCTTTCAGTCTGCCTGGCTGATTTTTATTTTTAGATCATGGTGACATCTTGTACAGACTTCAGCTCTACGACTCTAAACTCCTTGATGCTGTCTACCACTCTGCTCTCAGATTCATTACTGCTGATGCCTACAACATTCGCATTGCCTCCTGTACAAAAAGGTTGGGTGGTCCTCTCTCTCTCTGAGAAATGTGATTCGCATACATATTTGTTTATTTCCTAGGCCCTTATTGAAAAACTGGTGTCATAGCTTACTTTCATGTTAATTTGGTTCACTAGACCAAATTAGACCAGGACTAATGACTGGCTTCTTTGCACAGCCCACCTGGAACTCATTACAAAATACAATTTGGTGGTACCTCTTGCTCATTTTAGATTCTTAATCTTTCACCTATTCATTTTTGTTTGTTTGTTTGAATTGATTCTTGTCATCATTACATTGTTTGTTTTAATTGATGTTCTTTTTTGACATAAGTATTTTTATTTTGTATCTATCAAACATCATTGTCGAGTAGATACAAAATGTTCATTGATTTTTGAGTTTAAATAACATAATCTTGGGTATTTAGGATACATGCGTAATACACCTTTCTTATCTTAAATAAGGATAGGAACATTGATTTAGAAATCATTCATCTGTAATGTTTTTCCTTAAATCGGGTCCTAACCCTAATTACCACGGGTACCAAGCAGTTAAGATAGGATCTGCAAGTTAAGAAGTTTCAGTAATACATCTCCTCCATGTACAGCCCCTGTACAGCCTGAAGCTTAAACTTGCAGTGTCGCACTCCAGCCGCCTGGGGGCAGTAGAGCACAATAAATATGTTCACTGACCGGGCGCCACAGAGGGAAACAAGCGTGCGAAGCTGCGCTCATTCCTCCTCATCGTGGGCTCTAAGACACGCAGTGTGTAAGGTGGAAGTAACTTTTATCCTGCAGAGAAGAGTTCTAAACCGCCCGGGACACACATCTGGTCCAAAGAGTCACGGAGAGAGATAACCATGTCGGCCTCATCGGCGAAAGTCAGTAGGAAGGAGAATTCAAATCACGACGGAGCGGACGAGACCTCTGGTAACGTTAAGGAATGGCGGTTATCCTGTACAACGCCATTTTCATTTGTTTTTCGTCATTTTGTTATTTTCAGTGTAGTTTTTTCTGTAGTATCGAGTTGAAATGATACACGTTTGTGGATGAACAGCTGAATTCACATTTTCCTGCATGTGCACACTGAGGTAAAATGCTGTTGTGCAGGACTCTTCAGTAATGTAGCATGCTAGCATCGGCTAACTATTTAGCCAGCATGATAGGTTAGCTAGCTATTAGCTTACATTGGCTACTAACAGCTAGTAGACATGAAGGAGGCCGATATTTGTCTTGCTTAAGCTGCATGTAGCGGGACATGCAGTCGCTGTTTATGCGGACAGTTTTGGGAGGTTTGTTGCAAGGAGGCTCAGGTGAAATCGATGCAGCTGTGCGTTTCCTCGTACACGTTTGTGGCTGGAGCTTCATAAACGGTTGTTTGCACACAGTACTAGCAAGTGCAACATTCATTGTACCCCGTTTCCCATCAGTCAAGAAAGGCCGAGCGCTGATAATGTTAACGTTAGCTGTTCAGATTAACATAACACTGCGAGCGATCTCAGCTATTGTGTGCGAGTTAGCAGAGCAAAATGTAAACAAGCGCTCCGTCTTCCTTTGGAAAGCTAGAATGTCGTTATGAAGTCGAGATATTGATGTCGATGTGTTTAATGTGCTTAAAGAGACTGTGGTGGAGCTCGCACTATGTTATTATCAGCATGAGGCAAACAGCATTTTGCAGCGAGACGTCGTCAAGCCCCTCATTCAAACCAGGCCGCCTTTAGCAGCAACAGGAAGCTCCAGACTGCAGGAGGCAGTGGGTCTGTCTGCCATGAATCCACCACACACACACACACGCACACACACACACCACGGCTGGCGTCCCGCGTTATTTAATACACCACACACGCAAAGGGGAGACGACTGAGAGGAGGTCCTGTGGCTGCAGAATCAGCTTTTACTGAAATCAACGAAATGCTTTAAAATCTACTCACGATCATATTCAGTCAAAATCAAACGATGTAAAGATGCATCACTGGCGACACAAGTGAAATGTGTGAAGTTTAGGTTCACGTGGAAAATATTTTGTTTTGTTCTTTTTTTGTTTGTTTTTTTAACAAAAACAACAAAGAGCTCAGCACAACATTGGTCTACACAATCAGCACTAATACTAAAGACAGCTAGAAATATATGGTGAAGAAAAACAAATTAATACTAAGAATAATGAAAACATTTAAACAAAACTTTTGCCCCTCCCTTTCCTTCTGTAAATTAGAAGACACAAAATATTAGAAAATAATGACATAATAAAGAAATATTAAAAAAATAAATAAAATAAATTGGAAAAAGAAGATTAGAAATAAAATCAGGCAACAAATGGACATTACAATTCAGTATTTAAGACAGGGTACAACAGGTGTGGTTCATAATTAGTCGAGAATAATGCTTGAGAGTGTTGATGCCACTGTAGTGTTTGAAAAGTTGAGATATGTAGTCCATATCTTTTGAAGAGTGAAAGCAGACAGGTCACGTGTTCAAGAGTAAAACACAATGTGATTATCTTACGCCAGTTTACTGTGATGGGAGGTTTGTCCACATGAAGAATATTTAAAAATACTTGAATTAGTTGTTTAAGAATGCTATGTTAAGTGAATTTTAGGTCATATGAAGCCCGGCAAAACTGGCTTTTTATTTCAGGTACGCAAAAAACATGTTGTGGTTATTTCAGCAGATATTGCGGTTGCGATGAGTCATGCATGCAAGTGGTCATTTTCACATTTCATTTTCATTTCGTTGATATCACATACAAGACCCAACAAAATGTTTCTCTACATCTTGAGAATATGATTTGTTGGCTGGGGCATATCTGTAGCACCTTTTACCTTTTTTATTTTGTCAAAAAAAAGTTGGAGGTCCTGCAGTTTGGATATTACACTCTGCCATATTGTAATTTTGATGAATTGTTCAGCCCTAATATAAAATAAGTGTTAAGATGAAGCCTGACCACTGATCGATTTTGAGCCCGATCCTATATCGATATTTAGTTGTTGTTGTTTTTTAAATTGTATTTTCCAATTTTTATTATTATTAAAATTACAATATATATTAGTTTTACATGAAGTCACTATGTATTGAGAATTTTTCAGCATTCCTTAAATAGTTTTTTTTTTTTAATTTTAGCCAAGATATTTACTTAGCTGGACATTTTACAGTGTAAAAACAAACTTCCTGGGGAACAAACTATGGAACTCAGACTCTGCTTGTAAATGACCTCCAACACACGCATTGATGTGAAAAATCTGCAATAAGCCAGTATTGGCTTATTGCATCAGCCTGGCTGGTTTTATTAGTCTAGCTTTTAAAAGAAGGGAAATTAAAACTAATTCTGTGCTTGTTTTTTCCTTTCTTTTCTATTTTTCAATTGATGTCTCATGATTGTGAATCCATATACCAACATGTTGGTGTTTTGGCCAGAGGCAAAAACTCCCTAAAAAAAAAAAACACACACACTGAATAAATGCTCCCAAATGTTCTATTCAATACAGACGTGGTGACTTAATGTCTTCATCAGGTTACATTCAGTAAGAAGGTCCACATCCAATTAATTCAACCCAGGTTGAGCCAATTGACCACATCCATATTTACTACCCATCAAATTATTTACAGTATTTATAACAAAACTTAGTAGTTATCAACTCCTAAGTTGATATCCCCTAACAATATTGGATTTTTGGGCCGATACTGATTTTAGGGAGTAAAAAAAATTCCGATATCAATATATCTGCCAATATGTTTTTAAACACTTGTGGAAAAACATCTTTTATGTGTCGATTCCTCTATTAAAATGCTCTGAGGCTTTTAAAGAGAAAATATGATGGGCGTCTGAAACCCAAAGACTGGTTCTTGGAAAGAGAGAGGGTAAAAATTATGCAGATGATTTGATTCTCTACTTTATTAATGTACCACAGTCACCAGAGGAAATAAAACAATGTAACGCACTGTCTGATTCTAAATTAAATGTTAGTCAGAAGTGATGGTAGTTGGACAGCCAATATGACAAATTTAAATCTAAATGTAATCTAAAGTAAATAAATAAGTATTCAGGGTCGACTGTCAAGACTTTAACAAGATGCTGTTCATGGTTAACCCCCAGTGCAACAAGAACAGACATTAAGGACAGGTGCAAAAAAATACATAGGTCCAAAAAACAAAAACAAAATCATTGCAAACTAAAACTAAGAAGTGTGAACTAAAAATGAACTAGACTTGGGCTGATATTCGCCAATATTGAATATTGTGATATGCACAGTCTTGCCATGCTGCCGAGTCCGACCCTCATTTCACTGCTTTGCTTACTGTACATTGTACATTGACGAAACAAATAAAATGTTTAACTGCTGTTTAGTGGCAGCGTTCGCTTATTCCAGAAACATATATATAAAATAAAGAACACCTGAAACATTAAATACAGTAATATAATTACAATATTGTATTGTTGGTGCGATAACATGGTGTATCACAATATCGTATATATTGATGTCTTAAAAGCTGGACTGTATTGAGATATTAAATTACAATAAATACAACTATAATTATACATTACTCTAAAAATACCTGAGACATGAAATAGAATAATATGATTATGTATCATTTAAAAATGTATTTAAAAAAACAACTGAAACACAAAATGTAAGTATAATTATGAACATGCCCCATGCCCTTTTTAAGAAGTGCTAATATCATATACCACAATATTCGGGCTGGGCTGTATTGATATTAAATTTTGGATATCACCCAAACACCACGCAGTCTTAAGGGAAAAGTGAGCAGCAACAACTTGGATGTAAATGAGGTCCAGTGAATTTTCTCCTCTTGTAGAAAAACAGTGTTTAACAATAGTGGAGAACTGACATCATTAAAATAAATATTTTAACAAGACTCTTATTTTTATTTCAAAACTTACCACTTCATATAATCACTGGGATAACAATCTTTAGTGCATTTATTTGGGGAGGAAGAAAAAGCCTTGTGTAAAAATTAAGTGAATCAGAACGACTTAAGTGCTTTGGGTTGTTGCTCTGACGGATTGAATTGGTTATTACTCTGCTGCTCTAATTAAACCAACCACTGTCTGGATATGTAATGATTAGCCAAGTGGAAAGAAATTGAAATCCAACAAATGGGGGCAGATTGGAACATAATTACAAAAGTGAAAATGAGATGTATAAAAAATACAATAATGGGGAAAATGACAAAATCAAACAATATTTAAACATTTCTAATATTTTTGAGAGATTATTTTTTTTAAATTACAGGAGGTAAAATACTGATCAGATACATCTGAGAATCTGTCAAAAAAAAAGCTTTAAAAGTCCCATTTTATAATTCTTTACAGATGAGGATATAATAAGGTCATCTAACAGGGTGAACACAAAAAATACATCAGGTTGGATTTATTGGATCATGGAAGAGTAATCTACAATATAACAGAGAAACCCAACAGCTCCACCATGAGCAGCACTTAGTGACAGCGGAGAGGAAAATTCCAAACTGAACCCATGTGGTAGAGTGAGCTGCATTTAATTATATCACCAGAAAACATTTATTGGAGAGAGACTATTGATTACTGTAAGAGATTAAAACTAAATGGAAAAAATCATCTGGATAAAAAAATTCTGTGCTTGTGCAGTGGAATTATGATTCATGCATATATATATATATATATATATATATATTTTTTTTTTTATATGCCTCCTCCTTGTAGCATTTCATAGATAAAGTTTTCTTTCCTTTCAGAAAAAGAGCAACAGGAAGCCATTGAACACATTGACGAAGTACAGAATGAAATTGACAGGTGAGTCTGGATGTGTTCAGCAGAGACAGGTGAGTGGTTCACAGAGAGAGTTTTCTTACTGATGTGTTTTTGTTTTCTCCCTCCAGACTGAACGAACAGGCTAGTGAAGAAATTTTAAAAGTAGAGCAGAAGTACAACAAATTACGCCAGCCGTTCTTTCAGAAGAGATCAGAACTCATAGCCAAAATCCCCAACTTCTGGGTCACAACATTCGTCAACCATCCACAAGGTAAAGGCTTATTTAGTTATTTGTTTTATTTGTGTCCGTGTATATGCGGTGAAGGAACGATCATCAGTGGAATAAACCTAGTCTTAATGTATTTACAGCTGCTTTATGCTGGTAAATGTAATGTAAACTAACGGTCTGTTGTCTGACCTGTAGTTTCAGCTCTTCTGGGGGAGGAGGACGAGGAAGCGCTTCATTACTTGTCGAGGGTGGAGGTCACCGAGTTCGAGGACATCAAGTCTGGATATAGAATAGATTTTGTGAGTCGACAGCTTTACTTTGTGTTTGTACGTTTCGAATGACCATGTTCTGATAGATGTGTGACATGGGCGTGTTCTGTTTCCTGCAGTATTTTGATGAGAACCCGTACTTTGAGAACAAAGCCCTCTCCAAAGAGTTTAACGTAAACGAGAGTGGAGACCCCGTTTCCAAATCCACTGAAATCAAATGGAAAGCTGGAAAGGTTGGTTTCATTTTTACTTTGCTTGTATGTGTTCGACCAGAAACAGTACAATTTAAAGAGTCAACAAAAAATGTTTCACTGCACTGCTACATGTTGCTGCATTGCTCCGTCCTTGGAGAGCTGGACTGACAGTTATTCTCTCATCAGTAAACACTTTATAACCTGAAATCTTGACCCAACACGTTTCCTCGCCCAGGACCTGACGAAGCGCACGGGTCAGACGCCAAACAAAGCTGGGAAGAAAAGGCAGCACGAGGAGCCTGAGAGCTTCTTCACCTGGTTCACCGACCACTCGGACGCAGGAGCCGATGAGCTGGGAGAGGTGATCAAGGACGACATCTGGCCGAACCCGCTGCAGTATTACTTGGTAGGATTATGACCCTATCACTATTTATTGACTTCTTACAATAGTTCAGACACAAAACAGCCCTTTATTAAGATAATGCTAGGCGCTTTGTTGGCGGGGGCCTGACTTTCGAGACATGAAATGTGATGCGAGTTCAGATCCCTGAGTTTTCAGTTTCATCTGAAACTGTCTTGGTCTTCAGTTCTAGTTCACAGCCCCCTCTGCTCTCTGGCATCAGTTAGCTTCAGATCTCCAGTTGCTCTGAGGAGCTCGTGGTTGTTGAGTGTCGCAGCCAAGGTTTGAAGAGTCGGAATTTATAATCAGCTGATAATTCGTGTCCGAATGAGTCAATTAAGACCTAATGAGCTAATGAAGCTCTTTATTTATACTATACTTTCTACTAAACACAAACTTTCACCGATGCCACTTACAGTGAGATTTGTCTACTTTCTATGTTGATGAAATAAAAGCATCAGAGCTTTAACACTGAGGAAATTAAATGCACAGTCAGTAATTTCTGCCTCCAGGGTTTTCAATCAAGTCAATAACAAAAGATGGTGTTGGGTGACATCATGAAGTAGCATGGGATCGTGGGAGTTATCTTCACCACCATTACCGTAAGCATTTCCCGGGTTGGATTCCTTCAGTGTCAGTGGTTCAGGGAATCAAACAGACCTGGTGATTCTAACTGTTAGAAACACTGAATAAAACAGTTTGACTTTAGAACTCAGAGCTTCACCGACGCTCTTCAGTGACACAGGACAGGACGTCTCCAGCAGCTGGGAGCTGAGCTGTCTAACATTTCCTCAGCTTGTTTCTCTGATAACTTCAGATCCAGATGTCCGACGACTAAAATCCTTCATCTGGTTCAGATAAAGAGCTGAAAACCACCAAGGTGTAAAAAGTGTATGTGGCTTAAAACTAGATAAAAGTCAATGTTGAGCTTCTGTCAGACAAACACACTGACTTTTAATGTCTATATGTTATATTTACTTCCTCTCACTCCAGAAATCAGCAAAATGTCATTTTCCCATCCGTGTCCAGATGTTTGCAGATGACTGCATCATGCTCACAATTTACATATTTAAATAAAGTTTAGTGCTGATGTTTTTAAAAAACATTTCAGAACTCAAATCTTACTGAGTGTGACCCTCAGTGTGTTGTTACACCTGACTGTGAGACTGGTACAGACTGTAAGTGAGGCTCAGGCAGGATCATAGTTCTTGAGGCTCATACTGAGACTGAGCCAGGATCAGCTGTTTGACATGTGAATGTTCCCCAGGTCCCTGACATGGAAGACGAGGAAGGTGATGGAGACGATGACGACGACGAGGAGGAGGGTCTGGAAGATATTGATGAGGGGGAGGAAGAGGAAGGTGAAGATGAAGATGAGGATGGTGATGGAGAAGATGGAGAGGTAAGGATAAAAACATGTCACTTAGTGCTCATATTAATCGATGATGAGCTGGATGAAGATCCCTGTGTCCTGTTCAGTCCGTCAGATGATCATCATCCTGAAAAAACCTTGTAACGCTTTGTTTTCTCTTCAGGATGACGGAGAGGATGATTAAACGTTTCAGCCAACACCTTTTCCCAGTCCTCCCTCTGTGATCATCCTACAACCCATGGGAGCAAGATATTTTGTTTTGGGGTGGGGGGGTTTTGTAAAAAAAAAAGAAAAAAAAATTTCCTGTGTGTTGTCAGCCTGTCCATCCTCTTCCTCTGCAGCCAAGGCCTGTCCATACCGCCATGTCTACAGACCAGCTCCACACGGCAGGTCTCCGCGGGTCGCAGTGGGGTGGGGGTGTTGGTGGCTCTCTGGAAGTCTCACCTGTCATTGTTTCTCTACATCTCCCAAAGACATGCAAAAGAATAAAAAAAAATTTGTAGCATTCTGCACGTCATCCTACGTAGATTTAAAATACGTACAATAGCAATTTTTATGTAAGATATGAAATGACAGTTTCTGTTGAAGTTGTGAGTTCAATAAAAATAAGCCATGGTGCAGTGATAACTCAATCATAGCATCTTTAGCCACTTTTATATATAAATGTATATTATAATATATCCAGTGGTGGGGGGGTACTAAGGCTTATTAGAAGTTGCATTTTCCTTTGTGACTTATTGTACTAATGGAACTGATTGAAAGCACCAGCTTGTTCCTTTCAACTGTTGTAAATGTTTTTGGGATATTCATGTACCTTGGTAAGACAGTTGTTAATTGTACACAGTTTAATGGGGGGGGAGGGGGGCTTTGACACCAACTCTGGACTTCTGTTAAATAAATTTTCATTATCTTGTTTTTCAGGCACCCACAACAAAGTTTGAAATGTACATTTTTTTTATAAAAACAACTTAAAGATCTAATTTTGGGCTCGGCTTAACATTTTGAGATGGGAGAGAGATTTCTGTGGAGTCCTGTGTGGAGTCTGCAGCGGTTCTCCTGTTCCACTGGAAACCTGTTCACGTTAAATTATGTGTACCAGTTGCTTTGTTACAATAAATAAATGTGTACATGATGTTTGGAGTAGTTTGGTCACAGGTGGGCAGTTGAGCTGGTGCTGTTGCTGATACAACCTGTGTTGTGCTTTGTTTTCTCATCGGGGTCCATCAGTGACCTGAAATGTCGCAGTAATCAATAGTTATCCAACGGAAGCCTGGATTTATTTGATCAGTGCTGGTTCAGTTGGGCTGATTCAGGGCCAACAATTGAGGTGGAGGCATCAGGCAGGCCTAACAGTTAACAAAAACACCAAATTAACATTGTATTGTTGCATTTTTGGATAAAGTGTTACTCTGAATATTTCCCACGTGGCATTCAATGGTTTAAAAAACGCACAAGCTGTGTTTGTATATCATATATAGTACACAGCAGCTGCCTGTGTCTGTCCAAACAAAACATGGAGTACAGAACTAATACTTGAGTCACAAAGATGAAGGCAATTAAGGAAACATTACAGCAATAGATAACTAACAATTAAGGCTTTAATCCACCCTGAGGTCCTCACCGGTCAATAATTATTGGACTAATTTAAGTGATATACACTGGAAGAAGAGCTGCATAGTGAGTGTTGATAGGATAGGAATTAGCTGCGCAGGTGATAGTGAGTATCACATTATATGAGGGTGTTTATTCACAGGTCCTGTTACAACAGGTCATTACTATAAACTTAAACCTCGTATTAAAAAAACAAACATCTATGATATAGTTCTCCCACCAACAGGGGGCAGACATGTCACATAAAGGGTCGTAGAGCTGCAGTCACTCAGCTTGAAGTCCTGGTTTTCTCACTACTTTGTGTGTGATGGGTTTATAATTGTTAATGCACAAGGACCAGTTCAGACCTTCACGGTCACTTAGACAGACACGCTTAAAGGTAGACGTGGACTGATGACGCTAATGAGGTGGGTCTTGGTTCTCAGAGTCATGGAGCTCTTACACCTACAAGAGATGAGGCTATTAAAGTAAAATAGTCCGTTACACTTTTCAACTACACCATGATTGCTACATCGGTTACACCAAATAATGTAAAATATGATCACTGTTGCCAGGCAACGGAACAAAAGAATCGTCAGGGCAGACGAGTCAGGAAGTGCAAAGTATTTTATCGACATTATTTAAGCAATATCACACGAGAGGGAGTGATGTGCTGAATATCAGCACGGCTGTGATGCGGTCATAAGTACGAGGCAGCAACATTTTTACGAGCGCCATATTATTGAAATAAGCAACAATAGATTATGAGTTGTTTGTTTATTTCATCATTTATTTTGCAACGCCACAAATAGTTCCGCAACTGGACTGGCTTCTCCCCTTCACCCTCTTCTGGCGACCATACATCATTAAATTAAAATGTTATTTCTGGAAATATATTAATCTTTGTAAAGTTTGTTAACAACCGTTAATGCAACGCTGATTAACGGTTAATAGAACACCTGTGAAGCGGAGTGATACATGTAGTTAAAAGTCCCAGTGCTGTTGTACTCTATATCAGCAACTCATGGAATGCCTCTTGTCTAATCAAATTATTTGGTCGGAACAAATTATATATAGAATATAGAATATCATCAGCTACAGCTTGTAAAACATAGTGGAAACTTTTCATGTGTTGTTAACTGTGTTTCATTTTATCATTTTAAACAGCGTACATGCTCGGGTCCACCTGGGACTTTTATCCTGGAGAAGAAGCGGAAGTGAAGGAGAGACATCACTGGACCGGATATCCTGTTCGTAACCATGGAAACGCGATCTTTATAGAAAATGGCTCCGTCGTTTAGGTGCTGGGAAGACAGCAAACGACACTGTAGATGTGAAAAGTACCATGCAGCTAGGAAACCTAAGACCTTTTAGCATTCAGAAGTCATTGTTTTAATGTATTTAGCCTAGCCACTTGGGCCTAATGTTAATTAGCTTAGCCACTTAACGTTAATTCATTAAATACGGCTGTTTCTCTAAACCTGTTTCATTAGCATGTTTACAGACGAGGCCCTGGACTCAGTGAGTGTCCGGTCACTGTGGAGGGAATCCCAGCAGTCTGAGCGGGAGTCGGTACGTTAGAGCAGCAGCTCGGTGCTCTGTTAGCATGAGTGACAGTGTACTTGTAGCCTATGGAATATTTCAAATGAATTAGACAAACGACATTGTAAACACAGTAGTTAGCTAGCTGTCAGAAGCTAACTTCAGCTGGTGTTTATAGGAAATGTAACCAACCACAAGATCAAGCGCAGTGGCGATGCTAGACTCTGTGAGACCCCAGGCAAAGACGCCCATTAAAGCCTCCTTACATGCAGACTACTGGCAGATGCTACAATTTACAGATTTCCCCTAAACGCCTCACTTGCAGGCAACAGGTAGATGGGGGTTGCGGCTACAGCAGTGCAGTGTATAGTGTCTTTATGGGAAGTTTAAGGGGGTTAGTTGTCATTGTAAAATGTGCCAATATGAGGGGCCATTGGGGGCCCCTTTTCCCCTTGGAGGCCCCAAACATTTGCCTGATTTGCCTCTCCTGATTGATTAAGCCATAGCAAGTAACTTTACACTTGCATGAGACATCAGGTATGAGATTTCATGAAGAGAGAAGCTTGTATCTTTAGACCAAAACCACTTGAATATGCTGAATGCATTAACTTTAACATGTTCAAACAAACATAGACGGTTGTATACACTCACCCAAAGCTAGCTTTTACATTTTTTTTTATAAATTAAATATGTGACCACTTTAAACATAAATCATCATTGTTGCACCTACTTAAGTGGAATTAATTGTGTAATTCAAACTTGTGATTGCACTTGCTCTGAGTTTGATGTGAACCCTTCAGTAAATGGGCCTTTACTTGATGGGGTTGCAGAGAGGCTGTCAGACCAGAGCGGTGCACAGTACTGAGGCACAGGTCCAGACTGTGTCCACCACCATCGGCTGTACCCAGACGGAGCCACAGGACCAGCAAACGGAGCAGCTCCTCCAGCAAAACCACGCCGAGCCAGAACCACCTGGTCTGAAGGACTTCCTGCAGCGGGTTGAGGAAGTGGTCATCACAGAGCTGGTCAAAAATGCCAGGAGTCACGCCTTCGATGGGTTCCAGGTGAACTGGGGCGATCACAGTCAGCTGGTAAGCAGGACCGACGAATCAGGAGGCAGCTCCTTTTCTTATGGAGAGACTATTGTGCATAAGGCTTTCCCTCCATGTTTGCAGGTTTCATGCCTCCATCGTCTTCAACATCCCATCGCTCAGGAGAGAGGTCTTCATGTGACGATGGTGTCCTGGAGTTGTACAGGTTCAGTCATTGCCTGTGCATATGGTCGGTATGTTAGTTTTTAAACCTGACACTCATTGATGAAGTTCCTGGATGTTTCACCTCGTCATAGTCTTTTTTTTCGAAGCACTTAAAACATAAATAAGAAAAGACTCTTGTATATTTGTCGTGTGTGTGTGTGTGTGTGTGTGTGTGTGGGGGCAGGATTGATGATGGGTACTGGAGCACTGAGAAGTCATATGTGTGTACGTGGAATCTGGACCGTCGAGGCCTGAGCCCCAAACAAGCTGATCTGGTCATAGATGTTCCCACCGCAGTCACTGCTCTGTGCTGTCACCCCGACCAGCCCGCCCTCATCGCAGGTACACTGTCAGTCTGTGCTCTCGCACCATCAGCTGATAACAAACTGAGAACTCAAGGTCAACTCAAATGCAAATATCTCATCTAAACGTGAGGTTTGTAACTGTCGAGGATATGCATCACCAGATATCCTGGATTAACCAAGACCTGAGACCTGTTCTCCAACGGTGGTTTAACTTATCCAGGTTTAAATTCTGTTGTCCTGATCTAAAATGATCCTGTTAATGATGGTAGGATTTTATTTGATTTATATATACACTTGATTGAATCTGGAAGTCACATTAAAATCAAGATCTCATTTACTAGTGAGACCTGAGCAGAGAAAAGTAAAATGAATAACAAAAAGCAGAGATATTACATTTCAGTGATTTAAATATACATCCAGATATGTATTCACATAAACAAGCAGCCATGTTTATATAGACAGCGTCCAGAGTGTATATTTAAATGCATTTAGATACATGGTGGCATTTTACGCTCATAAGTGCAAGTTAGAAAAGAGATTATGCAAAACAGTTGCATTGAGAAGTGTTGTTGTATTACTCCTTGATGGTTTCAGTGTTTGAGTAGAGCTCAGTGTAAACGATGTTGTGGGTGTGGGTGTGGGTGTGTGTAGGGGGTCTGTACAGTGGAGAGGTGGTGGTCTGGGACACCAGTCGGACTCAGGACCCTGTGCTGGCCTTGACTGGGATGTCAGCAGACAGCCACAGGGAACCTGTTTACCAGGTGAGTGGATACAGTGTGATCCTGATGATTGATGACAGGTTTAGGTCATATGAGGCTCAGTGTCACATGATCTTTAAAAATGATGGTGTCTGTTAATGACTGTGAGTATATGAAGCATTTTGATCTGATTGGTGGATTAAAAGACATGTCCTGTGTGTGTGTGTGTGTGTGTGTGTGTGTGTGTGTGGTTGTGTGTGTGTGTGTGTGTGTGTGTGTGTGCGCGCGCGTGTGTGTGTGTGTGTGTGTGTGCGCGTGTGCGTGTGCGCACAGGTCACCTGGGTCGCCCTGCAGAAGAAAGGGGAGTTTGGGGTGCTGAGTGCAGGTTCAGGAGGGAGGGTACTGCTGTGGGCAGTGGACTCGCAGCAGGGCAGCTTTGTCCTGAATGCAGCCTACGCCTTAGTGCGACAGCAGGTTCCTCACAGCAGCAGCAGCCTCAAGGTGAGTCTCAGGATGGAGCTGTTCCTCTACACTTCCAGAGAGCAGAGACATCACAGATGAAGAATCACTGTGTTTAGTTTCAGAATATTTAAACTGTGCGTCCACACTGACTTAGTGTGAGACCTGTGCAGCAGGTCTGCTCCATCAGCTCACCTGAAGTTTGACACTTGGACAGTTTTCATGTGGGGGGGGTAGAAATGTTGTGAGTGACGGGTCGGTCATGGCAGTCATGAGCCCTCCTCCCAGGTTGTTTGTGCAGCTCCTCGAGTCTTCCATGACTGAGAAAACATAAGACGGCTGAACTTTGAAAATAAGAGTCCTAACAGCTTATTGTGGGCCAGATTGTCAAATTAAAGCACACTGACCACAAGTCTCTGAACTGCATCAGGACTTAAAAATGAAGGCCCCCAGGTGGAAACAGGAACACTCATGTCACAGGTAAATCATTTGATCCCTTTACTTTGGTTTAAACAAACATCATTCCCATCAGCCTGTTTTACTTTGTGTTTAATGCTAATTAGAAACTGTTTGCATGCTAACATGTTAAACTAAGATAGTGAATATGGTAAACGTTATACCTTCTTAGCATCTACATGTTAGCATGCTGATGTTAGCATTTAGCCTTACAGAGCTGAAGTTACCTGAAGTTTCAGCGTCCGTGAGAATTTATGTTTCCTAAACCCACAACTTTTTCTCCTTCACTCTCTGTGTATTAGAGAGGTAGGTTTACCTGCCAGGTACATCAGTGTTTATTATGGCTTCTGTAAATGCTCATCAGGTGAACAGGGACATTTGATGGATGTTTTCTAAAAACAAGGCTGTTTGTTCAGCTCCTGAAGACATTTTACCAAACAATGAAGAATATACAGTATTTAATGATTATTATTTTGTCTTATGAGGTGTTTCACCACAACTAGTATTGTTTTCCCTCCTTTTCCTTTGTGCAGTGCATCAAAAATGAAACCTTTTTAAGTCTGCAGACTTTATTTTGTCACTTTTCAACATGACAGTAATAATCTGTTCAGAGTGAACGTGGAGCTGGGACACTGACAGGTGTGTGTTGTCCACAGACCCGAGGCAGCAGTACTGTGGGCGTCACCTCTCTGGCCCTGTCTCCGTGGGACCCTGACACCTTCCTGGTGGGCTCTGAGGGCGGCCTGCTGCTCAGGTGTTCCTTCTCCTCCAAGACGCCGGCTGCTGTTCCCTCTGAGGGTCAGAGTGTGACCCTGAGAGCTCCGGCGGTCTTCTCCTTCAGGTCTCACAGCGGCCCCGTCCACTCCATCCACTGCTCCCCTTTCCACAGGTGACAGCTCCACACCGACCAGACACATGGTCAGCAGTTGTTCTACAGGTGGACCAGTGGTGACTTTGACTTGTGTTTTCTGTAGGAACTTGTTTGTGAGTGCAGGGACTGACGGTCTGGCCCACCTCCACTCTATGCTGCAGGACAACCCGCTTCTGTCTCTCAGGGTCTCAGACTCCTACGTGTTCCAGGTGCAGTGGTCTCCAACCAGACCACTGGTCTTTGCTGCAGCCACAGGACAAGGTGCAACATCAAACCTGTCTGAATGATGTGCTTCTTTTTCATAATTCATTTACACATCAGAACCAGATCAGACAAACGTTACCTGTGATGAAACTGGAATCAATGCTAAAAAAAAAAAATCTTTAGATGCATCCTCTCACTGCGTGTCTCTCTCACAGGTGAGGTGCAGATATTCGACCTGGGCCGCAGGTCCCTGAGGCCAGTCGCCACCATAGAGCAGGGAGCTGCGGGACAAGCTGCTACTTGTTTGGCCTTCAACTGTCAGAGCACCCATCTGTTGGCGGTGGGAAACACAGACGGGACAGTTGGTGTTTGGCAGCTGAGTGCAGATCTGACCGAGCAAAGCCCCAGAGAGAGCAGCCAGCTGGAGCAGATAGCCAATCAGGTGGCAGAATGAGACACATGACCTGGGACATCAAAGGACTGTTTCATCCTCTGTTTATATCGACTGTGTTTTGTAAAAAAATTTAATTAAAGAAAATACTGAAAACTCAGTGTGGAAGTGAAATAAAAAGGAGTGAGCAGAGGTTTCCAGTTCTAACCAGTAGCGTTTATTAAAGCACACTGCAGTTGTTCAGGTGTTGGTACAACATTATTGTTACTATTAGGTTCTTAAATTCATCGAAAGCACAAGCTAAAACAGCTAAAACAATCACATTCAAATGCAGACAGATCCACTATGCTATCGTGAGAAGCACAAAGTTAAGGTAGAGCGAGATAAATAGAACAGACAGTTGTTATTAGTGAGTTTTCTGGTGCCACAGTCATGCAGTTTCAGCCGTGTGTTCGTGTTGAAGTGTGTGAGGGAAAACGCGTCCCGATTGGTCACTGGGGGGCGGGGGATCAGTTGACAAAGAGCGAGCGGGTGAATTCGACAAAGTCGAAGGCTGACGGCAGCTCGCGGCCCTTGCTGTCGAGGTAGGGCTTCATGTGTGAGAGACAGTAGTCCGCCTGCTCCTTGGTCAGGTTCTGAAAGGAAGAGGGGGACAGTTAGACCTCCATGAAGATCAGACCCTGAAACCACATCCACAGAGCCGAGAACCGGTCTGACCTGGTAGAGCTCTTCTTTAGTCACGTAGGGTTTGTTTTCGGTGCTCAGAGCTCGGAACGCGCTCTCTATCTCCTCACTGGACTTGACGTTCTCTGTCTCACGGCTGATCATGAACGCCATGTACTCCTGCAGCGACACGTTGCCATCCCTGCGCACACACGCACATGTACAAATACACACACACACACACACACCTCACAGTTAGGCAGCAAATTCAACAGTATGTAAACTACAAACAGCCGCACTGTTCCATACACAGACCTGTTGGGATCCACCGTGTCGAGTATGGCCTCGAACTCAGGATCAGGTTCTCCCTCCTCCACCATGGGCAGGTCGTAGCCTAACGAGCGCAGACACGACTTGAACTCCTGGTGGTTCAGACGACCAGACTTCTCCTTGTCGAAGTGCCTGTGAAAAAGCAGGAGAGCGTGAGGCTGGGACTCTGATCAGACACAGGAACACATCATGATGGAGGCAGGTCAATGTCACTCACTTGAACATCATGCTGAACTCCTTCAGAGCTTCCTCCGTCACTCCAGTGGTGTTCCTGAAACACAGAGAGCATCATGAGCTCAAACTCCTCACAGCTTTTCTCACTGTGTTTGACTTCCACACTGTCAGTGTGTACCTGGCCTGTATCTGCTGCTCCAGGTTATGCTGCATCCTCATTCCCAGTTGGTCCAGTTGGTCCCACTGCTGGGCCAGGCCCACTGTGCTGTGCTCTGTGTATTTGTTGTCTAAGATCAATGCCTCCTCCATAGCTGCTCCCAGGTCTTCAATCTTCTTCAGCTGGCTGCGCATGGCCCGGATCTCCTGGTGCTTACGCTGCACACATCAACAGAACCGGTCACATGGTGTCCACCTCACACTATGACTCTGCATCAGCAGTGTTGTTAACATGTAATGAGCTTTACCTTAGTGGCCTCCAGCTGGGACTCCAGGGTACCGGACTCCTCCACCATACAGGACCTGACACCAACACACACTGATGTTAGAGGAGGCAGCAGAGTCTGGAGAACTCCACACACACACTCACACTGTTAGGACGACACATTCCTACAACATCCCACACAAACCTTCATGAATAAAGATTTAATGTAGAGTCTAGAGGTGCAGATAAACTGGTTCTGGGTGTTGAATTCAACATGTCACTAGTGTGTGGGTCTGTTATTCTGTCTCTACGGCCTCAGAGTGGAGATGAATTAATGCCAAAGATCTACTGGTAACCCAAACCATGCAAGGGAGGGCTCCTGCACACAGGAGTGGAAACTGCAGCAGATCATGAATATCAACGTTACAGAGGATGAATGTAGCAGAAAAATAAACCACAGCGACACAATGGGACCAAATTACAGCTTCAAATATACTTGTCCACTCTGCAGTTTCCACCCCTGCAGTGCAGACTTCACCAGGTGACCACCAGCCAGTCCACCAGTTGAAGGCAGTGCTGTCTGCAGCCTGGTGCTCTGAGTCTGAGTACTGGGTGGGTGTTAGTAGAGCAGGGAGGTGCCGAGCACACCACAGCTTCTACACTGAGTGCGTGAGGTCACACAGCCCTCACACCGTGTGAGGTCAGAGGAAACAAAAGGAAACCAGAGCGAGGCTCGACAGAGGTTGACCTTCCAGAAAGATCATCAGCAACCTGGTACTGATAGACACAGATAACTCGCCGATAGGCTATGCTATTCAGAGAGAGGACCAGAGACCAAACATGAGACAGGACACAGAGAAATATTCATCTTCATCAACCATGAGCAAGAGGAACATGTGTTTTTAAACTGGTCCTATGAAGCTGAATCATTAAAAAAACAATACCCATCTGAGAGATCAAAGATTTACCTTCATCATCATCATCATCATCATCATCATCATCATCATCATCATCATCATCATCATCACATCCCTCAGCTTTCAGACACAGATTCTAACACTCAGACAGACAGTGGTCATAAAAGAGAAAAAGTGATATTAACCCATCCAGAAGATACGTCCTGATTAGCACAGCGATCCGAAGCAGCAGCAAGGAAGCAGCCGAGAGGAAGGAGGGGGGCGGGGGAGGGAGAGAGAGAGAGAACAAATACACATTAACAACATGAAGCAACGACACAGTGCTCACTGAAAATAACACCCTCAACAAGCTCAACACCAGTGAGCAGAGTGATGAAGTGTCTGATGTTTGTGCCGCAGATCAAACACAGTCAACAGATAAATCAGTCTGTCAACAGGAAGATGGACACAGCAGGAAGCACCTTCACACACTGAGCCATCACCTGTACAATGACTGTCAGAGCAGCAAGGGGGGTATTCCATCAACGTCACTAAGGAAATCTGCGCTTACTTGAAAAAGCCCGGTTAGAATTAACGTCGACTTTCACTTCAGGCTCACGCCGCTCCATTAACGCAATTTAGCCGAGCCTCATCAACGTCAACTCAAACCAGGCTTGAACAAGCTGCTTTATGTGCGCACACAGACTACAAGCAGCACAGAACAGGCGATTGTGGAAAAGATCATGTCACAGACAAAAGGGGAAAACAAGATCCGTCTTCTTCTCAGCAGCGGAGCAGCTCTGCATTAGAGTTAACACCCGTCCTGTAGAATATGTGAATAATGTAATGTCAAGTAAAACCCAACCAGTTACAGCTACAGGTGGAGTGGAGAAGTTTATCAGTGAGCAGTAACTGATCTGCAGTAACTGATGTGCTCTGTGTGAGAAAATACCCATGTGCTCAGCTTCTTCAGGTAAAGTAAGTGGCCCTTCCTGCATGTGGAATTCATAAACGTTCAGCTAAACGTTTAAAGAAAAAATGTTTTTTTTTCTAGCTTTTAGGAAGAAAGTATCAAACTATATTAGCGATATAAGCCAGGATTTTCCTTTATCTGCCTTGATGGAATAAGGCCCAGGTCTCCAAGTGCAAGAAGCTAAAGACTTGGGGCTCCGCTGGAGCGCGTCCTCTACCTGGTCTCCTGCAGCCACTGGTGGAAGGCGTTGGCGTGCTGCGCAAACTCCTGACGCAGTTTGTCGTTTTCCTCCTGTCTCCTCTGCTCCTTCTGCAGCTCCAGCTCTCGCTCCTGCAGCAAAGTGAACAAGGTCGTGATGAACACCTGGACATGATGAGCTCAAACAGGTGAGCAGGGGGATTTGGATTAAAAAACAAAGTGGATGAAAACATGAGGCTGTATATGTGAATGTGTATATAATCCTTGATGCGGGGACCTTGATGATCTTCTGCAGGTTCCTCCAGGTCTCCTCCAGGGCCTCCATGGTGAACCAGGTGTAGGGGTTGGAAACCACCTGGTAGCTCTTGATCTGCTGGTCCAGCTCGGCCAGCTGGTTGAAGTCGGCCTGAGCCGAGCTCAGCGAGGAGCGGAAGGCCTCGTGGGCCTCTCGCAGCGCCCGGATCTCCTCCAGAGAGTTGCACCTGACCGGGTCTGTCAGGTCCTCCTCTGCGTTCTCGAACCAGCTGTTGAAGGCTGAAGCTTTCTTGGCGAATGTCAGGAACAAGTCTTCAACCTGGAGTGGGAAAGATACAATCCTTAAAACATCTCACTGATTTTACCTTTGTTTGTCTCGATGCTTCATTTGCCTTTAAGCTTTGACTCAAAGAACAAGCATCAACAAAACCATCCTCAGGCCTCTTTACCTTTCTGAAGTGCTCCTGAGCCTCCAGAAGCTTCTTCTTGCGAGCGGCTGAGTTAGACAGCAGCTGGTTCCAGCGCTTCATCAAGGCAGCGTGGCGAGCTTCGATGGCTTTCGATTGGACGTGCTTGGTGGCCAGCAGCTGGTCCTTCAGAGCTGTGATGTTTGTGATGCCCTCCTGCTGGAAGGCCTGGAGGCCGGCATCAAACGTTTCCTGCAGACAGACACACACACGTGCATCATCAGAGGAGAGAGTAACACGGTGCAGAGGAAACGTACGGCACTGTGAGAGAGGAGTACCTGCTTGGTGAGCAGAGTCTGCACAGACGACAGGTCTCTGCCGTAGTCATCAGTCTTCAGGCTGTTTTCTTTCTCACCTGAACACAAACCACATCACAGGTTCACAACCGATCAAACCAGACCAACACAAACCAGTCTGGACTGGACACAGCTACACCTGCTCTGGTTTCCTAGACAAGTACTGAAGGTACGATTTCATATTTGAGGAAATAAGCTTGTTGGAGTCAGGATGTGGTTAGCTTAGCTTAGCTTTAAGACTAGAAGCAGCTAGCCTGGCTCTCTCAAAAGCCAAAAACTATATCTATGAGCTCCTCTAAAGCTCATGAGTCACTCTTCAGGTGAAGGACACGAGTCTTTGTGTATTCGTACCGATCCAGGACTCCACCACGTCGGCCTTCCAGTTGAACTGCAGGAAGGCGGAGTTTTCGTCCAGCTTGGCCTTCCTCTGAGCCGCCGCCCTCTCCAGCTCTGATACTTTGCCTCTCAGAGCCGACATCTTGGCGCTGATGTTGTCCACATGATGGTTGTTCTGTTGGAAACACAAGAAAGATCTTAATACACCTTCACTACACGACTTACACAGATGATCATCTCAGTGATGGACTGTTCCCAGTGTAGTCGGTACCTTCTTGATCAGCTCCTCTCCGTTAGCGCACACGTCGTTGACTCGGTCCCTGTGCACAGTG